AGGACCAATTCAGTCAACTAGCCCTGGGGATTATCTAATACAGTGGTACCTCAGGTTACATACACTTCAGGTTACACACTCCGCTTAACCCAGAAAGGTTAAGAACTTTGCTTCAGGATAAGAACAGAAATTGGGCTCTGGCAGCGCGGCGGCAGCAGGAGGCCCCATTAGCTAAAGTGGTGCTTCAGGTTAAGAACAGTTTCAGGTTAAGAACAGACCTCCGGAACAAATTAAGTACTTAAGCCGAGGTACCACTGTACTTATTTCCCCTAAATTGATTTTTGATTTTTGAATTTTATTGTTATTCATGTTTTTATACTGTATTTTATGCTGCTTTTACAATTAAGTGTTTTAAATTTGTTGTTAGCCACCCTGAGCCCGGTTTTTGAACAGGGAAGGGCGGGGTATAAATAAATTATTATTATTATTATTATTATTATTATTATTATTATTATTATTATTATAATATAACAGTAGATGGAGAGTTTAATTTGCTGGTAGGTATACTCCGATTTGGACGCAAGTGGCGCTGTGGTCTAAACCACAGAGCCTAGGGTTTGCCTATCAGAAGGTTGGCGGTTTGAATCCCAGTGACGGGGTGAGCTCCCGTTGCTCTGTGCCAGCTCCTGCCAATCTAGCAGTTCGAAAGCACGCGAAAATGCAAGTAGATAAATAGGGAAGGTTAACAGTGTTTCCGTGCGCTGCTCTAGTTCGCCAGAAGTGGCTTAGTTAAGCTGGCCACATGACCCAGAAAAACTGACAAACGTCGGCTCCCTCGACCAGTAAAGCGAGATGAGCGTCGCAACCCCAGAGTCGTCCACGACTGGACTTAACAGTCAGAGGTCCCTTTACCTTTACCTTATACTCCAATTTAAAATATACAGTTATTATATACACGACAGCATCTGGATGATTGAGGGTGGAGGCGCTTCACTATATAGTTCAATTACAGTGTTGCAGCAAACCCAACAAAGAATCTTTTGGCAGCTTATAGTCCAAATTTATTATGGTACAAACCTCTAGGACTTTGGTCCAGTTCATCAGATGCATGAAATGTTAGCCTGAGTTGCAGGTATACACCCACATACCAACACACACAGAGACACAGACACCCCCACCCACCCACATGGTTGGAGGAGGGATTGAAAACAGTACAACAGAAGGTCCAGTGAATACAATGAAATTGGGTTACACTTCAGAATGTATGGAATCATCAACTAATTAAGAAAACAAGGTGGCCTATGTGCTGCTCTCTTGCCATGAATGAATATGTATGAGTTGTATCCAATGCAGCAATAGATCAGGGTCTGATCAGCACAAGGATTACTGCTAAGGCAATTGGACTTTCCCTCCATTCTCCTCCATGTGCCCCCTTAATCTATTTCAGGGATTCCCCAACGTCTGACACAGATTAGGGGAAAGCTCAGAGTGCATGCAGGAATAAAAAAAGGGAGAAAGCTAGCTGTAATCCCTGCGTTGACAGAATGAGTTGCGGGCACACGCGCTAAACCCTGTCTGTGGTGCCTACCCCTTTTCCCAAATGATAACACAAGAGACCAGAGTATGGGTTCAAACTGGCCACAACTTTATTGAACTTCAGAAGTGGGAAACTTGGCACAGGCCTTGGCAGGTAACCCTCTCAGCTCGCCTGGCTGAGGATATGCAGGCAGTTGAGGCCCAGTGAGAGGGGACTGCAAAGCGCAAACTTACACAGCATGCCCTTCCACTGACCTCGTCCCTGGAGTTTGACCTACATGCCGCCGCTCTAGGGCCAGGGACTGCCCTTTAATGGGCCCTGCACACGCCGCCGCATGGGGAGGGAGCATGAATGGATCCCCCCCAAACTTGATGTTAGACTAAAGGCTACCTTGCCAAGGCCTAAAACCGCCACTCGAGGCCCTAAGGGGCCTCGCCGCCAAGTCCCACAACCGAGGACCAATTAAACCCCGCAATCTATCCAGTCCCCAAGGGCTTGTCGCAAGTCGTGGAGCCAGACGTCATTGCCCAGTGGGGTCAGGTGCACCCCGTCCCCCCGGAATAGGTCAACTCTATCTGATGTGATGGTGGGATGTGGGATAGAGAACCCACCAATTTGGCGCATGGTGTTGCGCATGGCCCTGTTGATTTTACTCACCGCATAATTGAGGCGAGAGGGATTGGAAGCCCCCCTCCAGTGAAGACGGGGTAGGAGATTGGACCAGCTGATGGTCATTGATGGGTACAAGGCATGCAGGCTTTTTAGATCTGCCCTTGCAGCAAGGGTAAGGGCAATGCCTTTTTGCTCCACTAGATCATTCTCCCCACATGTATAATCAAGACCCTTGGAGGATCATGGGTTGCTGTGGCACTACGCAGCATGGGCATCAAGCTCCGCCAATGCATGCCCCGCTGGGCCATCCAATAAAAGCGTACCTTGGGGTGGATGTTAAGGTTAAGGCCACAATTTTGAGACCGTGCATAATCCGCTGCCCAATGGATCTGCCTATCACCCAGATCTTCATGGTGGGCAAACCTGTAAGACAATTAAATTGCAAGTGATAAGGAGGAGGAGCCGGGACGAATGTAACTTTTGTAGGCTGTCGAGCGCCAGCGGCCCAGTGTCTTGATGTGTGCGGGGTCCCAACCCTGTATCGCTGCTGAAGTAGCAGCCCCGATACGAAACGAGTGCCCGGAATATTCCTGGGGACTAACACCGCAAGCAGATAAAGCTTTGCGTAAAACCGCTGTGAATTGTGATCGCGTCAACGGGTGCGTGTTTGAGTGAATGAAGAAAGGGCCCTTGCACTGGGGCCGGACCCTGAAGAAGCGGCGTGTGTCGCGATATGGGCAGGGGTCCGCCTGTTCCGTTGGGGACAGCGCGAGCGTGACCCCTTTCCGCAACTGGTCAGTTTTTGAGTACCGAATTTTAACATTCAACATATGCCCAGAGAACTTGATGTCATTGTCTGCCAACCCTGATTGCAGGGGCCCAGCCAAACACTCCCCAATGCGCATGGCACCAAAAAAGGTTAGGGAAAATGCTGCCCGAAAGAGACGCGTTTCGAAATTTGACCAGCAGATCTCTGGTAGTTTTTTCCAAATTAGATAAAGTATGTCTATGGTGATAGGTTTCCTGCCATCCTGACGAGGGGGAATGACACGCCGCCACCCAGCCAGTAACTTCTTGACATGGAAGCTGTCACTGGGATCTGGCCAGTGACGGAATTTACAAAAGAAAGAAATAGCTGCCCTGTAAAGCATTAAAGTTTTTATGGCAAGGCCCTTGCGCTTTAGGAGCACCAAGAACTGAAGCACCTCCTCCTCGGATGCGCGCCGTGTTGCAGAGCCACGAAAGTGCCCAAAGGCATCCCAGGCGCTGGAATAAGAACGTCTAGTGGAGGGTGCTATTGCTGCCAATACTCCCTGGTTTACTTCTCGCTTCCAAACTCCCACAGATCGTCTGGGAAGGCGTCTGGGGACTGGGCTGCTCCTGGTGCCAGCTCGTGGAAACGCTCCATCTGGAAATGAGACAGGGCATCAGCGATGTTATTGTTAAGGCCAGGTATGAAGCAGGCAGTGAAAGAAATATTGTGCTGCAGGCACTCCAGCACAAACAGGCACAGGACCCTTATGACCCTCTGGGACTTTGCTGACTGCCTAGATATAACTCTTACCACTGCTTGATTGTCAGACCAGAAACAGACCCTGGAATTTGAAAAGAGAGTTCCCCAGATGCGAATGGCGACTAGAATAGGAAAGAACTCCAGAAAGGTTAAATCCCGAGTAATGCCTGGTGCGTGCCAAGAAGATGGCCACGGCTGGGCGCACCAATGTCCCCTGAAGAACACGCCAAAGCGGCCAGAAGCATCAGAATAAACCTGGAACTCCGCCCCGGGGTTAAGGCACTTCTGCCAAAAAGAAACCCCATTATAATCCTGCAGGAATGCAAGCCAAACCCTCAGATCGTCCTTTATCTGCTTTGTCACCCTGATGTGATGGTGGGGGGCTACCCCCCCAGCCGTGAGCCGTGCCAGACGGGCACAAAAGGCACGGCCTGGCGCCACTACTCTACATGCAAAATTAAGATGACCCAACAGGGATTGCACCTGGCGAAGGGTGGTCTTCTTAACCCCAAGCATTGCCTCCAGCAAAACTTTCAAGGATTCCAACTTGGTTCATGGTAGGCGCGACGACTGCCGAATTGTGTCCAATTCAATACCCAAGTAGGAAAGGATAGTCGAAGGGCCCTCGGTCTTGTCAGCAGTCAGAGGTATGCCAAAGTCAGCTGCAAGGCGCTTGAATGTAGCTAGGGATAGGGCACAGTTGGGGGAGTCTGGGGCCCCAATGATAAGAAAGTCATCTAAGTAATGGGTCACGAAAGGGGAACCAGATGTGGTTTTGAAGTGAATGTGCTGAAGGTTTCAAAGGCTGCGCAGGCCACAGAGCAGCCCATGGGCATAGCCTTGTCAAAGTACCAGCTATCCCTGAATTTGAATCCAAGCAGCCAAAAATCTTCAGGGTGAACTGGGAGCAGCCGAAAGGCTGACTCGATGTCACATTTTGCCAATAAGGCCCCAGTGCCCAATTCCCTGATCATTTTAATGGCCACATCCAAGGATGCATATTTAACTGAACAAAGCTCCTGTGGTATGGCGTCGTTTACAGACCCACCCCTAGGATAAGAAAGGTTGTGTATCATGCGGAACTCACCAGGAAGTTTTTTGGGCACTATGCCAAGAGGGGAAACTATAAACTTTTTGAAAGGGGGAGCCGGGAAAGGGCCGGCCACCCTGCCTAAACGCCGCTCTTTTTCAATTTTGTTAAAAGCAACAAGGGGCATTTCCATTACCGACTTTTGATTAGGAGGGGTTCTGGATACCGGTGTATTGGAGACAGGGATGCGGAAGCCAAAACGAAACCCTGCTTCCAAGTAGTTGGCTGCAGTCCTGTTGGGATAAGCCTGTAACAAAGGTAACATCGCGGAGAGGCGGACAGGGGTTGGGGCTAGGGTGGAAAAAACCTCATTTCCGGGAGGCAGCCTTGGCTTGCTGGGCTCCAGAGGTAGAGGCTCCTGAGTCTCCCTTGGCGTCCTTGGCTCCACTCCCTGATCCTGTTTTGCGAAAACTGCGAAAAGGGGGCTTAGCCCGAAAACACTTAGTCCGTGAGTGAGGGCCACCACAACGCTCACAAGCATGGTCAAAGCGGCATCGGTCCCTGCTGCACAACCCATTAAACTCCCAACATGTTGATATAGCCACCCTTTGCACTTTGGAGGGGGGTTTACCTGACTTCTCCCCAAAAGCCCTTTTTTTGAAGTTTGGGGCGACTACTTCGGACCAAAGATCATTATCCTTGATGTCCCAACGGGTCGTGGGTTCTTCAGCAGTCCTCTCACGGAACAGCTCATCGTAAGCCAAAGCCGCTGAGTCCCCTGCCATTTTTTTGGCTTTTAAGATAATGCCCAGATAGTTAGCCAAGTGCCACGCCCTATCTGGGTAAGCAGCGGCCACCAAACCCACGTAAGAGGCGAAAGCAGCTAGCCAATTGTCAAAAGTTCTATCAATATCCACTGCCTTCTCCTTCTTGCGACGCGATTCAGGCTTAAACTTGGAACTACAAGAATAAGCTGGGGAGAGCAGGGCAAACAAGTCCACAAATTCCCCATTTAGAATGCGGTTGCGTATATTCTTTTTAAGCTGGATGCCAGGAGGCTGATCCGTGGTCTTGAAGTTAGATGCCCGCACCTTCCCTTTCACATCAAGCCCATCCTCCCCACATGGTTCCTTGGCCCCAAAGGCACGGCGATGGCGCCGGGTGTGACGTTCCCAAATCCAACTAGGCAGGCCAGGGGCCTTGTGGGTAGTAACCCAGTACCCTTTGCACCGTTCTTCCGACTCGCCACAGGAGGAATCACACGTACCTGAAAGATCTGAAGAATCAGAAGAGTCCCTCCTGCACTTACGCCCATGCTTCCTCAATCTGCAAGACCTCTTCTTCCTGCGACGTGTTCTGTGCGAATCAGGGCTGGAGGAGCTGTCTGATGGACTCGAAACCGGTGACCTATGCCTATGCCTACCCTCGCGGGAGCGTCGACAAGGGGACTTAGACTTATCTAAGCGCTCCTTAGCCCTAGCCAGGCGACGCTGCAGGATGCGGTTCTGACGCAGCAATTCCTGCACATCGTCATCACTGGACTGGGAAGAATCGCTCTCAGCAGTGAGCTCCTCTGTGATGCCCGCTTTTTCTTCTTAGGAAGGGCCCTGTAGGGCCTGGCATCAGAGGTGGAGGGGCCATCATCCCTCACTTTTTTCTTAGAGATAATTAACTTCATAGGTGGGACCTTCCAGCTGGAAGGCAAGGGTCTTTTTTTAATCCTGTTGGCTGCCTTTACTGCATTGCTAGGGGTACCCCTCGATGCGGCTCTTGGGGTGCCCACCCCTACGGCACCAAGAGAGTGCGAGGGGGAGCATTCTCTTTGATCAGCAGCCACGGCTAGAGACATAATGCACCTTGAAGCAAGTCAACCACTACTAAGACCTACAAATACCTAAGTATGATGGCAGTTTGTTGTATTTGTTTTTGTTTGTTTGTTTTTGTTTGTTTGTTATATTAATTATAATTATTAGATTTATTTATATTTGCAATCGGAATGTTTTGGTGAAAGACAGAACCAGCCAACCTAACTGCGCACAAATGCTAAGACTCAGTCCGGCCGCCTGGATACGCTCCTGATCCTGATCTTGATCCCAGAAGGAAGAACAGCAAAAGAGGCTTGAGCTCAGGGGTCAGCCTCTTTTCTTTTGGCCTTAGGCCCACCCCCGGCCGGCCGTCCATTGTCCTCCCTGGCCGAGGGCAGGTCAAAGGCCACCTCAAGCAGGTGGGTGGCACCTGCCCAGGTGAGCCTCGCTTGGTGCCACAAACCCCGCCCACCTGTGGGGAAGGGAGGGCGGATATTAGTAGAATATGTGTATTGAAGAATACAAGGTAAGTGGAAGAGAAAGGATGTTCAGGTTTGCTTCTGTTATTGCCAAATTCATAGCAGAGAATGTATGAGTTCCTGGAACTTGAAAGAAATTTTTAGGGGGTTGACCTTGGAATAACATTAGTTGTTAAAGAGTACTGTATACAGTTATTAGTTGTGCTTGGTTCCTGTTATATATTAAGCAGGATGTCAAATTATGTGTGAAAATGATGTAGAAGTTTAGAGACTGATAATTATTGGAAAGCAGGAATGCGAGTGGTGCTGTGGGTTAAACCACAGAGCCTAGGACTTGCCGATCAGAAGGTCCCGTTGCTCGGTGCCTGCTCCTGCCAACCTAGCAGTTCGAAAGCCCGTCAAAGTGCAAGTAGATAAATAGGTACCACTCCGGCGGGAAGGTAAACGGCGTTTCCGTGCGCTGCTCTGGTTCGCCAGAAGCGGCTTAGTCATGCTGGCCACATGACCCAGAAGCTGTATGCCAGCTCCCTCGGCCAATAAAGCGAGATGAGCACCGCAACCCCAGAGTCGGCCACGACTGGACCTAATGGTCAGGGGTCCCTTTACCTTTACCTTACTAGAATTCAATGACATACAGACTCCATGTTTCAATCAATCTGGTACACATTCTTCAATATCTCTTTTATAATAAGTTGGTTTTGTCATCTACATTATATCCCCTACAGTTCAAATTTATTGGTATGACTAGTCTAGCTACAGTGACCATCGCTGTCAAAAACTCCCAAACCTTCATTTTAAAAAGGACGACTAGCTATCCTGCCATCACAAATCTTATCTGTCTCTACTACAGTCCTTCTTTTCATCACAGAAGGTCAGAATATGGCACCAATAGTGGCTAGAGGTGCTAGTACAGCTCTAGGACTTTATTTAATAGATTACACCTGGCTTTGATAGTGTTATCTGTATTCTGTATTCTGTAATCGATTACGGCCTTCCTTCAAAGTCTTTAACATCCTCCTAAACACCCACACAGCTGGCTTTTATAATCCTTATCAGTATTTTGTAATGGATTACATCTGACTTTTATCATTTTATGTGTATTCTGTAATAGAGTATATACTTCCTTCAAAGTTTATGACACCCTCCTGAATGAAAACATCCACCGGCTTTTATAATCTTATCTGTACTCTGTAAGAAGCCTAGGGCTTTGCTATATTCAACATTGAAATGCCTGACTTAAAAGTTAAATACATAAAGCAAGTTGGTTTTACAATAGGATTCAATATCATCCAGATGAAGAAGACATAATATTTTTGCCTTGGTGTTTTGTACAGTTTACAGTATGTTCCATCTAGATTTTGTCCAGGGCCAGCACCAAATACAAAGGTGATGTTTGCTCCTGGCAAGAGCAACTAAAATTTTTTAATAATAAATAAAAATGGCCAGCTTTCAGATGAAATTGCAGTACAACTACACTCTTTCCACTTCAGAGACTACAGGTATGTGTCAGGCACAAATGATACTTCTGAAAAGCTTTCTTTTACAAAATACAATGAAGCATACTGATAGAAAATATTCTTTTTTTGTTGTTTCTCTTTTCCAGTGCTTAGCACCAAAAAAATGCAGAGGACACAGTAGGGAATGCAGTAGGGAAAGTAAGACAAAGCAAATCTTGTTACTGCTGCTGCACAGAATCCAAATGGTTGCACAATGTACCAAGGTTCTTAAATTTCAGAACATAGTAAGCTTATTAAAGTGGACCACATTGCACTTGCTCTGATAAATAGTTCATCACTGTACACCAAGACCTTAATGCTTATTGTCAGTGCTATAAATTGAAACTCCTGCTAATAAACTTCCGTGAATTTATGTACAGTGGCCTGCGGCATTATGTGAAGTAAAGTTAAAAGGCACACCCTATGAACTGTTCAATAAATAATAAAAAAGGGGGGAGTATTTAGCTTCAGAATAATTGCACCATAAATGCCCAGTCGTCCCCAATATGCTCAAACGCTGGTGTTTATTTGCAGGGCTTGGTGTTGTGCTGCCAATAAAGCTCAAAGTGCCATTGTACACAGGACAGATGGTCCTGCGAAGGGCAACAGAAAGGCAGATCTGTTTGATTCTGCAGCAGATATTTTGAGGCACAGAATATGAAACATTAGCTAAAGTAATGAAAGACATCAGAAAACATGGCAGTGCCACACAAAGACATGCAATCGCAGTATACCCACACTTTGGTATTTATTGCCAGACATATATTCCTATATGCCCCAGTGCATAGGGGGATAGTTTCTCCTATATTGATTATATTGTTGAATGTGACGTTGCCTCTTTTGCTAGTTAAGTGTTGTTTGGGGGGCAGATTTGAATGAGGAATTTGAGAAGGACTTCTGGAACAACATATGGTCTACTTAAACATTTTCTTCGGTTCTGGCAAGTATTAGAGAAAACTTATTGAAACAGTGCATAGATAGTACTATGCACATCCGAACGAACAATTGGCTTCATTGGCTGAACTGTGGAACTGCCAGAATCTACTGGCATCTCTGGTGGTCTTGCCTTTGCATTAGTGCATTCTGAATGTGAGTTTTGGCAGAAATTGGAGTGGTTATCGGCCATGCTCTAGATCCAAATCCGAAACTCTGCCTTGTCTTCGTATCTGTGGGAACCTTATTAGATTCCTCTTGGTTGCTGCTAGATTGGCCATCCCTCAGGGCTGGAAGGAAGTCACATCCATTACACTGGAAGTTGGTATAGAAAAGCCTTGTACACAGCTGTTTCAGAAAAGTTTACTCGCCACCTAAAGGTACTGAGAAGTGATGCTAAGATAGAGGACTTTGCTGCCATCTGGTGGACCTTTGTTACACACATGAACAAGCAACATTTGAGATTCCTTAAGGTAAAGGGACCCCTGACCATTAGGTCCAGTCGTGGCTGACTCTGGGGTTGCGGTGCTCATCCTTATTCCTGTAAATATGACTTTATTTGGATATACTTCTAATTCTTGTTTGCAGTACTTAACTCTCCGTTGTGCCAGGGCGCTTAATGTCTTCAGTTTTTGCATTCTTATACTTCTGTAACCTACCACTCACTAGCTTTGTATATGCATCTTCCATTTCACATGGCCTCCTTAGTCTTCATAAGGGTTTTTCCTCCTCTATTATGTCTTTGTTGCTTGACCAATTAGAAGAAAAAGAAAACAGGCTGCAGGTTCAGCTTTGGTAATAAAGTGTTCTGTTGGGAATTCATTTCTGGAACCAACTAATCATGGAGAGAGAAAATATGTGAAAATCCTTAGAAAGGAAACATACTCTAGGGGTATGCAATACTATGCTTTGGAGCTGAATACAGAACATGTAGCATAAGGCAGAGTAGAACAATGCACAGAGAACAGGCAGCTATATAGAGATGGGTGAGCCTGTCAGTTTCAGTTTCTCATTTTTCCAATCTTAAATTCAGTCCTCTACATTTCCACATCAGGGTGCAATTTTTTAAAAGAATGCCCTCTTGAAAATTCACCAGCATTTAAGCGCAAATTGCTCCAAATCTATAGATTGGTGGATGAAATTTTGCCCAATACCCACTTTCTCCAATGGAATTTTCCTTAATACATTACATTTTTAAAATTTTCAATAGCACATGCATTTGTATGCACTTCATGCTAGAACATGTGTTCTGTATGCATTATTTAGCTGGAGAACTGCATTGCAAAATTCAGAGAAATGCACATTTGGAGGAATGGCAGTGTCATTTCAGAAAGTGCAAATTAGTGAGCTTGCCTTTAAAAGTGAACCGAATGATATTTCTCCCCCATCCCCAGGCACCTTGTGCCAACCATGTATTTCCTTTGACCATTCAAAGTTGCTAATGAGACAATAAACAGTGAACACGGCTAACTTGCAAAGATGTAGTAATTTTATTGCAAAGTAGTTGGCAGCAAAATGCAACTTCATATAATTTGGCATTACATTGATGAAACAGATTTTTCTATTCCTGAATTCATCATAAAACCCTATAACTATCTGTTCAGTTTTATGGGCCACCCTTTCCTTGGGAGTTGCTTGAGATTATAATTCTGTTCTTATTATTCTGTCAGTCACCATGTGGACTCCGAATGCCTCTTTACCTTCAGTTAGCAAAATGCAACAACAAACCCTGAATCTGTTTTATGCTTCCTACAAATGATGGGTTTGTTATTTGCATCAGTGTGACAGCATGAATTGCCACGTGAAAGGGTAACGTGGTCATCTGAAATTTCTCCCAAAGCACAATGGGGCAAAGCAGTAGTTTGCTTTTCAAAAGAAGCAGAAATAGCATAATGGAATAGTGACAGAGAAAAGTTGGATTGTGAGATCCTTTGCTTAAGTAATTAACAAAAACATCCTAGGATTTAAACTAATTGTAAGATAAATGGAACTGAACATGAAATTCTCTGACTGAACTGGCTAGTGAATCAGGCCATAAGCCAAACTGCTTGTGCACATTTGTGACAGAGATTCCACACTAGTCAAAAGAGAATATCAAACGTATCATTTCAAAATCGACATAGCTGGAGCATGTTCAGCTATGTATTATGAAGCACATTTCCTATGTCTGTTTCCAATGATTCCAATAAACTTCAGCAGTTTGCCTTTCAGCTCCTAAATATTAACTGAAGAGTCACAACAAATCCTCCTTTGAAATATAGTCCTGATGCATCTCTGACATATGAAGTTGGCATGTATAATATTTATATGTAGAATGGTTTTGGGAAGTACAATGGAAGTTAACTATATCCATAGAAGATAGGGGGGAATGTTTAAAAGGAGAATGAGAGCAATTCCACAATGCCATTAAGTCAAAATAGCTGGATATAGGCAATGATTTTGATCAGAATACATATTTGATCCTGGTACTTTGATTGAACTGGGCTGTGTTTTAAGCTACCAGTAAATGTGCCCAACTACAGATGTGCCTGTCTATGGATTTAAGTTTCAGAAATACATGCGAATGATGCAGTTTTTGTTTTTGTGTAGGAAGTGCTGAATGTATATCTTGCTGACGCATTGGTATCAGTAGATTTGGAGATAGTTTTTCCTTCTCAGTTTGCTGCTTATAAGTAAGCCAGACAGAACAAAGACCATGGCTGCCAAAAGTACAGTAGTAACAGCAAGTGGGCTGAGAGCTTCTTTCTTTTCTAGATTCATACTCTTAGCCAGTTCTGTAAATAGAATAAAAAAACACAGTTTGGAACAATTTTTCAGATAATGTATGTATGTATGTATGTATGTACGTATGAGATTTCTTACCTGTTCTTCCCCATAAGATCCCTGGGCAAGTTACAGCAATATAAACATACAAGGAAAACACTTTGTACCTTTATCTAAATGTATATATATTAGTTTTGTTAGAGGGCAAGTTCGTCTTTGAATGGCAACAACTGCTTTGAAGGCAGAAGGCTCAGGTCAAATTCCTGGCATCTTCAGATAGGGCTGGAGAAGACCTCTGTCTGAAACCCTGGAGAGTCACTGTGAGTCCATCTAAAGAACTCTGAGTTAGATTGACAATTGCCTGGCTTTGTCTAAGGCAGCATCCTATGTTCCAAACATAAGAGTCAAATTCTTTATTCTGCCCATCTTTACATTATCTTTCCATGCATCAGTGGCATGTGACTCTCAAAAAGTTGCCCATTAGGGAAATGTTACCCGAAGAGTGGAAGCAACACAGAATGAGATTTCATTGTGTTATGTTACTATGCTTTTGGCAGGCAAATTAGGAATAAATATTGGTTTTAATATTATTTGAACAAAGTAGTAGAATATTTTAACAACACTTTGTTCTTGAGTAATTATTATTTCAAGATACTTCGGAATATATTTTGAAAATCATTATTCCACCGCCCAGATTGCTTTGGGTGGTGGTGGGAGTTTGCATCTGAGTCTCAAGCTGTACCATAGCATGACAGCACTCGGGGGGGGGGGGGAGTGACAGAGCCTTTTAAAAGCCCACCTCCCCTCCCCTTCCCCCTCTGTTTTATCTGGCACCCACCCTCTCTCCCAACCTCCATCACAGTATGATTTGCTTCAGGGCCAAGTAGGATTTTTGAGCCCACCTGCCTTGTTCTGCAGCTGGAGTTTTTGCCTATGCCATACTGTAAAGTGGGATGGGAGACGGTTTAGGTGCAGTGCCTTAATACTAGGCTATTATGGCTGACAGGTTCATCTGGCTCTTGACTTGCTTGCGTTATAGGTTCTGCTTGCGTTACAGGTTAATCTGACCATTTGAGTGTTGTTTTTTCTTAAAATAATCTGCTCACTTTGGCACATAGGTGCCACAAGGGGAACTTGATAGGGTAGCTTGGTGATCCCTTTAGGCTCCATTTGGGGTGACTGTTTGTTTCTGAGGCCTGCAGGGCTTGGAGATAGGAGAGAGACTTCTTCTGAAGTCAACTAGCCTAATCCACCTGGAGTTTGGGGGCCCAAAGGGGTGGTGGTGAATGCAGGGCTCCCAACTCACAGTCAGGGTGTGGCTGGGGTAAGGAGTAAACAAAATGGTTTACCATTGACCCAGCAAGGGATTGGTTTGTCTTAAACCTACGTGATTTCCTGATTTGTTCATTCCCACACCTATAGTTTCCCTCTGCAAATTTGGTTTAATGTTCAATAAAATGGTAGTTATTCAACGCAGCAAATGTGTCCAGGCATTTATTTTAATCCTGGTCTGCAATCATCAGAAAAAAGTAGCAAAAAAAGGAATCAAAAATAAAAGTTACCCTGTCCTTTGTCTTCAATGGTTTCTTTCTGCAGTTTGACTGGTCCCACAACCACATCCACTTTATCCTGAGGTTCATCTGTATCCCTCTTCCTTCTAGTTAAACATCCCTGGTAGCATCGGGATGAGTAATCATATGCCTTACATACTACTAGTTTGCATTGCAGATAAATTTGATTATGTTCATAAAGAAACTTAAAAGAGTTGAACTTGAAACGAACTTGATTGTTGCTTGAGTTAAATCCGAGTTCACTCAGATTTAAGAAGGTTGGGTCTCGCACACATCTGAAAATAAAAGAACCAAGTTTGTTTACATAATTACTTTAGATGAATCCTTTATGGAGTTCTGAAGTATGTTATCTTTGGTGACTAAAGACCATGCTGGAGAAGGATGAGAAGAAATATCAATAAGTGGATGGTGGATTTCAGAGAATAAAACGGAAGATAGACTCAGCGTATGTGAAAGCAGTTACTCAAAATACCAGAACTTGGGCCCATCTGACGAAACTTCAAGTTAGAAAATTCTGAGCAGACAAAGGAAAGTACTTCACACAGCACAGCACATTGTTAAACTTTGGAATTCACTCCCATAAGATGTTTGTGGAGGATTCAACTATCAAGGTACTAGTGATGATGGCTCTGCTTTGCCTCCATTGTCAAAGACAGTATGCTTCTGAATACCAGTTACTGGGAAGCAATTGGGAAGAGGTCCTGCATGCAGGCTGGCCATTGCGATAACAAGTATTTGCCTCCCCTGCTTTTGTCTAAGACTCTTTGACTGATGACACAATGAGTTAGCAGCACACAACCATATTTATTATTATATTCAGGAACAAGTAATAGCAAGTAGGCTCTGCAACTCTTTATAGATTTTCTTAAGAAATATGATGTCAGAATTAAAAAGTGAATTTCAGAGTCAGTTTGAGAGTAAAGCAACTCCACTTGTTCATACCACAAAGAAACCTTTAAGTACAATCCTATATGTGCCTATGCAGAAATCCAATTGAGCTCAGTATGGTTTATTCCAGGTGAGTGTGAATGGCATTGCATGGTTAGTATTAACTCTGCTGTCATATAAGCCAAAAGGAAAGCCCTTCTTATAAGTGGATATCTAAACATGCTTATCTAAAATATACTCACCCATTCTTGATTAAGTCATAGGTCAGAGTTCTGAAGTCACCAGGGTATGGAGATGCTACACATGTGTCTAGAAATAGTACTAAGTTCGGATCAGAACTGTTGAGAGTAGCTTGGAGATAGAGAACCTGGTTGAGGTACACAAAGTATGGAAAACTGCGAACTGAAATGTTGAAGGATGATGATTCATAGAATGAAAGCGCCACACTGTAGTTGCCAAGTTTTCTTTCAGTAATGTCAATGGAATTTTGGGCAACAAACATCGTCTCTACAACAGTCATTGCGTTCATTTCACACATAATATGAAATTGGAAGTTTTTCCTTCTTGTAATGATGTAACCAGCGGCTAATGTCTTGATTATGTTGGAATAGGTGATGGTGTCATTATTTGACTGCTAAAGGACAGGGGAGAAAGATCTATGTCAATAATATGTGTAAATTAGGACCTGTCATATAAAACACACCCAATATACTTAACCACTTTAGAATGTGCTGATATTTCAGACATTACCATTAAAAAAAACCACCTTATATAATCTGGAATTTTATTGCATTCTCACTGAAAAAGTTAAGAAAGATAAAAGTATATAATGCATTCAGTAGTTGAGAAGAGAAACACAGAAAAGTGCAGAAAGATTGCTACATCTTTTAATTCAAATTAATATACCAACAAATATCTGACTTTTATGACATTTATCTTTAAAATGCTATGGGTTTCTTTAAGAATAACTGAGTTTATTTGCTTGTTTGTGTGTATTAACATGACGGGTTTTGTCCTCAGAAGTGAAAAAGCTGAGCATAATGCAAAGCATTCAAAGGGCCAGGCAGCGTGATCATAATGCTACCCCTAATTTACTGGCTTTCTAAAAGTGGAGGACAATCTCAGGAACATAACGCTTTCCCCCTGCCTTATACCACTTACTCTTTCTGGAGCAATTTCCCCACTCCTGTATTTCCTATGATTAACAGAAATGTCAGGAATTACCCACAATACGGTCTGCTTTAAATGGTGTGGCATATTGCTACTTGCTATTTAACCCAAGTTCTGAAATTGGTAGTTTCACGTCTGAATTAAACACATCGTTCAATGGTGTCAAAGTCTATGAAGGGCAGCGCTGACATTTCTTAGAAATATAGTTGAAAAAAGAAGAGGAAACTAGCTCCATGGCAGAGTGGAGAAGAGGCAGCATGGATTTCCCAAGGCTCTCTCTAAGCCAGATCATTCAGATGTTATAGCCAAAAGGTGGGTGAAATACTTTTCCAAACTTTAAACAGCAGGGTAATGTTACAAAGATAAGAACCGGATAACAGATAATGTGCAGTACCCAACGTGGTACTGAGTAACTAGTTCCATCATTGCAAGGATTTAAGCTTGTGCAGCAGAACTTTATCCCCTCCTTTGACCACAGCCCCTTAAATCTCTTCTGGGGTTTCCAACAACCCTGAAATAGATTTGAGGAGGGTGTGAGATGTGCAGGGAGAGGATAGAGGAGAAGTTCCATAGCACATGCAAAAATCCTTGCACAAACAGAACAAGTGCATTGGATACTGACAATATTTTTAAGAACTCATTGTCTTACCTTTCTTACTGTGCCACACCCACTATATGGTATCTCGAAGACCACATAGTCTTGAGTAATCTGAGGTGTGCAGAAAGGGTCTGAAGTATTCAGGGATACTTCGCTTGCATTGTAGCCCAGCAACCCAAGATAGTCCCTGCTGATGCGTGCAAGCATGTATTCTCCAGAACACGAAAGCGCTGAATGAGGGCACATAGAAACCATATTAAATAGTGTAATGTTTTTTACATTTTACTTATGAGTAGGGGCAACCTTGGTGAATGATATGTCAGGCAAGCGGGGGCTTGTTTGAGCTCATAATGAAGCTGCCATGAAACAGCTTTACCACATTTTCAGAAATTTGAAGTATTTGGGAGGGAATACTCAGTTTCACTATTTCCTTTGAACACAGAGACTTTTCAGCTAGGCATCCCAAATCAGCAAAATCTGTGATTCTCACATGCATGTTTTAGGGAGAAATCGGAACTTACTTCTTGCAGGAACTGGTGCTAAACTTGTAGGAAGAGCTGTACAAATGAAAAACAAAACAAAAGGGAGATCAATTTGTGTCTAATTCGCATTTAAATGGTAAAAAGTTGGGAAACGGTAGTCACAACATTGAGTTCTGTGCCCTCACCTGCTACACCCTTCCACCATGACAAAGACCATTATACAAACAAACAGTGTTGCTTATACTCCAGTTTGTTGGGATTTAAGTATATGAAAGATGTTCTTTTCTGAGTGCCTCTACTGTGTAATCTAATGCCATTCCCGGAGGAGTAAAATCTACTGCTTCTTTTCCACAACAGAGAGAAGATAGCAGAAACCAAGTAGTTTCAGATATATCTGTGGTGAAGAACAGCTTCCCTGGATCTTGAGCATGCAATCCTCTGCAAGCTCAGAGATGCCTAAATCACACAACTGTGAAAAGAAGCATCTAGTTTCTTTGAGTGTCATGTTTAACCATTTGCCTTATTACCTAACAAAAGACACAGAAGAAAAGGAAAAACATCTTATCAGTTGTTGCTTCACTAGCACTTGATTCAAATGTTAAGTCTATTAAAGGAACCAAAATAAATAGTACAGATAGTCCACTGAAGATATCGAGATCCCAGCAGTCATCTATCCAGTAACCTAGTAATATATTGCAGATATTTTTCATTGACTGGTCGTCAGTGTGTGTGTGCGCGCGCACACACAAACAAACACACACACATTAATCATACAAGAATACAATTAAAGGGAGAGCATTTAAAATGAATGACATAAAAGAAAAAGAACAAGGTCTTACCAGCTGTTGATTCATTGAGAGGTGGTTCAGTAGTTGTTTCTATTCCTATTTAGGTAAACAAATAGTACAATAAAAGTACTATTACACTGATGTTAAGATCCTAGCAGTAATATATCCAATAACCTAGGAACATATGGCAGCTATTCTTCACTGACAAAAGTCACCAGTGTGTGTGTGTGTGTGTGTGCGCGCGCGTGCACACGCCTTATTTATACAGCAAAAAAATATCAATACAATTAAAGGGAGAACATTTAAAGTGAAATGCAAGTAAATCAGGATGCTTAAAACATACAAAAAGCCTGGTGGAATAAAATATTCTCCTACAACATTAACAAAAAAAGGTGTCAGTGGTGAGACGCTGCTTCAGTTGTTGCTAAAGTGAAGCATCGCCTTATTCGTCAAAGTGTGCATGTCAAGGGGCTAGAAATTTTAACATGGCAGAAAATTGTGCATTCAGATCTTACTTTGGTCCCTCACAGGAAAAATACCTTTGATCTATCCAACTGCAAACTGATACCTTTCATGCAAACAGGAAAGTTAAGCAAAGTAAATATCCTATTCATCTCTGGATAAGTCACAGAAACTGTGCCATAATCCGACCAGCCTATGGGTTTGTATGTTGGTATGATCCTAGACAAAGGGTGGGGAGCCTGTGGCCCACCCAATGTTGCTAGATCACAACTCACATCATCCCTGATCTTTGCCTATGCTGGCAGGGATTGATGGGAGTTGGAGACCATCTGGAGAACCACAAGTTCCCCATCTCTGTCCAAGACATATGTTGATTTTCAGCTTACATTGCATCCTCAAACCAGAACAACATTAATCTAACACAACAGATACTAGAAATGTCATAGAACTAGATAAATAGATAACTCTTACTTAGTGGAATAGAATAGTAAGAAGCATAAAACCCATCTCCTGAGTAATATGAATCTCTGTGCAGCAGAATAGTCATTGTGTTGGAAGTTGATATGTAGGTATAGTTGAGATAGATGCCAGAGCAAGTTCTTCCAAGAATAGTGGAGTCATACGGGTACCCATCGAAGATCACAATATATTCTTTATTGCAGTCCAGACTGTATAAAGGTAGGTCAACAAGTCACTCTTTGTGTATAAAATTATGCCATCATTTCATACATCAGATTTTCACATTAAGTAAAGAAAAGTTACATAGGTTGCTTATATATGGGGGTTCAATTTCATAATGGGTCACTATCACAAATGATTCACTGGCAATAGCGTTGTCGTTCTTTACTTATCAGGGTTTCCCTGGAAATAATAAATCCAGGAGGGGGCAGATATGGGCTGGCATTTTGATGACAATGACAATGTTTGGACACTGCAAATAACATGTACATATGAGGAGCAAAGATGCCACATTGAACATTCAAGTGAACATTCAAGCACCCTTTGATTCTCTCTTTGGTGACACATATGCCAAAATATAAAGGTAAATACATAGATTCAGTGGAGCTGACCTGAATTCCGAACATATTAAAGTAATGTTATGATTGGTTCTGCCTGTGAGAACCCCACACTACATCTATGATACTATGGAGATGGTTCAGTAAATGTCAGCTGAGTGATAAGCTAGGTGGCTGATGAGGCTCTCAGATGTATCTCAGATTAGCTCAGCCTAAAAGAGTGGCGTGCCTATGTACATATCAAGGTCATGTCAGACCTCTGGCCCATTACGTCCAGTACAGTCTGCTCCACCTGGCAATGGCTTTCCAGTGTCACAGTTATAGGTCTTTCCCAGCCTTGCTCCTGAAAATGCCCAGAATTCAAACATTCAAATTTACAAATTTATTCAAAGAATTCAAATATATATGCATACAATTTAACCACTTTGCTATTGAATGATGTCTCCTCTGGCTGGAACAGCATAATTTGCTTTAAAGACAAGATTCACAAAATACTTGTCTTTTTTACTCATCTTTCAATGCCTCAGTGAAAGGGCCTGTCCTTCATATTTCCTAAGAAAGCATTAAAAAGTGGACCCTTTTGTTTTCAGGAAAGGGCCAATATCTACCACTTGTAGAGTTTGTAATAAAAATGTGTTTATGATGTATTTTCTTTGGAAGGTTTTTAATTTGTATGGGATTTCATCTCGTGTAGGGCAGAACTGCATGATCAGTTAGCAGGATTTAATCTGATGGCTATCACATGCTAAGTTTGTTGGATAGAATCAGGGTCCCTCATGCAGAGAGTTCTGCTTGTGTTCAAGTGAATACAAGTAGAAATTCTATGCAGACCCTCCCTGTGCGACACAGAGAAGGTTGGAGGCTGAGAGGGAAGGAGCAAAGCAGACAGCCAGGTTAAGGGCAGGGCTTGCATAAACATTCTGACCTCCCTACAAAGTTTGGTGCTTACAAATTCAGGCAAACACCTCAACACATCTATCTTTTCAAGCACAGAGAAGAACAGTCACCCACAGCCTATTAAAGTCTTCAGGTAATGACAAAACCATGAATTAACATCATGTGCAGGTGCCTGTGGAAAATGGAAAAACATTCAGTTCCTTACACTTACCTAATATAAGAAAACTGGAGAACTATTTGTCTATCAGGGCTCACTTGAATTTCCCAGCTACACTGTATAATTGCACCGTTTCCAGGATAATATGGTCCAGAGAAAGATCCATTTGGAAGGGAGAGATAGCCACCACATACTAGAAAACACAATATTTTGTGCATGTAAGCCAAAATAGAATTTTGTACAGAGAAATCTGAAATGAAATCCAGCTTAATTTAAACTCTTCCTCCCTCCCTCCCCCAACTTGATTGCATTAACTCTCTCCTTCTGTTATTAATAAGCAAATAATTGGCCCTTTTAGGTTGAAGCTGGAGGCCTCCAATATCCTTGCCCCTATTAAATTACTAATATATTTGTGGGCAGGATGTTTTTAATGCATTTCTCTTTCCTCTTGGTTTTACTTCATCTCATGGGTGAGAGTTGCCTGTCTGTTTAGTTGGTTGTAAATCACTTTGTTGTTAAATAGGTTAATTAATTAGTTATCGGGTAGTTAAGGTTTGGTGAGCACCCTTAGGTACTTTTCTGAGCCTTGCCTTCTGAGTTGTGAGACCCACTGACAGAATAAGAAGTACCTTTGAGGCCAACCTGTAAAACCCCATCTAAGCTATGGGGCTTAAGGTGAAATGATGCCTCTTATTCTTGTCAGAGTCGGTTCACCCTGTTTGCTATTTGAAGATAGTATTGTGCACTTTGGTTCCCTTCGGCAGATCTGTTGTGTTAAATTAAATGTGGCTCATTCCGCCCAGTCTGTGTATTTTATTTCCCTATGTGGTTACAAAAGATGTTTCAAGCATGCAGACCTATGCTTGTGGTTCGAGGACCCGATCCCCGCGTAGTGGAATGAAAACACAAGGACACGTGATATAAGGTTAATGGGCAAGAAAAGGCCACAACTTTATTGATTACAGCAAGTGAAAAGGTATTGGCTTAGGCACTGGATTACGTCAGCGGACTCCACCCCCTCAGAGAGGGGTGAGTCTAAAAACAGGGGGGGGGGTTATTCACCAGTAGGTGGAGCCTGTTGATGCTAATCCAACTATAAGCTCTCCCCTGATGTCACCGAGGGTCGTGCCATGGCCTCCTGCCACGCAGGCACCGGACAGAATACACGACTGCCGGATTCCTTTAACGGAATACCCAAAAATTGAAGGCGCAGGCGATGGCCACACCTAGCCCTTCGACACACCACAACACATTATTCCAATGCCTAACCTACCCACCAACACCACGAAAGTTGTGACGATTGCTACGAGGTAGGCGAAAAAACCACAAAGCCTAATGGCAAATAGAAAAATTCCTACCAGGCCCCCTGAACAACCAGGGCGACCAACCTAAGGTCCATAGCAAGGCCAGAAGAAACTGAGACCCTGAGCTCTAAGGGAGTGGAGGGTGGGTGACTTGCGACGGGACGACGAAAAGTGAGGCCGGAAGGCTGGCGCCGCATCAATTTAGGCTGCTAAACACGCCCCCTCGCAGGCACCTGGTTGGGTGCCTGCCCGTGGGCGTGGGCGCCAGCCAGGTGAGTGGGAGGCAGGGGACTAACACCCCCTGCTTGAGGCGGAGCCCGGCTCCCGACCACAATCACTCCCCTCTCTTGCATGAGGAGAGTCTTTACATTCTACTTACATTCCATTCAATTTTCCAAAATCTTTATTCAAAAGTCTGTTCAATTTCTTCTTTGTTTTGAAATAATGACTCGGTTACCTTTGGAACATATATCACGAATGCTTTCAAACTTTCAAATATGCACTAGTAACAACACCTAAGAGCTCTACCCCCCCCCATTCTTAATCAATTTCCCACTATTTAGCTTTCATACTTCATGCCTATTGAGAAAGATTCAGCCTTGTAATGAAAAAGTAGGACTCACCAATAGGAGTAGAAGGAGCTGTTCACAAAGAAAGAGGAACATTGATATGCATTGGTAAGAAATAGGCATGTCACTATTATCTATTAATATTCATCAGTATTTTTACCCAGTGAACCCAGCAACTCTGTGCCCCTTGAGGGAACTTCCTTGTGGGCCACAGAAATAATCAGATCTCCCTCCATGAGAGCAGAGGGAGATGTCTGAGGTTGACCTTGGTTCCCTTCTGCAGATTTGTAGTGTTAAATTAAATGTGGCCCAGTTTACTCACTGTGTGTGTCTTATTTCCCGGTGTGGTCACAAAAGATGTTTCAAGCATGCAGACCTATGCTTACATTATACTTACACTCCATTCAATTTTCCAAAAAACATTATTCAAAAGTCTGTTCAATTTCTTCTTTGTTTTGAAATAATGACTCAGTTACCTTTGGAACCAATGCTTTAAAACTTTCAAATGTGTACTAGCAACCACACCTAAGAGCTCCCCCCCCCATTCTTAATCAATTTCCCACTATGTATCTTTCATACTAAAAAGCTAATGGTAGTTTGTTCCTAGAAGAAAACCAAAAGCCAGGTTGCTATGCCATGCCTAATACAGCTCACTACAAAATACCTATTGCTTCCAGTAACTTACACACACACACACACACACACACACACACACACAATTTCCATTCAATTTTCCAAACTGTTTTTCAAAAGTCTGTTCAATTTCTTCTTTGTTTTGAAATAATGACTCGGTTACCTCTGGAACATATATCACTAATACTTTCAGACTTTCAAATATGTACTAGCAACCACACCTAAGAGCTCACCCCCCCCCCCAATTCTTAATCGATTTCACACTATGTATCTTTCATACTTCATGCATATTGAGAAAGATTCAGACTTGGAATAAAAAAAGTAGGACTCACCAGGAGGAGTAGAAGAAGCTGTTCACAAAGAAAGAGAAACATTGATATGCATTGGTAAGAAATAGGCATGTCACTATTATCTATTAATATTCATCAGTATTTTTACCCAATGAAGCCAGCAACCCTGTGCCCCTTGGGGGAACTGTCCTGTGGGCCACAGAAATAATCAGATCTCCCTCCATGAGAGCAGAGGGAGATGTCTGAGGTTGACCTTGGTTCCCTTCTGCAGATTTGCAGTATTAAATTAAATGTGGCTCAGTTCACCCAATCTGTGTGTCTTATTTCCCTGTGTGGTCACAAAAGAAGTTTCTACATGCAGACTTACACTCTGTGAATATAATGGTCGGCTCTCCAGTTGTGGATTGAACTAGTAAGTAAGAACAGAATCGATCAGATTGTGGTAGAATGTGTTAATATTAAGCCAAACATTGAACAACCAAACCTTCTCTCCATGGAACTCTGACAACTGTAGCTTTGAGAGGGCGATGAGGGCCTCCTAACAATTCTCCACACCCTTAACAAGCTAAAATTCCCAAGAATCTTTGGGGAAAGTATCTGTGGCACAAGTGGCAATCCTTGTAGTAAGGGCCTGAAGGTATACTACTCAGTATAACTAACACTGGATATATTTTAGTGGACCACCAAACCCAAGAAGCATCTAGCCTCAGCACTACTGCATCAGGATAGAAATGGAAGATTTCTAAAAAGCTGATGGTAGTTTGTTCCTAGAAGAAAAGAAATGCGGAACACAGTTGTACCCAAAAGCCAGGTTGCTATGCCATGCCTAATTCTGCTCACTAGAAGATATCTATTGCTTCCAGTTTCTTGCACAAACACACACACACACACAATTTCCATTCAATTTTCCAAACTGTTTTTCAAAAGTTGGTTCAATTTCTTCCTTGTTTTGAAATAATGACTCAGTTACCTTTGAAACATATATCACTAATACTTTCAGACTTTCAAATATGTACTAGCAACAACACCTAAGAGCTCCCCCCCCCCAATTCTTAATCGATTTCCCACTATGTATCTTTCATACTTCATGCCTATTGAGAAAGATTCAGACTTGGAATAAAAAAAGTAGGACTCACCAGGAGGAGTAGAAGAAGCTGTTCACAAAGAAAGAGAAACATTGATATGCATTGGTAAGAAATAGGCATGTCACTATTATCTATTAATATTCATCAGTATTTTTACCCAATGAACCCAGCAACCCTGTGCCCCTTGAGGGAACTTCCTTGTGGGCCACAGAAATAATCAGATCTCCCTCCATGAGAGCAGAGGGAGATGTCTGAGGTTGACCTTGGTTCCCTTCTGCAAATTTGCAGTGTTAAATTAAATGTGGTTCAGTTCACCCAATCTGTGTGTCTTATTTCCCTGTGTGGTCACAAAAGAAGTTTCTACATGCAGACTTACACTGTGTGACTATAGTGGTCGGTTCTCCAGTTGTGGATAGAACTAGTAAGAAAGAACAGAATCAATCAGATTGTGGCAGAATGTGTTAATATTAAGCCAAACATTGAACAACCATCCATGGAACTCTGACAACTGTAGCTCTGAGAGGGGAATGGGGGCCTCCTATCAGTTCTCAGCACCCTAAACAAGCTAAAATTTCCAAGAATCTTTGGGGAAAGGATCTGTGGCACTATAGGCAATCCTTGTAGTAAGGGCCTGAAGGTTTACTACTCAGTGTAACTAACACTGGATATTTTTCAGTGGACCACCAAACCCAAGAAGCATCTAGCCTCAGCACTACTGCATCAGGCTAGAAATGGAAGATTTATAAAAAGCTGGTGATAGTTTGTCCCTCAAAGAAAGGAAATGGGGAATAAAGCTGATACCCAAATCCAGGTTGCTATGCCATGCCTAATACAGCTCAGTAAAAGGCAAAGGTACCCCTGACCATTAGGTCCAGTCGTGGACGACTCCTGGTTTGCGCGCTCATCTCACTCTGTAGGCTAAGGGAGCTGGTGTTTGTCTGCAGACAGCTTCCGGGTCATGTGGCCAGCATGATTAAGCCGCTTCTGGTGAACCAGAGCAGAGCTCGGAAACGCCGTTTACCTTCCCGCCGGAGTGGTACCTATTTATCTACTTGCACTGGACATGCTTTCAAATACAGCTCAGTACAAGATACCTATTGCTTCCAGTTACACACACACACACACACACACACACACACAATTTCCATTCAATTTTCCAAACTCTTTTTCAAAAGTTGGTTCAGTTTCTTCCTTGTTTTGAAATATTGACTCAGTTACCTTTGGAACATGTATCACTAATACTTTCAGAGTTTCAAATATGTACTAGCAACCACACCTAAGAGCTCTTTCCCCAAATTCTGAATGAAATTTCTACTAGGTATCTTTCATACTGCCTGCCTATTGAGAGAAAGATTCAGTCTTGTCATTGGCAGAGGTTCTGTGGTTTCTGGTTGGAAAAGTTGCTCCACTAATTACACTTACATGCCAACTGAGTCTTATGCAGAGACTTCAGTTCCTAAGCTTTGAGTGTGTCATAGCAACAACAGTCACCACAATCTAACGATTAGAAGTCAGGTACTAAGAGGAACTGAATAACCTCTGCAGAGGCGACTCCAACATCTACCACATTAACATAAATTATTCGCATGACACCTTAGCCCCATATTCAAGGAGAATATTTCAGCAAATATTCAAGGAGGATGTTTCAGCAAGGTGGATGTGACTATGCTTGTTTCAAGACCAGACTTGAGGAACAGAGTCATAGACAATGGGATACAAATGAAATGGAAGTCAAGGAAATCTCTGGAAGAGATTTGTGCTTGCTTCTCCAGACAGTCTGTGTTTTGCCATCAACAGATCAGGCTCTTTAAAATATACACACCACCTAATTTTCAGGTTTGTCGTTAGCAGATGCTCTGCATGAGAAACCTGTTCTATGATATTTGTGTGTACATACTCTGGATTAGTATTTAGTACTTTAGTATGGGAGTCAGAGGACTCTTACCAGCAGCAGTAGTTGCTTCTGTAGTTGCTTCCGGGGTGACAGAAGCTAGTTCGTAAGAGAAACAAAGTAACAGAGTAAGAGAAAAATGGTGCAGTAAAGTGAAATCAAAACTGTATATTGTACTAATGCTTTTAAATAGCTAGCAGATTCTTCTTACTAGGATCAATGTGTTCTGTGGTTGTTTCTTGCAAAATGTGTTCTGTAGTTGTTTCTTGCAAGATGTGTTCTGTGGTTGTTTCTTGCAAAAGAAAGGAATAAAAATTATTAAGAACTATATTACATTGAAACCCCATTTTTGTGGCAGTGAATTTTGTTTGACCATTAGATGATCTAACATATAGTATTTACTTATGAATGAATGAAAGGTGAATTGTTGGGGAATGAGAAGACAAATAAAAGAAGGGAATATAAATCCAATATGTACTCTTGTCCTTCAAGCCTATAGTCCCCTGGGGCAGTAAGGCCCTCTGGTAGTAAGGGAGTAAGGCTAGACTGGTGACTGGGAGCGGCCGCCGAGACCACATAACACCGGTCTTGAAAGACCTACATTGGCTCTCAGTACGTTTCCGAGCACAATTCAAAGTGTTGGTGTTGACCTTTAAAGCCCTAAACAGCCTCGGTCCAGTATATTTGAAGGAGCGTCTCCACCCCCATCGTTCTACCTGGACACTGAGGTCCAGCACCGAGGGCCTTCTGGCGGTTCCCTCACTGCGAGAAGCGAAGTTACAGGGAACCAGGCAGAGAGTCTTCTTGGTAGTGGCGCCCACCCTGTGGAACGCCCTCCCATCAGATGTCAAGGAAATAAACAACTATCTGATGTTTAGAAGACATCTGAAGGCAGCCCTGTTTAGGGAAGTTTAATGTATTTTTAATCTTTTTTTGGAAACTGCCCAGAGTAGCTGGGGAAACCCAGCCAGATGGGCAAGGTATAAATAATAATAAAGAAATATAATAATAATAATAATAATAATAATAATAATGGCGGCATTGGATCTTCCTCTCCAAGGGTGGAAAGAGGGGTTGGAGAGAGAGATCAGGTGATGAATCCCTCTACTTCACTGCCACAGAAGTGTCCCCAGTACTTGCCCAAATGAAATCAAAAGGGCCGAAAAAGTGGCAGACCAGGGTGCAGAAGCTTCTTTACTCAAGCAACATTTACCCACACTAGGGAAAATTCAGCTCCTTCCCAACCATAAGAATCCAGTGCCATCCCAGTCACCTCCCAAACCAGCCCTGATGTCCTTATCAACATGCCGTTTCATATTTTTTTACCATTTAGTACACATTTAGCGTTATCACATTTACCATTTACCAGTTCCACACCCACCCAATCTGGATTAATTAGGAAAATAATATGGGACTGCATTTTGATGAGGACTGTGCCATGTAGATGCTGTGCAAAACATGCATGCGTGAGCACAGGTCCACAATAAACCGTCGTGTGAACAGACCCAGTAAATGCAACAGGTTTGAAGTCCTGTTTCTGGACTTCCCAAAATGAGGGGCTACGAGGATGTTCAGTCTTATTAGGCAGGACTCTTTTTATATATTCTTATGCAATTTTTAAAGAAGCATAAGGATCCATTCATGAAAGCAGCAGATTGAATATATTTGTTGATTAATAGGTGACTCTAAAAATTACATTTTACCTTGTGGCGTAGTATAGTAATAAGCAGTAAATGATGGTCCTGCGTTAAAGGAATTTCTGTACAACTCAACAGTCATTATGTCTGAAGTGGATATAAATACATGACGGGTAGGCAAGCAAATTCTTCCAAGTTGTCTTGATGAGCCCAGGCCACCATCATAGATGGCAATATAGTCTGTGCGGCAGTTCAAACTGTAGATGCAAATTTAGAAGTTATTATTTATTATTCATATTAATGGAGCCACGTAAAAACTCTATTTTTATTCCTCGCAACTAGCAATTCCTCAAGACATGGCATGTTAGATTATGCTGAGAGACTGGCAAAAAATTGATTACCAAATATTGGAAATACACTCAATCATTCTCCATAAATCTGAGTATTTGAAAAAATATGGGGTCAGCCTCACATTTACAGTCAGATTTTAGCAATGTTTTCTAAGATGGCTCTACCATCGCCATCGATCCCCGGCATTGAATGTGTTGGCCTAGTGTGGGGCTCCGAGGAGAGCTTGGCTGTCTGGCTGGTGTACCGGCCACCTAGCGCACCAGCAGCCACCCTGTCAGGCCTATTGGAGGCGGTGGCCGGCTGGGCCTTGGAGTTCCCTAACCTATTGGTATTGGGGGACCCTGATAGATTCTGCCAAGCCTTGCGGGACCTTGCTCCCCCTGGCGACTCATTGACTGAGCTTGTTGAGGGCTGGAATACCCAGCTCCTGGCAGCCATCGATGAGATCGCACCTAAGCGCCCTCTGCAAACCCACAGAAACCGGGCTCCCTGGTTTACCGAGGAGCTCTGGAAAATGAAGCGGGACCTCAGACGGCTAGAGCGAGTATGGCAGGGTGCCCGTGACGGAGCCTCAAGAACATCTTATAGGGCTTTTATGAAAACCTACGAGATGGCGGTGAAGGCTGCTAAGAAGTCATACTTCTCGGCCTCCATTGCATCCGCTAGCTCTCGCCCAGCGCAATTATTTAGTATAATCAGGTCTTTAACGTCCCTTGAGGGACAGCCAAATTTAAATAACAATTTGACACTTAGCTGTGAGGCATTTGCGAGCTTTTTGCGGAGAAGGTCTTGTTGCTCTGCCATGACCTCCCTGCCAATTTGGATACAATAAAGGAACTGGAGGCCCCTCGACTGTCCTCGGGTCCAGTATTGGACCACTTCGACTGGATATCCCCAGCCGATGTGGACAGACTCCTCCGAGCTGGAAAGCCCACCACCTGTCCTCTCGACCCGTGCCCGTCTTGGCTGATTAGAGCATGTCCAGACGAGGTGCGGGTCCTCCTGGGGGATATCATCAATTTGTCCCTTGGCACGGGGACATTCCCAGGGGAACTGAAGGAGGCAGTGGTGCGCCCGCTCTTAAAGAAAACATCATTAGATCCTTTAGATCTATCCAATTACCGCCCGGTTTCGAATCTTCCGTTCCTGGGTAAGGTGATTGAGAGAGCGGTTGCTGAACAGCTTGGTGGGTTTCTGGATGAAACATCGGCTCTGGATCCATTCCAGTCCGGCTTCTGCGCTGGTCATGGGACCGAGACGGCTCTGGTCGCCCTAACAGATGATCTTCGTAGACAGCTGGATCGAGGCGGGTTGGGGCTGCTGATTCTTCTAGATCTGTCAGCAGCTTTCGACATGGTCGATCACGAACTTCTGGACCACCGCCTTGCCGACGTGGGGATCCAGGGCACAGTCCTTCAATGGCTGCGCTCGTTTCTCTCTGGTCGGGGACAGAGGGTGGCGCTTGGGGGGGAATTGTCATCGCGCCACTCCTTGGTGTGTGGAGTACCTCAGGGTGCGATCCTCTCCCCGATGCTTTTCAACATCTTTATGCGCCCCCCTCGCCCAGCTTGTTCGGAGTTTTGGGCTGGGTTGCCATCAGTATGCCGATGACACCCAACTCTATCTGTTGATGGATGGCCATCCTGACTCGGCCCCAGACACACTGACCAGATGTTTGGAAGCTGTGGCTGGATGGTTACGTGGGAGCCGGTTGAAGCTAAATCCTTCGAAGACAGAGGTCCTGTGGCTGGGACGGGGCGATAGGGGATTGGGGGGGCAACTCCCATCTCTTGCGGGGGCGCAATTAGTGCCAGCACCGTCCGTTAAGAGTTTGGGTGTAATCTTCGACACCTCCCTTTCCATGGAGGCACAGATTACAGCTATAACAAAGGCGGCATTTTTCCATCTCCGCCAAGCTAAGCAGTTGGCTCCTTACCTCTCTCGCCCTGACCTAGCCACTGTGATCCACGCGACGGTCACCTCCAGACTGGATTATTGTAACTCGCTCTACGTGGGGCTGCCCTTGAGACTGACCCAGAATCTCCAGCGGGTGCAGAATGCTGCAGCGAGACTCCTTACGAGGTCTTCGCTGCGAGATCACATTCACCCGGTGCTATACCAGCTGCACTGGCTCCCGGTGGAGTACAGGATCAGGTTTAAGGTGCTGGTTTTAACCTTTAAAGCCCTATACGGCCTAGGACCCTCGTACCTATGGGACCGCCTCTCCTGGTATGCCCCACAGAGAAACTTACGGTCTTCAAATAAAAACATCTTGAAGGTCCCAGGCCACAGAGAAGTTAGGCTGGCCTCAACTAGAGCCAGGGCTTTTTCGGCTGTCGCTCCGATCTGGTGGAACACTCTGTCACAAGAGACCAGGGCCCTGCGGGACTTGACATCTTTCCGCAGGGCCTGCAAGACAGAGCTGTTCCACCAGGCCTTTGGCCAGGGCACAGCCTGACTCCCTCCCTCGGCAATCTTCGCGGAGCTCTGGCCCAATGGTTGCCAGTGGCCTGAATTAATTAATTTTATAATGAATGATTTTAGAGTGTTGTTTTTGCTATACTTTTATACTGTTTTATTGTTGTTAGCCGCCCTGAGCCCGGCTTCGGCTGGGGAGGGCGGGATATAAATAAAATTTATTATTATTATTATTATTATTATTATTATTATTATTATAAGTTATATGGATGTAGACAGGCATTGGGAGAAAGCTTTAAGTTACCAAGCTGTGATGAATACTATCGAATTTGATTCAAGTTGTTGAGTACATGTAATGCAATGTATATAAAATGTCACAGAATAAGTATTATAAAAACAAAAATACTAAGTAATACATATTCTTCACAGTAATTAAAAGCCCTGGATGTGTGTGAGAGAGGCATTCCATTCTCCCCCTCTATTCTCCATTCAATATTCCCTTATTCATTGGGGCTCATTGTAGGCATTTGTGTGAACTATATCACGTATATACGTATATGGGACTATTGAAAAACTGTGAATTGTATCTTGCCCATTGCCTTCTTATGTACAATCATACCTTAGAAGTGGAACAGCTTAGTTCCCGAATGTTTTGTCTCCTGGTAGTCTCAAACCCAGAAGTGACTATTCCAGTTTGTGAACTATTTTTGGAAGCCAAATGTCCGATGGGGCTTCCATGAATTCCAATCAGAAGTCACGCTTTGGTTTTCGAAAGTTTTGGAAGTCAAACGGACTTCTGGAATGGATTCCGTTCGACTTCCAAGGTACGACCATATCTGGTCCTGGGTGATTCTGGCTACCTCACTTGATTGTTCTAGACATGAAGAATTATCTTGGACTCAAACATTTTTGACCATATCCACAGGGGAAGCCATGTAAGGCTGTTGCAGCAAAAAACAATGAAGGTTCTGTGTAAAAGGTCTTGCCCAAAGGCCATTAAAGACTAAAGAATATTAAATGCTGTTTGTCTTTAAATGTGTCGGTCTTTAAGATGGCACAAAACTCCATGTTGTTTAGGAGCATTTTACTGGTTGCAAAAACAGATTTAGAAATTAATCAGTCAAATGTACAGAAAGGACTACGATAATGCAAATACTTACTTCCAACCAACTGTTTTAAACTGTAAAACAACTCTACTGTAAAACATTGGAGCTTTAATTTCCCAGGCACACTGCACCAGCCTGCCATATCCAGGATAATCAGGGCCATAGATATATCCATATGGTTCCGAGAGGATGCCACCACACTGAAAGGGCGCTGAAGAACACAGACAGAACATTTTGTAGAGCCAGGCTCAGTTGTCATTATGCGCAAGGTATTGTAGAGATAATCTCCTCTATAGCAACATTAGCACTGCATTTTAGATCTTCCCTCAGACCCCAGGCATCTAGGACTAACATTTCACCTAGGCACATTGGGAACACCCAATTCAGGGGGCTGGAAATATAGGATTTCTCAGAAGGCGATGATCATTTGTTCAGAGAACAAAGAAAGCAAGGAACAAAAATGTTAACCTTGCATCCCAGTGCAAGATGACCATGCTTTCAGTTGTGTGTGTATTTGCATATGCAATTTTTCAAAGGCTTAAAGCCTATTCTGTTTCTACTTTATGTCAAAACCAATATTAATCTACCTTTGGGTCAGTTCTCACTAACAGGCTCCTGCGGTGGAGGCTGATTTGTGAAAGCAAATGGGGCACTGCCCCACCAACCTCATTCTGCTGTCAGCCGCTCCCCCTGCCTGCCTGCCCACCATCCTATGTGCAAGTCCAGGAGGTGGTACTTCTGGTCAGATTCCTCCTTCTTAGTCTCAGTGTAACTTTGTACAGCTGAGCAAGGAGGAGAATGGGGACAACTAGGAAGCTGTCTAGCTGACTGTGCTCTGGCTCCATCTGCTGTTGGTCTTCCTGCTTTGCATTCTTTCAGCACCAAAGAGCATCAACCACGATTGTACTCAGATGGATTTGGATTTGATATCCCGCTTTATCACTACCCAAAGGAGTCTCAAAGCAGCTAACATTCTCCTTTCCCTTCCTCCCCCACCGCAAACACTCTGTGAGGTGAGTGGGGCTAAGAGACTTCAAAGAAGTGTGACTGGCCCAAGGTCACCCAGCAGCTGCATGTGGAGGAGTGGAGACGCGAACCCGGTTCCCCAGATTACGAGTCCACCGCTCTTAACCACTACACCACACTGGCTCAGATGGTCCTGAGATGCCATTATTATAAAGGATGTAAGAAGGCACTGCGTTTTAATTCTATGCTGTATCTTCTGCCCGAAACTACATTCCTTTTGCTGTTCACTGTGGCAAAATTACATGCAAAAAGGTAGGTACTCACTAGTGGTTTCTGGAGGAAGAGTTGTTGCTAAAGAAAGATGAACATTGGTCAGCAAATTTAAATATCCACATTGTACTATGTTCATTTTAAAAAATGATACATTGTACTATGTTCATTTTAAAAAAGGGACATAGATATATCCAAATGGTTCCGAGAGGATGCCACCACACTGAAAGGGCACTGAAGAACACAGACAGAACATTTTGTAGAGCCAGGCTCAATTGTCATTATGCGCACGGTATGGTAGAGGTAATCTCCTCTACAGCAACATTAGCACTGCATTTTAGATCTTCCCTCAGACCCCAGGCATCTAGGACTAACATTTCACCTAGGCACATTGGGAACACCCAGTTCAGGGGGCTGGAAATATAGGATTTCTCAGAAGGCGATGATCAGAAAGCAAGGAACAAAAATGTTAACTTTACATCCCAGTGCAAGATGACCATGCTTTCAGTTGTGTGTGTGTGTTTGCATATGCAATTTTTCAAAGGCTTAAAGCCTATTCTGTTTCTACTTTGTGTCAAAACAAATATTAATCTACCTTTGGGTCAGGCTGATTTGTGAAAGCAAATGGGGCACTGCCCCACCAACCTCATTCTGCTGTCAGCCGCTCCCCCTGCCTGCCTGCCCACCATCCTATGTGCAAGTCCAGGAGGTGGTACTTCTGGTCAGATTCCTCCTTCTTAGTCTCAGTGTTAGCTTTGTACAGCTGAGCAAGGAGGAGAATGGGGACAACTAGGAAGCTGCCTAGATGACTGTGCTCTGGCTCCATCTGCTGTTGGTCTTCCTGCTTTGCATTCTTTCAGCACCAAAGAGCATCAACCACGATTGTACTCAGATGGTCCTGAGATGCCATTATTATAAGGGATGTAAGAAGGCACTGCGTTTTAATTCCATGCTGTATCTTCTGCCCGAAACTACATTATTCCCTTGGCTGTTCACTGTGGCAAAATTACATGCAAAAAGGTAGGTACTCACTAGTGGTTTCTGGAGGAAGAGTTGTTGCTAAAGAAAGATGAACATTGGTCAGCAAATTTAAATATCCACATTCTACTATGTTCATTTTAAAAAATGAACTACTTGTTACACAAAAGAGTTAAAATTATATCTTATACTTGAATTTTGCATGCAAATGTAGTGAAGAGATACAGAAGAACAGAAAAGTAATTTATTTATTTATAAGTCAAGGACTTTTAAGTGAAGAACCAAAGGTGTCCCATCGCTGGCCTAGAGAGATTAGGACTGAGGTGCCCTGTTTTGCATTGCTCCTGCTACAGCCTGAGGGGAAGGCTATTCTCAAATCACCCCTGCTGCCTCTGTCTTCCCTTGAAGAAGAGAAAGGCGGTGGACATAAGTCCAAATGCCTGTAAAGCCCTTCAGTTAACAGAGATTGCAGTGTTTTTACACCATAACAAGTTGTGATCAGAGATGTTTTCTATTTTAAGAGGGCCCTCTTCACTGGATATTCATTATTCTTAACTGCATGAACACAGAGAGAAGGCAACAGATTTGCAACTGAATGTCTGATTATTCAGTTGAAGACTTGCTTCTCTCTAATTCATACCCTTTTTGGACAAAGTATAACAATAAAGATTTAGATTAGAAACTTACTATACACAGGTTCGGTTGTCAACTCTGGAGCTGTGAGAGAAGAATTTGATGAAAAAAGCAACCTTTATCAATATTTGTGGAGTAAAGTTCAGTTGAATAACAAGCATTTTACCACCCCAGCATGTTGTCATAAATGGACAAGCAACAGAGACGTAAGTGTGTTTAGACTCTAATATCCTTAGAACACTGAAGAGAAACATAGGAGGACTCTTGACCAAGGTTAGCTGCTGTTCTGAAGAAAATTATAAATATCCTTATATGAAACAGAGGATGTGTGGCCCTTGGGATCCAGTGTTTTGGCTCTACACATACTAAAATAAACCAGGATATCACAATTTTTCAAGTTTTGTCCTAATTTTGTTCCTGTTTACTCTCATCTTCTCATCAGAAGGTGATATCCAACATTAGTCATATTCAGAGTAGTTCCACTGAAATAAATGAACCTACCCTGAATATGATTAAACACAGTGCTTTTTTCTGGGGGGGACGCAGGGGTACACATACCCCTAAACATTTTGTGAATTTAAGTTTGGCCTCATTGAGGGGCGATATTTCAATATGAGTAGGAAAATGAGAGTACCCCTAAACATTTTTTTTAGAAAAAAGCACTGATTCAACATTAGATTTCACCTCATGATGAAAGAATATTTACAACAACAACAAAGCAAGAATAAATACATCTGTTTCCAACAAACTTTCATTCTTTCATTCACTTACTCATTTCCATTAAGGTTCACCCCCTTTAGTTTTTAAAATGCATGCCAAGAAAGTATGCTGTTTTTATCTATGCTCCCATTTACCACCCCAAGTTTGGACAGGTAAGTGATGTTCAGATAATGTATATTCAATGACTTTTTACCTAATACGAAATAAAGTCTGTGTTGATTTAAAATGGGAATGGTATATCTCAGTTCTGTACTCAGTTAGTTCCACAACTTAGGGAAATAGCTGAAGAAAGCATTACAAAACAAATCAATATAGAGCTTTGCAAAGCTAAGTCTGAAAAAAAATATGTACCTTTTGAAGTCTCTTTCTCTTCTTGATTCCAGCTCAAATTAATTCTCTCTCCCTTGCTCTTACTGATGTTTTCTACAACAGATTATCTCTCCTTGTTTGGATTTCAGGATTCTCAATAACTTAATGTTAAATTTCCAATAGTTCCTTATTTGGTTTGTGTCTTTATTTTCTCTTCCATGCTAAAACCTCATTACCTCAACATTATCAAATGCTAGAGCATTTATGAGGTATCATTTAATTACATTTTGGTCAGAGTAGACCCACTGAAATTAATGAACATGACTAAGTTAGGACTCTCAATTTAAATGGATATACTCTCAGTAAAATTTAGTTGACTACTACCTATGACCATTACTCTGCCAAGCCTACTGTTATGCCCAGGGACCTTCATATTCCCTACATTAAAAAAAAAGGTGAGCAGATTTCATTACCTGTTGTTAATTCAGGGACTGGTGAGGTTGCCAGATCTATAAATAAAAAACATCATTTTATAAAACAGTCAACATTCTAGCAATTGTTAATGCTATAATGTCCCGCAGATGTCAAGATTCAACCTAGATTTTAAAAAATATTTCCTCTTTTAAAATCAAAACCACATTTATATTTTAAACTTGTATCGGAGCAATTGTAAAATGAGTGGTTGAAATAAGTATACATTTGCATGGTGTGGCAACCATCTTGATTCCAAATGGCATCCAATTGTATCCCAACTTGTCCCTTAATGTCCAGAACAACCATTATAATATTGTAAGAAGTATCCAAATGGATAGTGAAACAAACAACTTTCCAAAATATACAGTGAAAATGTTGATTTTTTAATAAAAAATTATTTGCGAATTTAGCACTTTTGCTTTCCCTATGAAGAAAAAATAAACATTTGAAGGAAGACTGGAGGAAACAAAATGAAAAACCATGGAAACAAATAGGGGTTTGGGCAGCTTTTACGAGTAGCATAGTTCTGGATCTGAGAAGACTAAAAAAGGCAAAATTTCACTGAAAAGGTTGAGCAGAAATAGTTTGTGGATGAGTCAGGCCTTCTCCAGATAATCAAAACAGTGACACTGAACATATGTGTGGAGGGTAAGACCGCAGATCAGCTCCCCATCCAACCTGCATATGTGTAGTAGGGATAAAACCAGGCCTTGCACTGCCTGCAATTTGGCAGGCTTAATGCTCTCTGGAGAGGCATTGTTTTCTCTGTCATCCATTCCTGGAGAAAAGGGGAAAACGTTCAGCCATGTTTAAATTCCCCATCATAATCAATGGGGAGAAACAGGTCTAATTCAGACTCGGAACAAGAAGTCAAACTGGAAAGACAGAGTGGCTCTGAAGCAGCGTAGATTGTTTCCCAATATTACAAGTACAGATACAAGCCAATCTAGTGAACTGTTGCACAACCCTATTGTTTACTGCGTTAAAGCCCCTCTGTTGGAATCCTGAAGCAAATGCCCATAATGTCAAATTCTAATCCGATCTACAAAATTCTATTCCTGCATACGAAAAGCAAAAATATTCGGCTGCATGGAAAGTAAATGTATGAGTTCCAGGGTTACCTGTTATATCGTAATAGGCAAAAAAGCCAGAGCCCGCACGATAGGACCCTCTGTGGAGTAAAACTTTCATGAGGCCTGAACGTGAAACGAATACCTGACTTGGGCCATCGCATATTTGCCCAAGTAGTGCTGAATGATCTACCATTCCATCATAGATTTGAATGTATTCACGAGTACAGTCCAAACTGTGGAGGAAAAAGTGTCATTAGTCATACTGTACAAGGCAAAGAAATTCCTGCATTCAAAAGTATCAGATGACAATGACAATGACAATGATTTTATTATTTATATGATTTTGATGATTTCATTTTCTCCTCACATTCTTAACTTTAAAAACTCTGTCTCCTCTCCCACCTGCGGTTTGTGACCCCTTGAGTTCAGTTAATTTTTTGTCGTAACACATCAACAGCAAAATCCTATGCATGGCTAATTGGAAGCAAGTACTCTTGAGTTCCCTGAGACCTGCTCCCAGATAAGTAGGACATATAAAGGCCTTGTAGCACTAAATATTGTAGCATTTTGATTAATGTAATGTCTCATTGGTTTTATTAAATTTGTGAATGAAGACTCAGAAGCTTCAACAGCCCAAGTGAGATATGCAGGCCATAGTTGACCCAGATTCCCTGGCACTTATGGAATTGCCAGCCATTTTTTACTAACTTTGCAAATAACAGAACAACTGGAATGGACTCTGAAACTGGAAAATGTTCTTTCTTTCTTTCTTTCTTTCTTTCTTTCTTTCTTTCTTTCTCTTTCACATATATGCTTTAAGGATATGCATGCTTTTATTCCTTTGTGATTTCAGTAATGATGAAATTTTTTGAAAAACAAATTAAACTGGCACACCTGTAACCCACAACAGGGTGGTGGTGTCAGCTCCCTCACACCTTGCAGACGAACCTGATCCATCAACAAGCTGCTCAGGTGAAAAGCCCTTATACATGATTTACACAAGGTATTTTTTAAAAAATGTCAAATCGATCAGTTTATGTATTATATCAATTCTGCATCCTTTTGCTCTAGTTATTCAAAACAAGCAAACATATAAAGAAAAAGAAAAGATGAAAGAACCAGGAGAACATGAAAAGGGGTAAGTGTGGAAAAAGAGAAGCAGAAAGTGAAGAAAAAGATTAAGGAGGAAAGGAAGCATGACGAAATAATTTCCTCTTCAGTGGTACCTATTGCCAAAGTACAAGCGAGATGCTGACAGTACAAAACACTAGCTTTCAGCAACGGAGGACTTACCTGAAATAATCAAGGGTTAGCACTATAGGAATCTTATAATATGAAACAATTGTCCAGAGACACTCTACGACGTCTCCACCACCATTGTAATATGGGGGAGAAAATGACCTCGATGGATCTGTGAAAGTCTTGCCACAACTGTAGCTACCTAACAAATACAAAAATAAACGCTGAGTATTGCGTCAAAGCACTGCTTCCCCCTACCCCTCCAAAAGCAGATCCCAGTAACAACTTTCCAGCTTCACCAAGACCCAGAGGACAGAATCACAAGGACTGAATTCCATGTAGTCCTTCTGTTTTCTTCAGCCATCTTCAGCATCACATCTGTTGTGTGTCATGAAGCCAGGTGATCTTTGCACCATTAAGCAGAGAGCTGCCATTGGCAGAAGAATAAATACTAGATCTACTACGAGCCCAGTGAATCCAGCTTTTCTTTGCAGCACAGGCCTATAGATAGGTTCAGCTCATAGTAGGCATTCTTATAAGAACAAGAAGCCAGAATGCAAAGAATTCAAAGGTTTTTCTGAATGCTTTGCTATGGGTATTTTTTTGGGGGGGGGGAAATCTGATGTGCTTGATTTAGTACCCTAATAAAATATGCTGTTGCGGGGGGGGGGAGGCAGTTTCTCCTTCTCCTTCTCCCCTTCTGGCCAAATATTTAACTTGAGTTAGAACTGTTCCCCCCCCCCCAAAAAAAAAGATTTCAAGCTTATTATTATTTATTATTATTTCTTAAATTTGTATACTGCCCTTCATCCAAAGATCACAGGGCAATTCACAAGATATTGGGTCAGGCTGGGTTGGACCCAGATCAGCTTGGGTCAGATTGGGTTGCTCCAGTGTGTCAGATAGGGCCCTAGATTGCATTGAGGGGCCTGCACAGCCCCAGCAATTAGGCTCCTCCAACAGCATCTGAAGGGGTTCGCAGGCTACCCACTAGCAAATTTCTGCATGAGAAAGCGATGCTATATTATCAGCATGCCGGGAACTGGAATTCAACATTATATTATGTAGCAGAAGAGATGCTGCTTACCTTTAGCTACTGTTGTGGCAGATTTCACTCCTATTTAAAAGAAAAGGGAGAGAGGAAAGAGAATCAAGAAAACATTGCAAGAATACAATTTCAAAATTGTTCATTGAATTGATGTGGTTTAATATGTAGCAGGAAATGTTCCTCATCAAGAAGAAAAAAATGGCTTCATTGAATGCCATGCTCACAATGAATAAAAATATGCCACTTTTGCTAGCAAGAAGAAGAAGAACAAGGACACTCCTCTAGCAAATCCAATTTCTGCAACCTTTATAGTGGAATGCAGTTACAAATCTTAGGGGTCTCATATGTAGGGCTTCAATCTTAAATGCAATCAAGTTGTGTTCTTACAAACAAAAAGAAACCCCAAATGAATAAGAGCACTGTATGCTAAAAGTTCCATTTCATCTGAGCTCAAAGCAGGAGCTGTACAAGTTGGAAGTTGTACATTGGAGGCCAATCTGCAACACTAGCTCACTTCTGGAGGCAGGGCCAGAGTGACATACATGAGGGAGAACCTGCTCTTTCTAGTATACTCCTGGATTGTAATTCCAGGATTAGGCCACAGCACAGCACTGTTGTGGCTGGCAGTAGTAAAGAAGAACCATTGCCAACTTGCATCCCTCCCCCTCCTTCCTTGATTGCTGGTTGACATTGCTGTAGACGGAGGTTAGCCACTAGTTGACAGGGCTGGGCAGTGGTGTAGCAAGCCGCTTGGGTGCCCGGGGCTGGTGCATGCACTGCCCGCAGGGGCAGGGCAAGCCACCCATGGGGTGGGGCAAATAAGCTGAGCTCCAGGCCATGCTGATTTTCCAGGCCATCCACAGCCAAGCAGGAGGTGGTGGCTGGGGCACTCTGCAGGCTGTGCGACACCCGGGACACCCTTTGGGTAAGCCTGCCACCCAGTGTGGACCACCCTCCCTGGCCCCCCCCCCCCCAGCTACGCTACTGGGGCTGGGAAAGGATTTCTCTCACAGCCAGAGCAAATTTTTATGTTACTGTATAAACTGCAAACGGGGGGGGGGGGGGAATCAAAGAACAGAGTTTGAACAATTACTTTTTAGACTCTTGAAATGGGACGTTATTCAACAAAACTCAGTTCTGTTTTAAGAGCAGCATTTCACAGTGTTTGACTAGTATTAAGGAAATGAATGTTAGTACTTAAATTCAAACAACATGAATCATTCTTCTGATCATCTTTATAACCTTACCGGCTTCTGGAAATCTGATAGCATTTAATTTATGATTACTGCCACTTAACCACACACAGAGTAGCTCCTTTTCATAATCCTTTTGTTCTGAAGTGGTGCTAGTATAATCTCAAAATGCTTCCATAGAACCCCAGCGAAACCTCTGTAGAAGGCGTAATTTGCAGAAGACAGTAATTGCACCACAGCAAATCTTTTGCACCTGCCGTTGGGAGTATCCTTCATAGAGGTCAAAGAGGAACACACGGGACACAGGCTTTGGATAAACATGGGTCTTGACTATGTGCAAACATGACTATGACTGTTGCTCAGCATCCCAGTGGCATAGCAATGCAATCATCATCTCAGGTAGACTGATCCACACCTACACCCCTTAAGGGGTCCCTCCTCATGTAAGGCAATGAGAACCCTAGCTCCATTCCCTCTCAGCTAAGCTACAGCTTGGTGCCAGAGCATCTGCTTTCCACGCAAAAGTTTCCAGGTTCAGTTCCCAGCATCTCCAGGTAGGACAAGGGGAGACTTGTCCTACAAGCTAAAGAACACCAAAATAGAAATATTTAATAAGTGAATTTACTAAAGCTACTACTGCTGAGCTTAAAAAAGGTTAAGGTTTATAGAGGAGTTTATTGTTTTATATAAATACATTTAAAGGTTATTAAAGACAGCTAAGCTTCTTCTGTATGACTGTGGGAAAGTATAATGAAAAATAATGATTAGCAATGAAAGGCTATTTCTGCAATAGTTGGGAAATGTGTAAATAATATCCAGGGGGAAGAACAATGAGTGTATTGAGCCTTGCTATGAAACTAATTTTTACAATGTTTGTAGCCTGGCAGCATGTAATTCCTCTCTCTCCCTACCCACTGGTGGAGTGCTTTGAAATATTGGCTAAGAATCTGCATGTATGGCTTTGGGAATGGGCTATTCCTTCATTTGATAAATGAGGAGTACATCGGCTCCTGGTCAAAAACCATGGCATGTAAGGCCTCTTTGATAGGTCTTTCAACCTTTTTCTTACCCACCTGGGGTATGATACTGCCCTCAAAACTGTGAAACAGAGCTTATGGGATATCACCTTTAGTGATTTCCGATCTTGCTCACATGTGACCTGTGGCCCATCTGTGTCAGGATTCCAATACCTACAGGGTTTTTTGTTATCTCCCTATCTTAAGAATTTGACTGTATCTAACTATCGCCATCTGTTTTCTAAAGTCAGATTAAATGTTTTCCCATCTGAAGTGCTGAGGGGAATATTGGCTGGTGTCCCATACCGAGATAGGCTGTGCCCATGTTCCCAGGATGTTGAATATATGGAATATATTTTAATAAACTGTCGTTTGTATAAACAGGTTCGACAGCATCTAATCAATCCAATACTATTGGAACAACCTAGAAATACTGACCCATTTCATGTCAAGGTTCTCCTTGAGGATAAGTTTGATACTGTTACACTTTTTGAAGGCAATAAAAATAAGAAATCAGTATGTACCAGCTAAAGCTCCTCTGTTGGCCAGCAAGGCTGATCTTACACCTTAATAACTGTTAATATGTACTATTGTTGTACTGTGTATTTTGGGTCTAAGGACCACGATAAAGTGGTCTCTCTCCCTCTCTCTCTCTCTCTCTCTCTCTCTCTCTCGTGTGTGTGAATATAGATATTATAGATATTAAATTAAGAGATGTCCCATATGTGTTTTTATCACCCAGACATTACCAGAACTGAAGATCTATATCTGATGTCTGGGATTGGGTGTTCAAAACTGGGGAATGAGTGCAGAAGAAGGAATTGGACCTCAACTGTTGTGCTTTAACTGACCCACAGCTTATGCTTTCAGTGCTCTATTTGCGCACCTAGGTCTGTGGAATTACAGTGAGCAGGACTGAAGTGGACTGGTTCCTCCACCTCGATTTTTCTTACATCCATGCTGATGTTCACAGCCTGTTGCCTCTTCCCTCTTCCCCAACACACACACAAAAATACTTCACCTTGAGGACAGGGAGTAGGTAGGAGAGGGCAGCATGCTCTTGAAAAGGCTAAGACCCAATAGATTTCTGCTTCAGGAGGAAATGATGTTCTGAGCATCTCTTCCCACTGTGAATGGTGGTGGGCTGATTTTCAAGCCTCCATCATTGAACCCTTTGGAGAAGCCTTCACCAGCCTGGTGCTCTTTGGATGTTTTTGGAAGCCTACTCCCATCAGCCCCATTCATGTTGTTTGGGATGGGAGTTATAGGCTAATGACATCTGGAAGGCACCAGGTTGAAGAAGACTGCTCTTGAGAATTATGGCTGAATGCTCAGAGAAACCTCTCAAGGGTTTTCAAGAATTCAAAAGTAATGCTTATGGAATGCAACCAACTGGGGTGGTGGAGAGTCCCTTGATGCCTTCTCAGTTATAAATAGCTGCATGGAATGAATATTCTCCATAATAGGAAATATTTGGGCAAATGGGGGGGGGATTTCTTTGCATTGACATAGATATTTGCTTCCATGCAAATACAGTTATGACAACCTCTTTAACTACAGAAGTCAGAAACTAGATGTAGCTGCTAGTCCAGTATCCTGTTCTGACTGTGGGAAGCCTGCAACAGGACCTGAATGTAACAGCAACACTCAGTAACTAGAGTTATTTAAGGCAGATTCAAGTAAAATACAATTCAAGCAAAAATGTTACACAGCATAGTACCTTGGACACTTAATATTAAAAAGTGATGTATTTCCAATTAGTTAATTAATAAAATGTGTAAGTTGTGGTTGGTTCATTTTTTAAAATGGAAGTTTTTCAAATTGGATGCAACCCATGCTGGGGGTGATGACATGGGTAATGCACAAGAAAACACAGGAAAGAGTGATGTGTAGGAAAGGAAAAGCATTTCCAAGTCATTGAATTCCTCCTCTCTAAATCAGTTTGAGTACACCATCACACACCACAGACGTCATGGTCACGCAACAACCTACGCTGTTTCTGGCAGGGAGAGAAAGGAAATTTCTAGCACTGACCAACCCTTGCCAACCTTCTCTTCCCATCCCCAGCCACACCTTCCCTCCTGGCTTCCGAACTTTTCCCCTTTGTGTGGGTGGCAGGATCTGGCACACAGTGGTTCTTGTTTAAGACTGATGCCCAGGAGAGCCTACAAAACAATAGTCGCAACTCGCATCAAAATATATTTCAGCACAGCTAGTCACTATACAAAACATTATTGAGCCAGGGAATTTATAGTCCAAACCAGCTGGAGTGGAACAACTACTTAAAAATGAGTTTTAAATAAGTGAGACCTACAACAAAAATGTTGGCGTGTGCAGTAGCCTCAGTTCAAGATTCCCTACTCTAATTCAGTTCCCCCTACCTAGGAATGGGCAAATATGTGCATCTTGGTTTCTCCCCATTCCTCATGTTTCCAATCCTTTCAGTTTTTCACATTTCCAATCCAGTTTGTAATTTTTAAAGTCCTCATAAAATTTATCAGCATTTTAGTGCAAATTTCTCCTAATATACACATGCGGAATTCATATTTGCCCCTTTGTACACGGGTGGTGCTGTGGGTTAAACCACAGAGCCTAGGACTTGCCGATCAGAAGGTTGGCGGTTCGAATCCCCACGACGGGGTGAGCTCCCATTGCTCGGTCCCTGCTCCTGCCAACCTAGCAGTTCGAAAGCATGTCAAAGTGCAAGTAGATAAATAGGTACCGCTCCGGCGGGAAGGTAAATGGCATTTCCATGCGCTGCTCTGGTTCGCCAGAAGCGGCTTAGTCATGCTGGCCACATGACCTGGAAGCTGTACGCCGGCTCCCTCAGCCAATAAAGCAAGATGAGCGCCGCAACCCCAGAGTTGGTCACGACTAGACCTAATGGTCAGGGGTCCCTTTACCTTTACCTTTACACATTTTTTTGCAAAGCTGTTTTCCCTAATATAATGCATTTCTTCCATTATTTTCACTTACATATGCATGTTTAGGCACCCTTTATCCTAGTCTATGCATTTGTGTATGCATTACTTATCCACAGAATAAGATCTCAAAGGATGGCTGTGTTTTAGTTTGTGTATTGTTTCAGAAAGTGCATGGTAGGTAGGTTCACCTTTAAATGTGAACTGAATCAAATTGCTCCCCTCTGTCCCTTGGTTTTCTCTACCTGCCCCCAACAGTCAATATTTATTGGCCCCTGAGGACACCATTCCCTGTGTGGAATGCTTGGTCCACTTTTCTTCTGTAAAAAAATTCCATACAATTGCAAATCTTGGGTTTCCCCTAAACCTATTGATAGCATCCTTTTTCATTTTTGGAATGCCATTTTGGCTCTGTAAGATATGAGGCGTCCCCCCTAAGGATTGGGAATAGTGTATGTGATTAATGATCAGTTCTATCGATTGTGGGAGGGGCTTACTTTCCACAATCCTTCTAAACTTGTTTTAGAAGTGAATCTTCCATCCTATTGCCCATGATTAGGGAGACCCTGAATCTGTGCGTGCAGGAAACCCGTGGCAACATCTGCTGGGACCAGGAGTGCCAACTTGGCCCCAGGACCATGGGTGCCTTAGCACCAAATTTTGTGGTTGTCCAGCCCCTTCATGGGGAATTTTGTGAGTGCTGAGGCATCCAGGGCCCCAGGGAGTTGGCGCCTATGGCTGCGACCTTCTGGGGGCAATTGGGGGGGGGGGGAAGATCCCATACCACATCAAAAACATGAACTTCAACTGGGCACATGCTGAAGAAGCTGCTACGCTCTAAAATACATCTAATCCATTTTACATTGAGGTAAAAACTGCCTTTCAAGCTTGAGTGTTCTATAGGTAGTATAAGTAGGAGCACAAATTTGATGCTCAGAGGTTCTGGACTCCAGGTGGTGTTTATCTAGAGCCAAGGGTGCCGGCGTCTGGGGCCAAAGCACTTTAGCTTTCTCCCCCATCTTATTTTAGAGAAGGACGGGCCAACTTCTCTGGACAATTGAGGGGACGCACGTGACATCATAAAGTCACACAACATCAGAATGCCATGCAGTGCCACACGCGTGACATCAGAACGTTGCACGATATCATGTGCATGATGTTGGGATGTCATGACAGGACCCCTAAATAGTCTGGAGAAGCTGGCACCTCTGCCCATAGCAGATCCTTTAAAATTAATGGACCTAACTTAGTCATGTTCATTAATTTTAGTGTGTTTACTATATGTAAAACTTAGTTGAATACCACCCAATATGTTTGGGAAGATTCCTAACAAAAAAAATGTTGATTTAGCTTCTTAATGACCTTTTTGAAAACTGTTTTTCTTTCAAGCCTCCAGTGGAGAGGGATAGAAAAAGTTCCCTAGACAATCTACCTAGTCTACATCTCAAAACTATTCTCTGAAACCTAACTTCCCTGAATTGAATGCCAAATGTAATCAAAGTAATAAATCATTCAATAATTTCCCCCAAACAAAGGCAAGGTTGTGAAATGAATAGAGTAATGGTTTTTAATTTATTTTCTAACGAACACTAACATACCGATCCAGCCAAAGTTCACCCCACTGAAACCAGTAGAATAAATTGGTTTTGACAAACTTATCCCATTGCTCCCGACAAGATTTGCGGTCTGTTCCTGTTTCCTGAGAAACAAGTCAATGGCACTTACTTCCCTGAAGTGTGCATAAGGGTGGCTAACTCTAGATGGATGCACAGACCATAATCTGAAGACCAAGTTTGCAACAAAGCAAATGACAGTCAATTTTCTACAGCAAAGTTGATACCTATGACTATGCTCTAAAAGGTTCAAGCAGTTCATATATGAAAACAGTCAACATTCGTTTCTTCATAGGAATATATGAAGCTGCCTTATACGGACTTAAATTCATTGGTCCATCTACATCAGTATTGTCTACACTGACTGGCAGAAACTCTCCAGTGTTTCAGTCAAGAGACTTTCCCAACCCTATATGGTGATACCAGGGTTGGAACTTGGAGCCTTCCCTACCACTGTGCTACAGACTTTGTCCTTTATTTTTCAATTCTGATTTAAGCATTTATTTATTGAAATTGCTGTTCGACTTTATGTATGCAAGACAGAAAAGAAGGTGAAGCAAAGATATCTCTCTCTCTCTCTCTCTCTCACACACACACACACACACACACAGCACATTACCTGATGCTGAGAGTAGCACCCAAAAAAAGATCACAGTTTGATCCATCTTGGGCTAAGATTCCAGGAGAATTAGGAGTAGTAACCTTCAGGATGAAGACACCTGAACATATATAGTGTGGTGGGTCTGAAATTTGATCTGCCCTTTTTCGTCAGCTCCTGGGAAAAGGAAGTTCTCTAGAAGGACTTTTGTGATGCCAAACAATGTTTGTTAAACTATGCCAACAATACGAGTGCATATCAATGCCACTTCCCTTATCTTTAATTTTTTATACTTGTTGTGTAAACAGTCCTCAATATGAAGCCCAGCGCTTGTCATTCTCCTTCTTCCTTTTTAAAAAAGGGGGGCTATTTTCCAGAAGGAAATGAGTGTGAATTAGATACCATCAAGTGCACCTACTTGTCACTTCATTTGGGGGAATGTCAGTAGGCAAGATTCTCTTAAGGAGAGTGTTGCACAAGAAATATTTGTGCCCATATGCAGCCAGGATCTAGAGAAACACACAGCTACTTCTGGGTGCTGAACTTGAGCTTTGGGCTTCTGTTTCTTGAAGTCATTCATATCAGTTATTAGCTGTGAGAGAATGTGGCTGCTTTCAAAATGATGTTAATTGCTTTTAGAAGTTCTGGGTTGTTTTTTAATAATTCTATTTTTAGTTGTTCTGCTACTTGGTTGTTTGCTGCCCTGAGCTCCTTTGGGAGGAAGAGTGAGATACAAATCTAATAAATGAATAAAATAACTTGAACCATTTGTTTTCTCATTACATATTTTTTAGATTTCTTCCTGCCGCTGACTAGTGCAGTGGTTCCAACCTGCCCCCCCCCCTCCCGCCGGACCATTTTAAAACTACTGCGGTTCTTTTTCTCCCTATTGTAGCATGCGTACTGTGCTGTGCTAGATTCTGTATGAGTGTTAATTGCATTTTTATAGCTTGTTTTATTTATTATATATCACGCTCAATAGAATTCGAATGATAATACAATACAATAAATAAAAAAGCAATTAAAACTCTATTAAAATAAATATAAATGCTTAATGCAGTAGATATGCCACCTCCCATCTTCAACCACAAATCTGAAGACATGCCACAGATAACATGGGAAAAGTTTGCAGAACACTGAAATTCTGTGGACCAGGGCTTGGGAACCTCTGTAGCAGGGTAATTCAACAAGAAGATGTTTCTCCTTATGATTGCCTCCTTTTTAAAGCCAGAACATTCATGGGGACTTTTTATATATATAAATAGTTTTTTGTAAATTTGTTTGTGCCACATTAATTATTTTCAAGGCCAGGCCTTTGAATTTTTGCACATATTCTCTGGGTATTTGATCAAGCAAGTAGAAAGTCAAGACTGGTGAATGCTGAAAAATAATCAAAATGAATGAACAAGTAAGGTGTGAAGATAATGTATCTGGAGCCAAGTACTGAGCACTACAAAGACAATAGTACATATTTAAACAGGCGTTGTGAAAGATAAAGTAGCAGAGACAGCCAAGAATGGAAAATCGGATGGTGGGTAAAGAAAAATAGGGGTTGCAAGCAGGTCAAGGACATTTCAAGGCTTTGCCAATTTAGGTGGCAAGAAGGAGATGGGAAACTACTCAAGCAAACCTCAAACCAAACTACCTGATATTTATTAACAACAATTTCTGCAAAGAAGCATGACATTTCTAAACATGGGAAGTTTACAAGAAAATTCCATTAATGAGTGTTTAGGGAGGGGGAGGGCCAGACAAAGAACAATTTAACAACTATTTTATTCCTGATTCACATGAATGGTAGTCTTGTGACAGTTTTAAAAGCAGCCTTCCAGGGGGGAAAAAAAGAGCTTTAAAAGAGCCTGCTGGATCAGGCCAAAGGATTGTCTAATCCAGCACTGTATTCTCACAAAGGCCAACTCCAAAGCCGAATTTAAGTGCAGCAGTTCCCCCACTACCACCTTGAATTCCTAGTGGAAATAGAACGCAGCCAACATGACTGGTAGCTGTTGATAGCCTTGTCCTCCATAACATACCTGTCAACGCTTCCCTTTTTTTAAGGGAAATTCCCTTATTCCGAATAGGATTCCTCACAAGAAAAGGGAAAAGTTGACAGCTATTCTCCATAAATTGGTTTGATCCTCTTTTAAGGCCTTCCCATTTTGTTTGCCATTAATGCCTGTTGTGGGAGCAAATACAGGCAACAACCATTTTACATGTTCAACACATGTGTTCAACATGTGCACAGCTGCACACACACACACACACACACACACACACACACCACTGCAACCTGGAAGTGGCCAGAAAAGGTGGCATGGTGGGAGCAGGGCAGAGGCAGAACAGGGGCAGAGCAGGCTTGTGCATGTTCTGCCAATGTGTGCAGGGGTCAAGAATGGAGCCCCCAGGCAAAATGGCTGTTGCTCGTACCACATAACTATGCATTGTGTTAACTATGCATTGTGTGAAGTTCTTTTTGTCATCCAACATTCAGTTCAATTTGATGACCCCCAAGCTCTACTATACTGAGACAGAGAAAAATATTTCCCTATCCAATTTATTCACACCACGCAGAACTAAACACACCTCTATCATACTCCTGCTTTCTCACCTCTTCTCGACACTAAAAAGCACCAAAAGTTATTTCCTCATAGAGGAATTGCTCCACCCACTTGAATCATTTTGGTTGCCATTTTCTGAACCTTTTACAGCTCCACAATATTCTTTTTGAGGTAAGACAACCAGAACTGTATACAGTACACCAAGTGTGGTTGTACCATAGAATTGTATATTCCTAATGATCCTTTCCCCTAATGATTCCTAGCATGGAATCTGCCTCACACCAACACCTTCATCAAGCTTGTAGCTGGTCAGGCACCATTAATTCATACCCTATGAGCGCATATGTGAAATTAATACATTTGGCTTCAATTTGCATCAAAGTACACTTGCTCACATTGCGTTGCATTTGCCATTTTACTGCTGATTCACCCAGTTTGGGAAAATCCTTTTGGGGCGCCTCACAATCCCCGTTTTTATTTTAACTACCCTGAACAAGTTGGTATTCATGGGTTATTCAGTTTGGTTTTCATCACTGTTAGTATGTTTTAAGGAGTTTGCTGTAGAGTGGTAAAAAGGAGGAGGCTGATATAGCAAGGGACTGCACATAAAATGAGCCATCCTTTAATCAGGCAAAATGGCTTCATGGTTAGACGAAGGCAATCTATTTGCAGAAGTAGGATTATATACATTCCTGCTCGGTTAAGAACTACAGGGCCAAAATTGTGCCTTGCATTTATCCAGATAGTCACATGTTGTTTAGGTATATGGTTTACTAGTACACACACAAATCTACTCATGGGATGCAGATGAACTTTTAAAAATCACTTTTTGGTTTTTTTAGCATTGGTCATTATAAAATTCTACCATTTTCATACTACTTTTGCAGCAATCCATGCATACATATTTTAACTGGAAATTCAACAGACAGACAGAAAGAAAACCTTTCCTTCTTCTTGTGACCTTTTGTAATGTGTTGTCTTGAGCAGATCTCCAATGACTTTTCTTAATCATGCTTTTATCCCCTGATTGATATCTTGTTTACTCACTCACTCCAGGTTTCCTAATCTACTGGTTGATTTGGTAAAGTACCCCCTTGATGGTCTTTATTCCTCAAGTACTATTTTTTAATGATATTTCTCCAGGGAGAGCCTAAGACATTTTGATCCTTATGGCTGAAATGTCAGATGGCATCCCCACACGGTGATAATAAATAAACCAACCAAATAATTCCCTACCTACCGTAGTAGCTTCATGCTGCCCCGTTTCACTCCCAGCTTTTAGTTCTTTCCTTATAAGCATCTTTCCCAAACCATATTTAGGACTTCCCTCTTCTGCCCTTGATCTCTCATACAAAGGCTTAAGCTAAAGTACGTAATACTTCAATGGTTCATTATTCTCCCCCCCCCCCCACATTCCCCCTTGTCAGTTCTTCACTGGTCATATTTTAAGCTGTGTAATCCTTTGAGGAAGAAGGATGTACAAGACTTTAGCTCACCGCAAATCCTAAACTTGGAACCTGGTGGGTGTCAGGAATTCAGTCTGTTTACAAACAACAAACCTCTAGTCAAAGTAGAGAACCACTGGGAAACCAGTCAGATCACCAGGGAAGCAATTAGCAGCAATCAGCAAGCTTAGTTATGTGGTACTTCCTTCTCCTTCCATTTTGCGTCACCCCTTAACAGGAGCTAGGTCTGACATGTGGCAGGTATGTCTTCTGTTTCCCAAATGGTAAACATATAGTAAGCAGAACTATTTTTCTAACATTTCTTTATAAAGTACATGATCTTCGTAATCTAAAGTACAAGTCCACAGTTTACAAATATACTGTCAAACTTTTCAGAGGAATGGCCAGTTTCATGCCAGGGTTCTGTGAAAAGGACTATCCTGTGGGTTCTCTTGAGGTATTACTGGACCAGAACCTTGGATCTGGTAGGAGTGACAAAAGTCTAATGGTGTGTTTCCCATGGAACGAATTGTTCAACCATTTCTCATTAAGTTTTCTGAGTGGTTAGAAAGGTGGTGAGTGGATGGGTGGGGGGGAGATATCCTGCTGCTCCCACCACTAAGGATCTTGCCATCTAGGTGTCTGTGTGTGGAAAGTACAATCAACTGCAGCTTTGAAACATACAAAGAAGGCACAGAAACAGAGAGCTGTGTTTGACCCCTGTAATCTAGCAACATTCTGGGATATCGGTTTCTCTCCCTTAGAGTCCTGGTGTGGGAGCAGTGGACTTTGTCTATCTGTTGGGGTGTTTTCCCTTTGCTTCCATCTATGCTTAACCTGCACATTTGTAAATAAACTCAAATATTACAAAACTCCAGAAGATCAGGGGATCAGGATGAAAGGTGGTCCAGGCAGGATGAGAAAGTGTGTGTGTGTGTGTGTGTGTGTGTGTGTGTGTGTGTGTGTTAGAAAATTGCCATCCTGCCCTTCTATTCATGGAATCCTTGGCTGGATGAAAGAGCCCTCAAGGAGTGGAGGGGCAAAATTGAAAACAATCCTAAGAAGGTTTATCCACTTTACCAGAAACTGTTGAAATGCCCTTGTTTACCAACAAATATTGTCATTTTAGACAGTTATACAAATTGACAGAATGAAAACTTTATGTGGTATGTCATTTACAAAAGGTATTCTTAACTAAATGCAGCACTGAACTACTAATATTGGATATTGCTTCAAGGAACTTGGCAGAAATTTCATAAAAATAGCTCGAATTCTGAACATGAGACTCTTGGTAGGATTAATTTTTATTTGTATTTTGTGTTGTACTTCAGGTCCTCGTCTAATCTGAATCCATCCATTTACGTACATTCATGACAATGTGTAAAATCTAGTAAAAAAGTAAAAAGACCAATGGAAGAATTAAGCATAATTTTTAAGCCCCCTCCTGTGCAACCAGTGGGTCTTTCAATAGTTTAATATGGCTGGATTGTGTCCATTACATTTTACTGCTTCTGTATTTTCATGTAAAAGCGAAAATCAAGATAAAATCACAAGACTATTGAGACCCCCTTCATAAGGATGCATCTTTCAAGTGATGCACATTCAGTACAGATTCTTCTTGCCAACCATCAAGGCCACAATCCCACCAACAAATAGCTGCACCTAAACTCATGGAAATGAATGAGTTTAAGCATGCTTGACTTGGTGTTGGATTGAGTCCCAAGGTTTTAAGCGCTCACATTATCTCATATGGAATTGGTCTTCTCAATTTATTTTTCAAAATGAATCCTGCGACGGTCATGACAACGACTGCCAAGACGACTGCGGCAACAATGTATGGTGCATGCGAATCATGAGGAGGGTCCGCATTTCCTTGCAGCTCTTGTTTTGCCTCTGCAAAATTAAAAAGATGTGATGCATTATCTGCTTGAACTGTCATGGAATTGCATCATTCTAGTTCCCTAGAAGACAATGGACCATTGACTTCCATAGCAGTATTTTTTAATAAAAAAGTAAAAAATTGCACAGTAACTTTCCTGACCACACTATTGCTCTCCTCCACTGTGGAAGGACATGTGGATCCTGAATTGGCCTCCACAGCCACTTATGGACTCAGTGTTAAACCTGTGTTCATGGAAGACGATCTTACTCGGCTATGAGTGATTGCCAAAGAAGAAGCATGGATGACTGTTGGGAGCTGAACCCTATGAGTCCACTGTGGACGGTAGATCATACACTAGAGGGCACAGGGTACATCTGGCACAGCTATGATAATGCTGCATCTGATGGACGAGGCCACATTAAGAAGGCATGTAATGTAACAAGGTTAGGTGAGGAAGTACTATTAGATGAGGAGAGTGCTAAAATGCATTATAAGCATTTTTAAGGGCTTTGATACAGTGCTAGCCAGGATGATGGTAATAATGATGATTTCAGCTTATACCCTGCACCCCTATAGCTCTCCCTTTCTCAAAGCCACAGGAAACACTAATTGCTCTGCCTTAACCTCAACAACCTGAAACAGATCTAAAAGAGGGATGGGATTTTCTGAAAATCTCAATGACATGCTTATCCATATATATAATTTTCTAATTCCCATCTCACTCCTTAATCTCAACAAGCAGCATAATGCACAATATTATATGCATTGTTATATGCATATGCACTCTAGGACGTCTCCTAAGGTAACTAGCGCTTTAACAGATGCACACAACTACACATAAAACTGCATAACTGTACAACTGCATAAAATAGGTATGTACTAATATGAATTGATATTGCAGAAATATAATACAGCATAAAACTTGATACTTTTGAATGCATTATACTATATATTAATTCATATATATGAATTTTTCAATATAATTATGCATATAAATTGGGCTTTAAAAAAACAGCAACAAGTGATTCAGATATAAGTGGGTGCTTAATGCAGTGTTCAAATCAGGTTGGAACTGCCAAATTCTGTGCATAAATCCATTTAAAATACATTCCTCCTTATCCCTACTCTAGGATGGCATTGATTTGTATTTAAAAGACATTAAAGAACTCTGTGGGAAGCAAAATTACCAGAATTTCTATTCTTAATGCCATTCTTCTGTAGTTCAATTGGCCCAATGATAACATCCATTTTTTCCTCGTAGGAGCTTGTATCTCTCTTAGATCTAGGCAGATTCAGACAACCCTGAGAACATCGGGAAGAATAGTCATAGGCTCTGCAAACCACCAGTTTGCACTGCAGGTAAACCGATGGATATTTATACATGAAGCTAAAGGCTTTGAAGGAAAACCGAACAACATATTTGTTTGGGGAATAATAGGTCTGATATGTAGGATCATTAACACACCTGCACAAATAGAAAAATAATAAAATTAGTTTACACTAATTAGTATTCAATTTGCATCATATAGTTAATGTGGAACAATGAAGAAATATAAGTAGCACTTTGAACAGTTCTGAAATAAAGCATACAAGTGTCACTTGAACATAATATGAATAACATCAATAAGCTTGATTTCAAGGGCATGCCTGCCATGCTTAAATTGAAGTAGGTGTCAGTGATTTTTCACTCTGAATAAAAACTGCACAAAGCGTGTTGACAGAAACATTCACCATAACTGGTAACTTTTCCCCCACTTGTTCTTCATTAGTAAGCTAAGCAGAGGAGAAGCTCAAATATTTAAAATGTGAAATATGGCAACCCCATGAAAATACGTAAGTAAATGATTTGTTGAGGTGATATTGAATATATATGGTGAACTCACTTTTCTGTTCTTTACCATCCTTTTAATCTGCAAGGCTTTGCTTTCCCAAGGAAAGCAAACACTTCTGTAATTGTAACCTTTATTATGTCAGTTGCGTAAGAGCTCTTCAAAACAGGTGACCAGCTCTAAGTTTCACTTTCCTGAAAGTAACCATACGCAGCACATGCCAAATTATCTGAATATATATTGAGGCAAAATATACTAAAAGGAACAAGGAACATCTTGGTTCATGCAGAGGTACTATTTTGAACTAATGCACAAAATGTCACATGCATTAGAGTATTCTGAGCATCTCATTTTAATCTCGAGGAAATCATTATAGTAATATAATTTAAATGTAGCTGTTTTAGAAGCTTGAAGGTGTCAAATCAAACCTGAGTGAGGGTTTGTGAAGAATGCAAGCTTCAGTTAGTCAATAATTTGCTATAAAACTGTATCAGTATACTAGTTTAGTATCCTTTTGGAGTGGCTGTCAATGGCACTGGTTTACTGTGGTTCCAGTCCTACTTGAATGGACGTTTCCAGAGGGTGATGCTTGGGGAGTGATTTTCAGCCCTCTGGAGCAGAGTTCCTCAGAGTTCAATTTTATCCCCTATGCTGTTTAACATCTACATGAAACTGCTGAGTGGGTTTGGAGTAGGTTGTTAGCGATGTGCTGATGACACACATCTCTTCTTCTCCATTACATCTGCAGGTGAGACAGTGGATGTGCTGGCCTTGCCCTGGTAACGGACTGTATGAGAACCAACAAACTGAAGCTCAATACAGATAAGACGGAGGTCTGTTCATGGTCAGTTCACTAGACTAGGTGGATGGGATGTTGCCTGTTCTTCATAGCATTACACTCCCTCAGAAGGAATGGGTACACAACTTGGGGGTGCTCCTGTTGCTTGAAGCTCAGGTGGCCTCAGTGGCACAGAATACCTTCCATCAGCTGCACTCCTATCTAGACAGGGACAGCCTAACTACTGTTTTCTCTGTTCTGGCAACTTCTAGGTTGGATTACTGCAATGAATTAAATGTGGAGCCACCACTGCATTGGAAGACCTGTCACTCAAGCTGGGCAGAGTGGAAGATAGTGGGAGGTGTGATATTGATCTTTATTTTTGCTGTGCCAGTTGCAGACCGGTGTAGCAGAGAGGCCCAGATCAGACCCCTCTCCACTTGTTGGACCAGATTAGGATCCAGCAGCTCCACCCCTTCTGCCACCAGTCTGTCCTGTTTTGAGGACTTACTTTTTACCACTGGCAGGAAAAACACCCACAACAGGCTGTCAATACCATGTGCCATTGGTGAGCACATTAGGATAGCTCCCCTGCCTGTGGATCTCAGCAGTTCTGCATAGAGCAGGCATCCCCAAACTCGTCCCTCCAGATGTTTTGGGACTACAACTCCCATCATCCCTAGCTAACAGGACCAGTGGTCAGGGATGATGGGAATTGTAGTCCGAAAACATCTGGAGGGCCAAGTTTGGGGGTGCCTGACATAGAGGAATGCCTCTGCTGCCTCCTAACTGCTCTTCTTCCCAGCAGAATGGATCATGAATTAGGATGCATGTCAATTTTAGAATGGTCCCAATGATGATTTGGCTGTTTCCGTACTTCGCAGCCTCTGGCTGGAGTGACAACATGGTTAAAATGGCATGCCTAATGAGATCTAATATTTATACCACATATATGTTTAGAAATGAAAAGCAATAAAGATTAACACAGTTAATCAGACAGACAATATATAAGGTGAACATCCTTACCCACTCTTGATGATATCATAAGTCAAAGTTGTAAAATCATTGTAGTTGGGTGATGCTTTGCATGTATCCAGAAACAGCACCAGATTTGGGTCAGAGTTATGAAGAGTAACTTGCAGATATAACTCCTGATTCAGCTCAACTTCATAAGGTGAGTCGTAGACTGGATATAAGAAGGAGTCGGAGGTATAAAATGTGATGTTGACTTCGTATTGTCCATACCGAGTTTCATTGATCTCTTTTACACCATCAGCGACATACATTGTTTCTATCCAAGTGTTTTTCAGCATTTTGCAGCTGACATGGAAGTGAAGATCCTTGTCCCTTTTAATTATGTATCCTGAAGCAGCTGCCGTGATCAGGTTTGAATAAATAATAGTATCAGCATCTGCCTGTTTGAAACATCCGGGGGGGGGGGCAGCGGTTAACATACATTTCTGAGGTAAGGATGTTGCCATAGCACTGTAGAATTTGCTGCAGCCAGTCTTAATGCTACCTTTGCGCAAAGCAGCCACACCACCAAGTTGCCTCTTCAAGATGTAGGAATACTTGTCTAAGCCAATAGTATCACTGGGGACGCTACTGAATTCTCTATACAAATATTATTTGTATCAACTGTTGTTCAGAATTAAGTTGTTTCAAAATGGCAACTTACTTATCCCACAGTGAGAGCTTGAAGTGTGTCTGCTAACTCTTACTGCTCTGAACATACAGCTAACTCATATTCCGTATTGCTGTTCTTACCTTGACCCATGCAACCCCCAACACAGAACAAATTGGGGTTTCTGATGGTGCCTGAACATCCCATACTCATACTACATTTGCAGCAAGGGATCTTGTGATCTGGCTCCTTTCCATGCTGCCAATGTAACATGAATACCCAGGCTATTCAGATGCTAAAAATCAAACTAAAAATATTTTCTTATGTGACTATTTGTTGAACAAAGATCTAAGTGATGGACTCTGGGCTTTCAAATTTCAGCAGCCAAAAGTCAGTGCTCCCCACACCTCTCTCCTTCCGTTCTAAATTATTGTTGCAGCACCCTCTGCACAGCCTTCTTGGCTTGGAGCCCAGTGCAAATAAACCTGTTATGCTCCCCTAAATCCGTTTCTGTGTATATACATGAATTGGACTACATGTTTCAGTTTCTTAGCATTGCCCCAGTTGAACTCCTGAAGCCCTGCTTTTTCTAAACAAGAAAGAAAGAAAGAAAGAAAGGCAGGCAGGCATATAGAAATCAAATATAAATCTCCATACGTCTCTTCTGGTCTGACAGCCATTGTACCGTATGTTGAAAATAACATAATATGGTGTGATAATAGGTGGGCAGGATGGGTCAATCAAGTGGACATCAAATGGAGAATAGCCTTCAGAGGTCAGGAAACTTCTACTTATTATAGCTTGCATATATTCTGGTCCACAAAGAAGAGCTAGCAAGGAGAGAAAGGATGTGGTATTAGTGCACTAAAATAAAACAAGACAATACATTATTATCCTTTTATGAAGGCAATGCCATCCATCTTTATTGCACTGTACAGAGTAACACAAAGTTCCCTAACCTATATGTCCTTACATTTTTCCTATTTGCCACTTTTATTATGTAGTTTCTATCATATGCTGAAGACACACCTCTTTTCCATGGCCTTTGGCATCTGAGAATTATATATTTTAGTGCCCACTTTATTCTTATAACTGTAACAAAACAGTTAAAACACTTAAAACTAAAAATTTTAGAATGTGAGTAAGTGTATGCAGATTGTAATGTCATGGGGGGGAATGATACTGAGGGGAGTCACAATGATGTCATAATATCAATATTGTGACACACCCACCCACCGCCATAAATGTTTTTGTGTACTTGGGCTTCTGTGGGCTGTGAGAGAAGCCTAGGCTTCCTTGGCAAATGAGCATGATCTCCCTTTTCTCATCCAAAAAGCTACCCATGTATTGCTCAGCAGTAGCAGATAGCTCGATAGGGCTCTGCTGATCACCTGACCTCCAGTCATCCCATCACTGCTGCCTATTGGGAGTTAGAGAGGTATTGAAGTGGCAGCGAGGTCAGCATGATGCAAATGCACCAACAGGAGTAATAAGAATAAGAATAATTTATTATTTATACCCCGCCCATCTGGCTGGGTTTCCCCAGCCACTCTGGGCAGCTTCCAACAAAATATTGAAATACAATAGTCTGTTAAACATTAAGAGCTTCCCTAAACTTCCAGGAGCACTGGAATGGCTCTGCCAGTGCATTTGCACTGTGCCAACCTCACCATCTCTCACTCTGTACCCTAAACATATTTACTTTGAACTAATTCCCAATGCAATCAATACATTTTCTTTTTAAGTAAGCAAAGTAGCCTGGGGGTTGAAGTATTTGGTGTGTGGTTGTTCATTGTAAGCTATATAACAATGGCCTGAAGAGTGTTTCCAGTGGTGGACTCTGGTGGTGGGCCCACCCCCACCACCGCTTCTTGCCTTCCATTCTAAGTCATTGTTATGCCACCTCCTGTGGCAACCTCTCAAGTTGGTGCCCTATGCAGGTGAGCTGGTCATGCTCCCCTAAATCTGCCTCTGCTGCTCCTGAAGCTAAGAAGAGTCTGACTTAAGCAGTGCCTAGGTACACATATAAGCCAAATGCAAGTTATGGATTCCAAACGTAAAAAGATGGAGGTGGTTTTTTTAGTGACAGCAGGAAAAAACCAATACAGTACCAAGAAAATTAGTTATTTTTTAACTAAATTGAATGACAACAATCTGGTAAAAGAAAAATGTATTGCAAAATTGCACTTACTTGTATTATGATTTGCTGGGATGGTGTAATAGTTTGCAAAAAACCCTCTGTTTGTGATACTATGATCACTATGAAATCTAACTGTCAACATATTGAAGGTTGATGTAAAGGTTTGGTAATAGCCAGAGCAAATCTTCCCAAGCGAAGGAGAGTTATGGAGCGTTCCATCATAGATTTCGATATAATCACAGGGGCAGCTCTGTGTATTACATGATTCTAGTCTAGAAAGCAAACAAGAATGTGATTTTTACAGCAATGTTCACTGATCATGATGAATTAGTCTCTACACTTGCAATTCCTTTAAGCTACTATCACATAACAGACTTTATTTTGGTGCGTTAAGTTGCTCAGATACTAGACAAACGATATCAGACAAAAGAAATAGAAAACCAAACAGGATTTTATTTGTTAAGCCATGGCACATCACAGTTCAGACGTGGAACACAACGCCCTTGAATATGTTAAGTAGGAAGAAAAGAGTGCATCTGAGTACATTTGGGTGCTATTATGTTACCACTAAGTAACAAGAGCTTTCCTACAACACACCTGGATTTACAAGGTAGGGCTGTAAGCATGCTACGTCACAAGCAGGGTTCAACCCTTACATCTTTGCCCCCCTTTCTTTTTCATCAAATAAGCTTGTCCTCAGTTTTCTAAAATACGATATGCTGCAGTCGTGGTATAAAAGCTCTTATAGTACTCTTATAGGGAACCAAAGAAACTGACAGCCAGTTTTGGGTGATAATAGATTCTAGACTATAGAAGGATCTAGAAATGCTAGCAATCACATTCACAATATACATTTAAATGACACATATAAGGCACATGGCTTCCCCCAAAGGATCATGGGAACTGTAGTTTGTTAAGGGTACTGGAAACTGTAGCTTTGTGTGGGGTAAACTACAGTTTCTTGAATTCTTTGGATGAAGCCATGTGTTTTAAATGGCAAATGCATTGTGGGCTCTTTTGGCTAGAATCTAAGGTTTGGTGTTCAGTTATGGACTCACTGGATAGTCCTAACGACATCTACTGTTTGCCTCCCAGCTATGATCTCACCCTCTTTTTGAATTTATATGTAATGTATCTAGGAAAGCTGCTATTAATAATAATAAGTTTCATTTTGAGACCTTGACATGGCAATATTAGAGCTTTACTTACTGAAGTGTTTGGAAAGTAAGTGATACACGAGAATTGCTTCCTACTTGGATTTCCCATACACAGTCGGCATTATTTGGGTAGTTGGATGGAAAAAACGGACTTTGAAATGACCCAGATGAATGTGCGAGGAAACCACCACAAGAATAATCTGTTGAGGGAGCTAAGAAATAAAACACAGAACAAATTTTGTTGCAGATATATGGGATATAAGTAGTTAAATTCTAGAAAATATTATAAACTTGCTATGATTAATTTCTTGTTACACCCAGAACCCAATGTTCCTTACTGAGAAAGCCACATGTTGCAATCAGGGTTGACTTTTATTTCAACCCTGCTTAATATTCTGAAGTAGTTGCTTGGTTACTGCATCACTTTAATCCATAGTTAAGCTTAGCTATGGTTTATTAGTGAATGTGCAGTCACTTGTGCACACTCCTAAAATCATGGCCACTTCACTCCTCCCCTGCTTCTGATGCAACTGCCCTGGCAGGAGCTAAGCCATGATCTACCTTAGTATTGGGTCCAAACCTGGACTCATGGTTTCCCACCGACCACCTCCTTCAAAACCATGAGTAATAAGCCAGGAACAAAACTTACTTGCTGCTCATGGTTTGTTTGGAGAGAAACAAAGCACAAACCTGAGTTTAGGTTCAGTAGAGCATTTTATTGTGTATTCAGTCCTAGTGTTGAAGATGAAGACTTAGACATCCTATACTTTGACTTATCTAGCAGTGCCATCTTAAAGAGAGAAGGGCGGATTCTCTGAATGGCCACGTGGCCACTAGGATGCTCAATCCAGTGAAAGCGATACACCCAGTAATGGACAGCAGGATGGCTTAGTGCCACTCACTTGACCTCCACTTGTTTGTGGGTCGAGGACCCTAACCCGCGTAGTAATGAATAAGAGACCAAGACACAAGTATTTTAGGTTAGTGGGCTGAAAAAGGCCACAACTGGAAGAAGATTGGAAAAAGTTTAAAGACTATTTACAGAAATACTGTAAAATTAATGAATGTTAGAAAAAGGTTGGAATGAAGTTATATGGCTTTACTAGAAATGTTATAAGGAACTAAGTATAAATAGATTAATAGAGTATTAAAGGAAAAAATAAGGTTAGAATGTGTCAAGATAATTATAGGCTAGAAAACAGAGGAAGATGGAAAGGAATTGCGGAAACAATTAACAGAAGTGGAATACAAAAAGGGAGGTGTGAGGAGGTCGTTGAAATAAGTGAATGAAAGATAAGATATTGAAATTGTTTGATGTGTTTTAAACAGTTTTTGTTTTGTTTTGTTAGTTTAATGTGTTAGTGTTATGTAGTGTCTTTGTATTGTATTGTATTGTCTTTTGTTGTTGTTGTTGTTGTGTTTAAATTGTTGGAAAAGTAATAAATATTATTTTCAAAAAAGGAAAGAAAAAGGCCACAACTTTTATTGATAACAGCATGTGAGCAGTATTGGCTTAGGCATTGGATCAAACAACCTAAATATGACCCCACCCATGCAGCAGGGGTCATTTGGAGGTTAACCACCAGTGGGAGGAGCCTGTTGATGCAAATACAACTGAAAGCTCCCCCTGATATCACCGGGGGTCGTGCCATGGCCCTAGCCACCAGTAGGGCATAGGACAGGATCCACGACCACCAGATTCCTTTAACAAAGTACCCAAAATGGGGCGGGGTAGGTGATGGCCACACTCCGCCCACCTCTGGGCCAACCCTATTGGCTGGCTCAACCCTATTGAGAGGCAGTGTGGCAGCTAGGAGATAACGCAGGGGGCCGAACACGCCCCCCCTGCCGATGCAGGAACGGTTCCCGCTCACAACACCTCCCCTCTGGGAGGAGGAGAGGCTTTGTATCACTACTGCTTACTAGAAGGTGGAAGGGGAGAGGCAAGGTCAACACACTGCAAACTCACTGGCACGAAAACTGTACAGTGGTACCTCAGGTTAAGTACTTAATTCATTCCGGAGATCCGTTCTTAACCTGAAACTGTTCTTAACCTGAAGCACCACTTTAGCTAATGGGGCCTCCCGCTGCTGCCACGCCGCTGGAGCATGATTTCTGTTCTCATCCTGAAGCAAAGTTCTTAACCCGAGGTAATATTTCTGGGTTAGCGGGGTCTGTAACCTGAAGCGTATGTAACCTGAAGCATATGTAACCCGAGGTACCACTGTATTGGATTTGCATCAACCTTGCCACTACCTCATTCCTTCTCCTCTAACATCCCAGTAAGCAGCACCAACACAACCAGCTGGTGGTAAGTTGAGCAGTACTTGTCCACCCCACTGTCTGTTGCTGGTGACATCCACATGCGCAAAGGAATATTATTGCAGAAATGTCCGCCTCTGTGCAAAGGAAATGGGGAGATCTTTTGTACATGACCTTGTATCAGGTGTTAAAATTTGTGGCTACTAGGTTTTATTCTCTCCCTATATATGTTTCATTTTATGTTTCAAGTTCACTGTTATGTTAGCCTTGTAGCTAAGAAACCCTGAAAGAGAGGCTGAGTTAACTCATTTTTACTCCTCCTCAAAGCAATAAACAACAGCCACCGTACCACATGACTTTATATATCCGTTTTGAAAGTGAACAACATGAGAGTATTCTGCAAGTCCTTTTTTGTTAGACCAGGCATAGGCAAACCTGGCCCTCCAGATGTTTAGGAACTACAACTCCCATCATCCCTGACCACTGGTCCTGTTAGCTAGGGATCATGGGTGTTGTAGTCCCAAAACATCTGGAGGGCCGAGTTTGCTGATGCCTGTGTTAGACCATGTGATAATGCAGATACCACTAATGAAGCTGAAGTAAAAGTGATCATAAAAAGGCAATGTAAAAAAAAATGAAGTAAAGAAATCTAGAGCTTACTTGTCCTTGGCCACCATGGAGGAGTTGGTCTCTCTGAAGATCAAGAGGGAAGAGGAGAGAGAGAGAGAACAATTTAAACAATTGACTCAAGCTTTTGACTTTCAAGCATCTCTTGTTTTGTGCCAACAGGCCTTTGCAGCTGTTTGGTTTTACATTGATCTGTAAGTTTAATGATTATTTGCATTTTTGTTATTTTTTGAAAAATACGTTTTAACAGTGAACACCACCTTGATATCTTATGAAATGGTAGTACAGGAATACTTTTATAACTATAAATAAATACATAAAGTAAGTCCCAGAAAAATAGCCAAGGCTGAGTTACATTTATGCTCCTCATGTTAATACTCCTTGATCTTGCGGGTACGTTTTGCAGCTTTAAAAATTAATTTGAAATGCAGTTTACAAAACACAAGAAGAAGCCTGAATTGATTGCTCCATCTCCTGTATTTGTTTAAAGTGACCAGATATAAACCTCTTCAAGCTTTTGCAAATAGGAAGAATGTTTACCTTCAACGTCATTCTTTCCATTATTGGAAGCAGTGGCAGGATCTGCCTAAAGTACCTCATTCATAAGGATTAGAATCCATTGCCATTGAAAGACCTGTTCTATTAAGAAATGTCTAAATATTTTCTCCCCCACTGCCAATGCCATTAATAATGTGGAGACTAATGGGTCTAAGTTCCAGAAAGGCAAATATAAATTCGCTATAAGGAAATCAGTACAATGCTCAGTCTAAGGTTGGACAATGGAATGAATTGTTTAGGAAATGGAAAGGAAATGCAGAATTTGATACACTTCATGACACCATTCATCAAAACTGTCAAACACTTTATGGCATCTACCTGCATCTTTATGTGCAATGAGAGAGAGATTGTAAATTAATTATTATTAGCAGCTCATGTGAGAAAAGGAAGAAGAAGCATTTTCCACACCTGCTAATTTAACAGATGTAGATGTATTTTGTCTACAGAAGAAAAATGCTTTTCCCTTTGACTGTCTAGATATGGCATATAGGCTTTATGCTGCCTCCCCCTCCGATATATCATCTCATTGTATCATACTACATATGTGAATTCAATCATTGTGAATTAATTCATTCCATCAGCATACATTCAAATGATGAATAAAGAGTAGTTTTTGTAGGGGGGGGGAAGAGCTGCTTTTTTATACATGATGGCTACACATCACAACAGACTCTGCCTCAGAATTATTATTTTAAAAGAAAGGAAAATGCCTTTCCTATGCTGGATCTCAGTGCTCAGATAAGGGTGGGGAGGTAGGGGCCACCTTTGAAATCGACAAGCCCCACCTCCTGACCATCAAATCCCACTTCCCATCAAGGAGTAGCCATGGTGGTCAGACACAGAAGCTAAGGAGAGCAATTCCCCTCTGCCCATGCCCTCCTCTGAAAGTTTTGTAAGTACTTGTTTGATTTTCTGCCAGGTGAATTGAGGACACCTCTTCAGTCGACTAAAGATTTTTAAATATTTTAATACACTAGCAGGAAATCAGCCCTGAGTGCTCACTGGAAGGACAGATTGTGAAGCTGAGGCTCCAATACTTTGGCCACCCCATGAGAAGAGAAGACTCCCTGGAAAAGACCCTGATGTTGGGAACAACTGAGGGCACAAGGAGGAGGGGATGACAGAGGATGAGATGGTTGGACACTGTTCTCGAAGCTACCAGCATGAGTCTGACCAAACTGTGGGAGGCAGTGGAAGACAGGAGTGCCTGGCGTGCTCTGGTCCATGGGGTCACGAAGAGTCGGACACAACTAAACAACTAAACATCAACAACACTGCTACCTTTTCCCTTAATCTTGTAATATTGCTGCAGTTATTCACTACTATAAAAAAAAAAGCCATAAGGAAATTTTTATTAAATGAATCATTTACCTGTTGTAAGCTGACCACCTGAAAAATAAAAAGGTAGAGACCTTAGAATGTTTCCCAAATGTGTTAATGGTTTGATCAGTATAATTATTTGCGATTCATTGGAACAAATGTATAATTAAATATCTTTCTGATCAGTGGTCATTGGGTAAAGGAAAAGAAGAGAGCTAAATCAAGTCACTTCTCCTCTGCCTGCCAACAGCTCAACAAGAATTCACCTTTTAAAAACAAACCAAAAAACAAAATCGAGTTACGTGCCTACAATTCTTGGATTAGGCTAGAGATGTGGCATGCAATTCTCCGTTCAGCTAGGGATGGCAGAAGGTGGAGCACTTCCTCACCGGAAGAGGAGGTAATTAACCCCATGAGCCCCAGGAGTAGATGAATGGGAAAGGTATTAGACAGAAAACAAAACCAGAAACATAAGGGTCATAGGTTCTGCAGAAGCCGGAAGAGTCAACTGAATTGTACGACTAGGACGCTCAGCTAATTGTTTTGCAATAAATCTTCAAGCTAATCACAACTTGCATGCTGTGTTATCAAGACAGCACCCTGGGCTCCTGACATATACTTCCAGTTCCTTGGAAGTGGTAAATGAGAGTTATATTCTCTTCTAAAGACTCAGTAATTCATTGGAAATAGTAGAACAGAATTACATCAAAAGTCAGAATAGTGTTTCATTAGAGATTGCAGATCATAGTTTGTAGCTATTTTTCCTGCTGTAGAAGCCCAATACTTTATTGTTTTTATTGATACCACCTTGGGAGATCAACAGTTTGGTTTGCTCCTGAATAATCAATGTTACTATTAGTTATAGTTAGGGAGGACTGAATTATTGGAGAATCCAACAAAATTTTTTAAGTGAATATACTGTCTAACCTAGATGCTCAAACTGATTAAAACATGCTAATATAAAACAATATGTATGACAAAATCAGAAGTCACCTGAACAGATGACACCAGCATCCTCATTGTGACGACAGTTGTGGGACCCCCAGCCTCTGTTAGAGCATTCCCAAAGGTGGCGCTCATTTCCATTACAATAAACATCATCCAGAAGAATGGGTCCAGAGCCTTCACCGAAATATGCCGCTATTGTGGCTGACACAGCCTGTCCACATCCAAGTTGTCTACACACCACACCTGCGTCCATCAGGTTCCACGAATCATCGCAAACAGTTCCCCATGTTCCATTGTAAGAACCAATTTCGACACGGCCCTCGCAGCCATGACGTCCATTCACCAGTCGGAGATCTGGGATGGGGACACCAAAAGTATGTGGATCATTCATGAGCATTCACAGTCATTTTTGGTAACAGATACTGCAGAATTCAAGTCTCAGCAAGAGCCTGCTAAAGTCTGAGATTTATAAAATTCCCCAATACAGTCAAACCTCAGTTCACAAACGGCTCCATTTTGGAACGTTTCGGCTCCCGAACGCTGAAAACCCAGAGGGGAAATCAAGAGACATCCCGACAGATAGAGAACAGACAAATGGACAGACAAACTACTTTCCAAAATATATAGTAGACAAAAATGTAAGACCGTCACCATTCAGCCCCCATTGGAGAATTTGTAGTATTGTATCACAATCCTGGGTTTTCACGATGTCAGAATGGGATAGGGGAGCAAAAGCAAAGGGTTGTACAACAGCAGTGGTGTGGTATGGAAGCAAGAAGAGACACACACGGAGAGGTAGAGGGAAAGTAGCGGTTTTAAATAGCGGTAGAAGTTCTGCTACTAAGGCTTTTCTTCAGCTTAATAGTGGCACCAGAGGGGGGAGAATTTCCATCAGAATTGTGGGAGGATGAGGCAGCAGTATCTGGACGCACCAACAGGGAGCAGAGCATGGAGGGTGATGTGAGGAGGACACACCAGGGCAGGCATGCACCCTTCCAATCAGCCTAATTGGTCTGATTGGAAGGGCACATGCCTGTTGCATCCTCCTGATGTCCTGCCAGCCCCACAATGGCAAAGCAGCATGGGACTGCTGGGTGGTATGAGGAGCAAAATGCACCCTGGGAAAAACTGTGCCCAGGGCAATGGCAACCCGTGCTACACCTCTGGGGTGAGCAAAGATGTAGAATTTTTCACTACATGCATTTTCCCATGTGCTAATCAGCTGGTTAAAAGGAGGCTAGACTTCAGGGGGGAAAGAGCTCCTTTGGAAGAAGGGTGGGATATATATTTAATAAAGAGTAATAATAAATCATCTTTATCTGAAGCCCCCTCTTCAGCCGGGTGTTTAGCTGAGCAGTGGGGAGGGGGTATGTTGTGGGCATAGAAGATTAGGTAGTGGGTCAGAAGCAGCCCAAAGAGAGCAGATTACATGCTTCTGAACAAGAGACAGAGGGGGAAAATGGGACAATGCATACTGACTGAAAAATGTGCATGTAGCTCAAATAAAGTGCAAACTACCGTTGAGATATGTAGATGACCAGAGTAAGTACAAAATTTAGCCAAGATTTGCACATTCTCAAAGTCTTGTTGGGGATTATGTATATTGGTCAGGAAATGTGCACAATCCCCTCTTCTTGGAAGGATTTTGTGTACATTATGCATGGGGCCTGATGAATGTACACAATGACAAACTATTACTCCATTCAGTCATTCAACTTGAGTTCAATTTAATACACACACACACACACACTTAGTCACTCACCGTATGCCGCATAAACAGAAGAGTAGTTAGCAATAAAACCACGATTTGTTACTCTATTGTCACTGCGAAACACCACTGTGAGAACATTGGATGTAGAAAAAAATGTTCGTTGGGAACCATTACAAAATCTTCCTAGGGAACGTGAGTAGATATATCCATCAAAGATCTCAATATAATCAAAGGGGCATTCTGCCCTGGAAAAAAAACAAGAAACCCGCATGAACATACAGCTCAACATATAAACTTAGTATATCAATTAACTATGGCAGAGATTCAGTATGCCACCGAGTCATACAAGATCAATTCAGTGCCTTCAGACTGAGGACTCTCCTCTGACAGCTCCTTGAATACAGGGCTAACCTCTGTAAAGTAGGGCACATGAATACTCAACAGATATGTTCATCGTCATGCTTCCCAATTATAATAGTAAACATATATGATGAAGTGAGCACAGGAAAGTCCACATTTAAATGAGCTGCAGTTTTATAGCACTATTTAGTTCTCCTCGTACTTACTCAATACTTGCAATTCTGAGGTTTATACGTGAGCCATTCCAAGTATTTATTGTCCATATACAGTTTGCATTGTTTGGATAAAGTGCTGGATAAAAGGGACTACTGAATGATCCTGATCCATATGGAAGGTAAGAACCACAACTATAATTTCCTGTGAAATAAAAGACAATGTAATCAAATGTGTGAAGGTATCTATGCTACACACATAATAATCAAACTGCCCCTGCCTGCCCTGAACCCATTTGTAAAGGATATCGGTTTCTCTCTTTTACAGAGGCATGGAAACCTTGTTACCTCTGCAGCTGTATACACACCACTCTTTTAAAGCACATTTAAAGCATCCCCCAAGAATCATATGAACTATCATTTCTCTCCCTCAGAGCTATAATTCCTGGCAAACTTAACAAACTACAGTTCCCAGGATTATTTAAAGGGATCGTATGTGGCCTTTCTGTGATAGAACATCCCTTGAGAATGATACGATGTCACAATGTAGTGGCACTCTCAGGGACATTATTTGGGCAAAAAGAATGCTGTCTCCACAGACTGACCATAGAAACAGTGATCTTTCCCCCCAAGAATTCTCCTAGGAATGATGCTGTTCTGTCCAAAGCAATGCAATCAGAATGTTCAGAGAACCCAAGTCACTACTTTAAGTAGCAGAAAGACTTCCCTCCTGCTAAAAGCCACTTTGTAATAAGGTAAAAGAACCGCACAGAGACATATATGAGCACGCGCGCACACACACATGAAAAATATTAGAACTGATTGAGATATCAGAAGGTGTTCATATTTCTAAGAAATCACCTTTGTCCATCCATCAGCCTATTTTTTTAAAAAAATTGAACTCATAGACCGATGCATCTCAGATGTGTAAAACAACAGATTTAGGGGCGGGGGGAATTATTGTGTTGAGACTTGGGCTTTTGAAAGGCTTGAGGAGAAAAGACATAACTGATTGACAGAGCCCAATACAGTGGTACCTAGGTTTACGAACTTAATCTGTTCTGGAAGTCTGTTCTTAAACCGAAACCATTCTTAAACCGAGGAGTGCTTTCCCTAATAAGGCCTCCCAACGCTGGTGCCCTTCCACTGTTCGGCTTCTGGTAAAGTTCGCAAACCGGGACACTATTTTCGGTTTTGTGGAGTTCGTAAACCGAATCGTTCATAAACAGGACTGTTCTTAAACTGAGGTACCACTGTAATGCCTTTCCATATTTTTTTGCTAAACTGACTTAGCAACCTCAAGAGGGCACTCCAAGCCAGAGCATGCAGAGCTCCAGATGTTGCTGCACTACAGGTCCCATCAGCCCCAGCCAGCATGCAAATGGCCAGGAGTCTTGGGAGTCACAGTCCAATAACATCTGGAATATCAAAAGTTCCCCATCTCGGATTTAAGAGTTCATGGTTGCATATGTTTGAATGATAGATGCAACATCTGAATCTCTGAAACAACAATATGGACCCCTTTTTTAGATGGAGCTGGTGAATAAATCTCTGGTTTATTTGGAATTGTAGCAGATTTATTTATGTTTTAAATGAAAATGAAAAATTAATTACTGGCTATTACTTTTTCTGTTGTGGAACCTTATACATGGGGGTGACTTATACATGGAAAAATACAGTATCTTTTCAAAGTGAGAGCAAGAGCATCAAGTGATACGGACAACCATCCTAATTGTGATCCAGGATCACCATTCAGCATGCTGGAGAGCTGCACTGACAGTTCTCCATGACAGAGTGCTGTAAACAGTGATTTTCAACTCAAACAAATATGAAAGCTCAGGAAAGAGAAAGGTTTCTATGTATAGGTGAGGAGACTAGACTCTCTGGATTTCTGAAGATCATATTATAAAGTTGCTTTGTTCTCCTAGCAATGCTAGGAGTTGTTTCTTTTTGTTTTCCAATGTATTTCTTATTAATAAAAAAAATGGTCTGGCCCGAGCAAATTTTTATTCTGAAAGTTGTGGTGCAGAGAAAAAAGTTTGAGAACTACTGAGGTAACATTTAGAAAGAGACAGAAAGAGCATAATTTGCACTTACTGCAAATTACCTTCTGCTGGAGTATAAAGTTTATGATATCCATTTGCAAACACAACATATAAGTTAAAGATATCTTTTTCTACTACTAATATGTACATTTAATAATATTCAGCAGAGAGAGAAAGAGGGAGGGAGTTGTTGAGAACAGAGAAACTGGTCGGGGAAGGCAAATATCAGAGAAAAACAGATTGGGGGGGAATAGAGTTCGGGAGAATGATATATACAATATAGCAAAACAGTCAGAAGGGTTGTGTTTTGCAGACTTCTGCAGTCACATAACTTCTGCTGCTGGCTATGGCAATGCTTCATACTCCTCCCTACCATTACTGAAAACAGTGTTTGGACTACATTGCCTGCCTGGATAATTTAAAAGCACACTGGGGGAATTTTGGTGATTGGATCACTCTGGTGAAAGGGCACTTTGCACAAAGACACACCAAAATGAACACTGTGCAGACAGTAAAAAAAAGGTAGGTAAAAGGCAAAGGAACCCTGGACGGTTAAGTCCAGTCAAAGGCAACTTTGGGGTAGTGGTGCTCGTCTCCACTTTCAGGCCGAGGGAGCTGGTGTTTGTCCACAGACAGCCTTCTGGGTCATGTGGCCATCATGACTAAGCCGCTTCTGGCACAACGGAACACCATGACAGAAACCAGAGCGCACTGTTTACCTTCCTGCCACAGCGGTACCTATTTATCTACTTGCACTGGTGTGCTTTTGAACTGCTAGGTTGGGAGGAGCTGGGACCGAGCAACGGGAGCTCACTTCATCGCGGGGATTCGAACCACCAACCTTCTGATCGGCAAGCCCAAGAGGCTCAGTGGTTTAGACCACAGCACCACCTGAGTAAAAAAGGTAAATGTAAAGGACCCCTAGACGGTAACGTCCATTCAAAGGCAACTATGGAGTTGTGGCACTCATCTCGCTTTTCAGACAGCTTTCCAGGTCATGTGGCCAGCATGACTAAACCACTCTACCCATGTAAAGGCAATAGAAAACATACCCAGCTTAGTGGGTAATCCCTAGATATCCATTCCCACTCACCAAACACTCAGGTCTCTCTCTCTCTCCCCCCCCCCCCCCGGTAATGATATCTCAGTCTGGGCAAGAAACAAGTCATATAATAACTGTTTCCAGTTCTTTTCCACATAAGGAGCAGGAGTGAAACTAGGCTTTATTTCATCCGGATCAAAGACCCAGTTTGGCACACGCACCCCATGCGCATTTACACACACACATGCGTGCGCGCGCACACACAGCCTCAATGACAGCCCTCCGGAGGCTTCACCCAGGGCAAAAAACCTGGCTAGTCCCCCCTAGTCATGGCTCAATAAGGGGTGTGTATATTGGTAAGTATTGTCTTCCTGATTGTATTAACTATCATCAACATTATCTATAGTACTGCAACAAAGACATTAGAGGAACCATTAATGGGGGGGTTTCCAGACACGATGATTGAAAGAGCATTAAGCTTGCAACTGTCTCTTGCTTTCAATTGTAACTACTCAGCATTTGGCACAGAAATGATCTTTCACAGAGGGTGTCCATTACGGATTACTGTCCCCTCTATCTCTTCAAAGACAACCAAGCAATAATCCAGCAAATGCACAGGCTAAAATATGCCAACTCCCATTGCAAGGTGGATGACAAGTAAGACTTGCTGCTAGACCAGCGGTGGCCAGTGAGAATCCAGCTCTTCCTCTGTGGGGTTGCCCAAAATTCCCTTCCCCATGCATCTGCAGCTTGCAAGAGGGCATGACAGACTGAACTACAACAGTGCTCACCTTTCAGATGCAACAAGAGGGAGAGTTGTGTCTGTTATGAGATCTTGTACAAGATGGAAGCTTGGCAGCCCCTGTCTTTATAAAGCTGTCAGAATTCCCACCACTTCGGAGGCTATACACAAAGCTGTTACTCCAGTTGTGATAGTTAGCAGAAACCCTCACCTCTCTGTTACTCACCTCAGCTGCTTCAAGAGTCATACACATTGGCAGAGAAGCTGGGATTTTCCACCCCGCATGGCTTGAGCCTTGCCATCAGAGAACTGGAGAGGACAATAAGGTGGCCTCAACAGCTCACAACTGTCCTACCTCTCCTCATTACTGCTAGTATGATAATAAATCAAGCATTGGAAGTGCAGGAATGAACAGTGGAATGTCTTATACAGAAATAACCAGAACGTGCCGACAAACAAATGAGCATGCAGCCAGAAGTTATGTGGGATAGGGTTGCCATATTTCAAAAAGTAAAATTCCTGACACACACTCCCCCCCCCAAAGTTGTTGAAGACCCTAAAATTGTTGAACTTTTTTTTTTATAGGAAACCACCAAAATTATTGAGCTTCTTTTGTGAACAGAAACATTTTTCCAATTCAGCAAAATTTCCCCCAGACGCCATTTTTAAACCCCCAAACCAGGATATGTCAGGAATTTTCCTGACGTATAGCAAGCCTTGGTGGGATGAAGGGATTGGGCAAAATTACATGAATCTCGACATATGTGAGAGCCAAACACTTTCCTAAATGAAATTATAGGTTCATGCTCCACATCCTCTGATTGGTTAGGCCAATGCGCTGTGTGATATGAGGCCATGTGATGCGACTCCTGTATCTACTGGGATCCACATCCATTGCTTGAATCTGGGATTTCATGTGTGCTATATCTGTGCTGTTGTACAGGGCTTTAGCAACATATGATATTCTCTAAGTACAAGATTATGTGGCTGGATATTATGGACTTGAAAGAAAGGCTGGGGGCACGCTGATGGATTCCAAATTTGGAACAATTATGTACAATTAATTTGAACCGGCATTATGAACAGGATAAATTCCAAAGCAAGCAGTTCTGCACTTCAGCAACATAGGCAATTGATTCAAATAGGACTTAAGCTTGTTGCATTTCAGGAGGGAAGAGGAGGCATGCCATGCATGATTCAACTATCCTGCTTTTGTGCTACATGCAAGAAACAAGATCAGAAAATACCTGCACAGGTGACACTTGCATCTTCACTGTGGCCACAGTTATGAACATGCCACCCTAGGCTACGGCAGTCCCACAGGTTAGACTCATTTCCTCTACAGTGCACATCATCAAGGAGAATAGGTCCCGAGCCTTGGCCAAAATAGGCTTTTCTTGGGGCTGAAATGGCTTCTCCACATCCAAGCTGCCAGCACACAACCTGGGCATCGGCTATGTCCCAGTAATCACCACAAACTGTTCCCCATTCTCCTTTGTAATAGAGTTCAATGCGTCCCTCACAGCTGTATGATCCATTCACCAGTCTTAAGGACACGTCTTCGAAAGACAACAGGAAACAACTTGGTAAAGAGCAGCCTGTTTCCTGTTTCTTAAACAGCAGCCAGTTTACATACCTATAGATACCTCTCTATGGCTGTGTTCATACCTTACATTTAAAGCATGTGGTTTCTCTCAGAGAATCCTGAGAATGTAGTTTACTCCTTACAGAGCTCCCAGGATTCTTTGGGGCAAAACATGTGCTTTTAATGTACCATGTGCCTATAAATAAATATATGTAGCCACATGAGAGAACTTGTCTCTTCCAGAGTTTTATACATAATATATTCAATAACATGTGGGTGTACAACAGTTTATTTCTATACAAGAAAAAGCATAGTAACAAGATTTTCAATATATATTGTACAACATTTGGAACAAACTTGATCTCTGGTAACTCTGGAAGAAGACAGCATATGCAAGTGAAAATTAGTGGCCAAGTTCAAAATGGGGGGGGTGTAAATTAAATTTTTGGTCAATGTATTGCTCTTTGGCAATTGAAAGTTCTTCAGATAAAGTACTGAAATGAACAAACAAAAACAGAAGCAGCCACTAATAAATCTTGTACAAAATCTGGACTGAGACTCAAGTAATTTATATACACAGAACACATGAGAGAGAACTGTGTATCTTGCCACAAGTTTGTTTCTACCTTTCTCTGCAGAAGAGTCAACTGCCAAATAGATAAACCATTGAGTAGTTTAAATTGCTTCTTCCCTGTTTAACCATGGGAGAGAGAAAATTAAATAATGGAGTTCCCATGCACACATCAATATTTTTTAGGATGGCCCTGAATTACAATTTGGGATACAACAATGCAAGCATAGCCTATTTAATTCAGTTGCAGGTATGGACTTGAAAAATTGCACTAAAGTAAAGCAGCATGGTCCTGAATTATGTTCTCTTTGGTGAGATCTTACCTTGTGGAATAGAAAAATAAATAGCCAAAAATCCAGTGCTTTGAGAACTAGTGTCACTTGAAAACACAACAGACAATGTATTTGACTTAGAAATATATGATTGGTGCTCCCAAATGCAAATTCTTCCTAGCAAAGGAGCTACATACGCTGGCCCATCATAGATTTCAACATAATCATAAGAGCAGTGATTACGTGGCTCCAGTCTGTGGATATAAAGTTAGAAACCACTGAGTAGGGTGATATTTCGCTTGTAACTATAAAACACAAAAAGTTAAAATCCACACGAAATTGGGACTTGTAGACCCAGGTCAGCAAATTTTGGCACACTATTTGTTATGTATTCACACTTATGGAGTGAGCCTTTTTTTAAGGTCTGAGCCAAGTCTTTAGAATACAAGTAAATGATTTAATATTGGGTCCACACACAACTTGGCAAGCTCAGAAATAGCATATAGATTATTGTTAACATGCAAAGCCAATTTGACAGCAAACAGAAAGGCAAGCATGCAGACAAAATCATTTTTAAAGATCACACAGGGCAACACAATCCTAAAAATACTGCCACTTACTTAAGATACTCAAAGATGAGATTTATGTAGGAATAACCTTCAGCATGGATTTCCCAAACACAGTGTGCATTATTTGGGTATACAACAGGATAATTTGGACTAGTGATTTTCCCAGATGGCTCATAGAGATGACCACCACAAACAGAGGCCACTAAGAGTGCAACAAAAAAGTGAAATCATATTTCTGAACAGACTGCCATATAGTTACAGATGCTTCTCACTGGGTTTGGGTTATGTCCAAATAAGACATAGAACTCAAAACAGAACAACTGGGTCATACTCATAAATCAATGAATTTAGTTTTAACTACCTTTAGTCCATTGATTTCAGTGGGTCTACCAATAGTGGTCAGCAGGGTGGAGTGGCCTGGCTTTCCTGACTTCCTGTCAGGAATCATTGATTCACATCACTGTGGTTTACTGGAAGGAGTGAGGCCACGGCAAAGTTGCTGAAGAGCAAACACAACGGCAGTAGTGCTGGATTAGCTCTGCCACTGTGCTTGCACCACATCCATCCCACTGCCATCTCACCACTCCTGGTAAGCCATAGTGACAAGGGGTCAAGTGAACACGGCTAACCCGTCAACAACTACTGGGGTCTACTCTCAGAATGAGTTATTAGATACATTTCAATGACTTTTAAAAGTCACATTGAAGGAACAGAAGCTAAGTTCTCTTACAAATAAATAAGCTAATTGAGCCAGAACAACTAAGATATTGCTTTTTATCACATTTATTTCAAAAGATATAAATGAACTCCCAGCCTTCAGATAGCTTACTCATGAAAAGTTCTTCCCACACCAGTGGGTCAACTCTGTTATAGATTTGAGGATTGCCACAATAAGCCCTACTGAAGATCTGTTCAAAGTGAGAGGACTGCTAGACCAATCTGGTGGGACCACTGATGCCAGCAACCACTAACATCAATGAAATGTTAGCATAATAAAGATTTCTACAACCCACCCAACCAAAATAATGGTACTACTACAATTAATGTAGTATAACACCAACATACATTTCTCTAGCCTCCAGGGCAACACCACTGCCACCCAATCAAGCATAGGAGGAAGTAGAATGTGACGTGCCCCTTTGCCTACCCTCAACATGGCAAAAGTCCCCTTTGCCATTCTACCTACAACAGTACACAGCCTGGTAAATACAAATATGCCACAGTACCTTTGTTTGTTTGTTTTACCTACTCACAGGCCATTCCCAACCCCCTGATCCACTGACTGGAGAGAGTTAGGATGGGGTGGAGATGCTTCCCATTAGTTGAGAAGAACTCTGCCAGCAAAGGAACAGGTAGAGATGCCACCTGTGGTTCTTTCAGCTGCAGTAGTACAGAGGTAGGCTGGAGGTGGTCTTGGATGTATTGGAATTCAGGCCCCCTCTTTCATTTCAGAGGCCAGGGGCTGTCTTCACACAAGCCTGGACCTGACACAACTAATTTCATCACTATTAGAACTGGACAAGGAGATGAACATCAAATATCTACATGGGGAAGGAAAACGGAAACCTCTTCTCCTGGCCAGCATGTGAGCGCTCATAAGTGGAGATTGGTCTGCTACTCTGCGCATATATGTACCCCACTTAGGATCTCACTCTCAGTTATATCCTGCCTTTCTTCTAAGGAGCAAAAGGCAGTATACATAGCATTTTATACACATAACTGTGGTGCAGCCAGCAGAAGCCTAGTAGCTGATATGCTCCAGGGATCTCTGAACAGCCATAAAGGGGCAAAAAAGAAGCTAAGCTAAAACACGCCCCATACTCCACATCACAGAGTACCAGTATATCATGAAGTATTCTATCATACACATGTAAAACACATATCATGAGACTTTCAAAAAGGCCCAGTTCATGATGTTCCCCTTCTCAGCATCATGTGGACTCAGCTGCATAGACCAGGAATGAAGGAGTTAGTTTGGAGAAATACCACAACAGAACCTGCATTTGGGGTTTTGTGCCCAACAGGGCCCCTTTTTCTATGCAGTGCCTACTACTTATCCCATTTGGGAGATGTTGATGGAGGAAAGGCTGTTTAGCTAATACTCTACTAGGATCGTGGAAAGAGACTCTAGACACCTCACTGGTGTACAATATCCCCAACCATGGTGCATGTGTACATTTTTCATAACCCCGGAACTCAGCTTTCTTCAAAACAGTATAACTGTAAGCATTTTAGGCATGTGTGTTTTTAAATAGTTCTGTACAGCTACAGTGTAACCACTAAGTTATTTCATATAATTTCAGTATTAACAAGGAAAAAATATAACCAAAGCTGCTTTAAAGGTATCAGAGCCCTTCATAGTTCTCAAAGAAGCTACGCCTGTATTGTGGATTTGATTTTCCCCAATGTCTTTTATGCTCTCAAATATTTATTTATCAGTTTCCAAACCATGTAAAAGGGAGAGGGGCAACATAAGGTCAATAAAATCTAAAGTCATGATAAATAGTAATGGCCCCAATGATCTTGGAAAGGAAATGTGTTTTCACATCAACTGTCCATTTAATCTTCCTACGCTGGACACTTTTTGAACACTGTAAACAAGGAATGCCAACTAAATGCAGAAGTACTGATAAGATTTCCAAACCTTATCATGCCCATAAATAATATGCACTGAAAAACTTGAGTTACTTTGTTCTGTTAATGGTTGTACAGGAGAGGATACAGTTGCAGAACAAACATAAAGTATTAGATAGAAGACAGTGACAGAGATAGCAGAGCAAAAGTTGCTTGACTTTTAGTACTGGCATATTATATAAACAGTGGAATCAAAGGTAACTGTGGTTCTTTCCAGAACTCAATAACAATGTTGGCTTCGTACCTATGGGACTGCCTCTCTTGGTATGCCCCGTGGAGGACCTTAAGGTCCATAAATAACAACACTTTGGAGGTCCCGAGCCTCAAGGAGGTTAGACTGGTTTTCAACTAGGGCCAGGGCCTTTTCAGCACTGACCCTGACGTGGTGGAACGCTCTGTCACAAGAGACTAGGGCCCTGCCAGATTTGACATCTTTCCGCAGGGCCTGAAAGAAGGAGCTGTTCCGCCTGGCCTTCGGCTTAGACTCACTCTGACCCCTTATATGGGATTTGGTATATAAATTTTCCCTTGGCTTTTTTGCTTGCCCATGTAGGACCAGCATGGATAGCTGGCTCAGGTGAATATCTTATGTTTCCTTCCTTTGTGGTCTTGATTTATGGGCTGCTACTAAAATGAGGCTGCATTTTAAGCTGTATTTTAAGCCATATTTTAATTAACTGTTTGTTTGGGAAAGAAAGAAATAATTTTAATTATACACTACTAAAATTGTGCTAATTTTCTTTTGTTTTTGTTTTCTACCATAGATATTAGCTGTGGTTTTAAAATATATAACCCTAGGAGATATGGAGTAGTTCCCATTTTGGTTACCAATTTTAAATGACAAATTGAAAAAATCTGACTAGAACTTTTGCGAATATAAGTCGTAATACCTTGCCTCTAGTTTGTGTAAAAAAAAAAGCCTACTGTACAAAGATAAAATTTATATTGCTTGTCTCCCCACTTTTGCCTCTGGCCCAAACCACCACTAGCATGTAACCCCAGAAGATTGCCCTAAAGGGCATGTTTCTTACCACTGAGCTAACAGAATACATCTAATTGGAAATCTAGGACAAACATGAACACCATATTGCAAAAAATATGAACAGTAGACTCACCATCTGCCCATGCTGGAAGAAAACAAATATATTGGCATTTAGCAGCCTATACAGAAAAACCTCCTCTTTTATGCAATACCCGCAGGGAATTAAATAAGGTTGATTTTTTATTTGAATTATTAAACTAGAGTTATGAAGATCCTTTTATGAGGGTTGTTGTTTAGTTGTTTAGTCATGTCCGACTCTTCATGACCCCATGGACCATACAGTGCTCATGGAAGCCAAGAAGGGCAATGGAAACTTTTTCATACTTCTTCTTCTTCTTCTTCTTCTTCTTCTTCTTCTTCTTCTTCTTCTTCTTCTTCTTCTTCTTCTGGGTTGCCCCAGCCATTCTGGGCGGTATTAAATATTATTAGCCTCCTGTTCTGTCCGCACTAAGGGCTGTTCCTCATGTTACTGTTTGAAATGGAAATGTCACCCCTAGATAGTTTTCCATTATCATTTTCAGATGAACTTTTCAGGAATCAAAATATTACTCCTTTTTAAAGAGAAATTCACATGTTCCTGTTTCTTCCTTCTCTTTCAGAGGCTGCTCACATATTCCATCTTTAAGTTAGAGTGTCCATTTTGTATGAAGAACATTTCTTAGGAATGTACTTGCATGCATCAATGGGTGGCAGTTTCCCTCTCCCAGGAAAAAGGTTTTCAGATGTGATCGACATCAGCTCTTACCATGGGCATTCAGAAGAAAAAATCATGTGAAACGGACTTTATAAAATCATCTGGAATTAATCTAATGAAATCAAGAACCTCCTTTGTTTATGCACATTTCTGTGAAGCTGGGAGATAGGAAACACTCCATCCAAATCTTTTTTTCCAGAACTCAAAAGGTCAAATGGTGGCCAAAAGCTTACTTACACCCTAGTTCCTTATTCCCCCCCACACACCTATTTTAGCTATCTGTAGGGTGGATACATGCCTTTGATAATATCCTGCACCAAAATGAAGAAAAGCAATAGGCCAAGCATGATTCAATGTAATCTCATAGAGAATGCTCTCCTAATTGTGTGAGTGTACGATTTGCAGTGGCACAAAGCTAATTGTGAGATTTCTTATTTGTTATTTTCATCTGGGGCAATCACACATTTAGGACTGTTCCTCAAACATGACAATATTGATTGGAGAAAATCATTGTGGATGTCCCAGGGGTCAGTCCTTCAGTCATGAAGATATAGGATACAGTGCCCCACCAGCAGAGAAGTTCGTGTAGCAAATCTACCCTGTCCTTCAAGCTGCTTCTGGCTGTATGGCTTCTGTCTTCATAATAATTTATTTATTTTAAATTTATACCCTGCTGTTTCTCCCAAAGGGTCCCAATGCAGAACAACGAAGCTAAGCGCAGAATATCTTTCAAATCCTAGCTGAGTGTGTGTTTTCTCTTTACTGTGTTCTCACAGAACTTAAAGTCCACCATTTTGGCAGTCAAGTTTCCAATGTTAGTCCTACTCAGAGTAAAACACATTACAATTAATGGACATGACCACTGTAGGCCTATTTCAATGGGTCTACTCTAAGCAGGATTATCATTGGATACGACCTGTTTTCTAGACCTGAAACACATAATATTTTAAATCCCATGATACTTGGAAAAAGCAAAACAAAGTGAGTTCTTACCGGTAGTTTCTGGTGTGGTGGTTGTGGTATCAGGAATGACTGTGTAACCTGTAGTAGAAGGAATTGGAAAACAACATTGCAGGTATATGTGTATAACTGTGACATCTCCTTAGAGGGGCGACTCCTGAGTCTTCCAGTCCACACCATTAACCTATGCCCCCAAGCACACTGGGATAACTTGGTTGGTGCTATGTATGTCTCCTAACAACATAGTAACCCGTTGCATGGCCCTACTCAATAAGCTCATGAGCACAAATCATAACTGCTCAGTAAAAAGGACATCTGGAGCATCTGCGAAGGAGGGGTGGATGGAAGAGAGCCAGGATCAGACCAAGACATTTTCCTTCCTTAGGCATCAAGATGCTGGCCCCACTGTTCCATGCACAGTAGCTGACTAGACTGGCAGTTCAATCTTATTTCAATGCTGGCTATGGGACAATGTCCTCCACCACTTTTGAATGCAGCAGGCTAGATGCAGGCATCAGAACAGGCCACATGGCACATGCAGCTACCCTTCAATAACAGTGTACAGCCAGGTTGTTCAGGAGAAGCAGCCTGGGGCTGTGCCCACTTCCCTACCCATCCAGCACAGTTCCCCACACCTGCCCATACAAGAGACATTTTGGAACAATGAAAATAATCAGTATGTGAAGTATCTAAAGATTACTTAGAATGCAATCCTAAATTATTGTGGTGGACTAATTTAAGATGTACCTTATTACTGATTTTTAAAGAAGTGCTATATTGACACAGTTAGTTTCCCATGAGCTCAAGTGAACATTTTGTTGAGTTCTGGCATTTGCTCTCTCTTTTTTAAGGTATACAAATAATTCATGCTTTACTTTCATCTAAAGTTCAAAACCTATCCTGGCTCTTTCATAAAAACTGATTTATGGAGTCAGATCAATGGCCTCTCTGACCATCAGTTCATTTCTAACCGTGATCATTTCTGGATAACTGAAGAGGCATCAAATACAAAATCATCCTGCTATAGTCATGCTTCGTAACTTTGCAACTATGTCCCCAAATTGTTGCCAAAATCTGTAAGTGGAACTTAGGTAAACAAACTTGCTACATCTAATGTACTCTGGGATTAAGCCCAGTAATTACCTGAGACACCTGGCAAAGCCAATGTACTGAACAGCATCACCCAAGCAACCATCACTGTGGAATCCATCTCGTCAAGACTTCTGTCCAGGTACAAAAAGCTCCCCAACTCAAATGGTTGTGGTAAACAGCACTGTTGTGTATATGTACTTTTCTGTCTCTGCCATAAATCTTATGACGCGTTTTATTTGTTCATTCCATATCATACTTTTAACATTTCCTTATCTACCCAAAGGTGAAGCATTTGGCTGATAATGTTGGCTGCAGAAGAAGACACCATTGACACATGGAAGCCCTTATTTGTGTATATGAGGCAAGGAAATGACTTCATGGATAAGAGGATAATTTTCTTTGACTGGAAATCATTTGCTGAGGTGGGGCAAAGCTCTTCATTTGCACACCAGAGTAAAGGAGGGGAAAGGGCAAAGCACTACCATGAATTTTTAGCAATGAGTGGAGGGGTATTCAACATAGATTTATGGCCCATGGGTGCAGCAGGAATGATACACACTAGTGCTCAGTGAAATTAGGCCACAGTTTTATACAACAGGTAAGAAGTAGCAAGGCAATGGGTAAGAATTGGATCATCATTCCAATCAGGCATTGCTGTTGGAATGGTCTTCTGGGAAGTACCTAATGTACTTTGAATTTGACCAGTGTTAGATCCTGGTATGGGGCAACCTAAGCACCCAGGAACCTATGGGGCAACCAGAAGATGGGTTTAGACAAGGCAAGGCCCAACCCAAGCTGGGACATGTCTGTTTCCCCTAAAGGGAGAGGAAAGGTGCTGGACCACCCCTAGAGGACACTGGACCAACCCACCACTGATTTGCAACAGCTGGCCTTGACACCAGACATCTGGGTGGGGAGGTTAAAGGGGAAAATTTGTTGCTTTGATGTGAATGGGTTTTGGGCTAGGAGGAGGTTGAGGTTTTGTTTATTCGCTAATTAGTGGGTCAAAGTATGGCTTTGTTTATTATTTGAGTATTGTTAATGTTGTTTGCTACCATTTGATACAGCTGCTATGTTCTTCTGTTTTTCCATAAATGTTATACAGTGGTACCTCGGGTTACATACGCTTCAGGTTACATACGCTTCAGGTTACAGACTCCACTAACCCAGAAATAGTACCTTGGGTTAAGAACTTTGCTTCAGGATGAGAACAGAAATCGTGCACCAGCGGCGCGGTGGCAGCAGGAGGCCCCATTAACTAAAGTGGTGCTTCAGGTTAAGAACAGTTTCAGATTAAGAACGGACCTCCGGAATGAATTAAGTACTTAACCCGAGGTACTACTGTATTGTATTAAATAGTAATGTATTATCCCCCCCTTTTTACCCTATGGCATTATGTATTTTATATTTTTCTTTACTGTAAGTCCCTTGGATACCTTTGGGTGACGGTTTGGATTCTTAGATCACGGACTGCAGTTTCTTGAAGATGGACTTCTGGCAAGCGATGGGCTGCACCTCACAACGGTTGGGAGAAATGTTTTTGCCAAAAATCTCAGAAACCTCATCAGGAGGGCTTTAAACTGACTAATGTGGGGGAGGGAGACAGTGCTCCTGAAGGTAGAAGTCTATCAATTGATGAAGATGATCATCCAAATGTCATAGACCAAATGGAGCAAACAGCACGCAGACCTAGTGGTGGGAGAAAAAAATCCTTAAATAAGAGACACGGGGGAATGATTAATGGACTTCAGTGTCTGTACACTAATGCGCAAAGGATGGGAAATAAACAAGATGAGCTTGAGCTCTTGGTACAGCAAACTAAATATGACATAATAGGCATCACTGAAACTTGGTGGGATAAGTCCCACGATTGGAATGTAATAATGGGGGGATACAATCTATTTCAGAGAAACAGACCAGACAAGAAAGGAGTAGGAGTGGCGTTATATGTCAGGGATGTGTATACCTGTGAAGAGATCCAAGATTTAGAACCTCAAAGCCAAAGTGAGAGCATTTGGGTCAAAATTAAGGGAGAGAAGAATAACAGTGACCTCATTGTGGGAGTTTACTATAGATCCCCAAGCCAAACAGAGGACATAGATGATGCCTTCCTGGAACAGATGGCCAAGCATGCAAAAGGAAGGGAGATAGTAGTAATGGGGGACTTCAATTACCCGGATATTTGTTGGATGTCAAACTCAGCCAAGAGCATAAGGTCAAACAGATTCCTCACTGGCCTTGCAGACAACTTCATTGTCCAGAAAGTGGGAGAAGCAACAAGAGGAACAGCCATTTTAGATCTGGTCCTAACCAATGTTGATGACCTGGTTAGTGGGGTAGAAGTGGAAGGATCATTAGGCGCGAGTGATCATGCTCTTCTGAAGTTTACTATACAGCGGAAAGGAGCAGCCAAGCATACTAGGACTCAATTTCTTGACTTTAAGAAAGCCGACTTCATAAAACTTAGGGAAGTGCTGGGTGAGATCCCATGGACAGTAATACTAAAAGGAAAGGGAGTTCATGATGGCTGGGAGTTTGTTAAGAGGGAGATAGTAAAAGCACAACGTCAGGCAATACCAATGAGACGGAAACATGGAAGGTGCCTAAAGAAGCCAGGGTGGCTATCTAAAGAACTTTTAACTGAGTTAAGATTAAAAAGGATGTGTACAAAAATGGAAAAGGGGAAACCACCAAAGAGGAATTCAAACAAATAGCCAGCACGTGTAGACACAAAGTCAGAAAAGCTAAAGCACAGAATGAACTCAGGCTTGCTAGAGAGGTTAAAAGCAACAAAAAAGGCTTTTATGGGTATGTTCGTAGCAAAAGGAAGAACAAAGAAACAGTGTGGTCACTCAGAGGACAAGATGGTGAAATACAAACAGGGGACACAGAAAGGGCTGAACTCCTCAATGCCTTCTTTGCTTCAGTCTTCTCCGATAAAGAAAACAATGCCCGACCTGAAGAATTTGGAGCAAATGATTCAGCAAAGGAAACACAGCCCAGAATAACTAAGGAGATAGTACAAGAATACTTGGCTAGTTTAGATGTATTCAAGTCTCCAGGGCCAGATGAACTGCATCCAAGAGTATTAAAAGAACTGGCAGATGTGATCTCAGAACCACTGGCAGTCATCTTTGAGAATTCCTGGAGAACAGGCGAAGTCCCGGCAGACTGGAGGAGGGCAAATGTTGTCCCTATTTTCAAAAAGGGGAAAAGAGAGGACCCAAATAATTACCGCCCAGTCAGTCTGACATCAATACCAGGGAAGATTCTGGAGCAGATCATTAAGCAAACAGTCTGTGAGCACCTAGAAAGGAATGCTGTGATCACCGATAGACAGCATGGATTTCTGAAAAATAAGTCATGTCAGACTAACCTGATCTCGTTTTTTGACAGAATTACAAGCCTGGTAGATGAAGGGAACGCAGTGGATGTAGCCTACCTTGATTTCAGCAAGGCATTTGACAAGGTGTCCCATGATATTCTTGTAAAGAAGCTGGTAAAATGCGGTCTTGACTATGCTACCACTCAGTGGATTTGTAACTGGCTGACTGACCGAACCCAAAGGGTGCTCATCAATGGTTCCTCTTCATCCTGGAGAACAGTGACTAGTGGGGTGCCACAGGGTTCTGTCTTGGGCCCGGTCTTATTCAACATCTTTATCAACGACTTGGATGATGGACTCAAGGGCATCCTGATCAAATTTGCAGATGACACCAAATTGGGAGGGGTGGCTAACACCCCAGAGGACAGGATCACACTTCAAAACGACCTTGACAGATTAGAGAACTGGGCCAAAACAAACACGATGAATATTAACAGGGAGAAATGTAAAGTATTGCACTTGGGCAAAAAAAATGAGAGGCACAAATACAAGATGGGTGACACCTGGCTTGAGAGCAGTACATGTGAAAAGGATCTAGGAGTCTTGGTTGACCACAAACTTGACATGAGCCAACAGAGTGACGCGGCAGCTAAAAAAACCAATGCAATTCTGGGCTGCATCAATAGGAATATAGCATCTAGATCAAGGGAAGTAATAGTGCCACTGTATTCTGCTCTGGTCAGACCTCACCTGGAGTACTGTGTCCAGTTCTGGGCACCACAGTTCAAGAAGGACACTGACAAACTGGAACGTGTCCAGAGGAGGGCAACCAAAATGGTCAAAGGCCTAGAAACGATGCCTTATGAGGAACGGCTAAGGGAGCTGGGCATGTTTAGCCTGGAGAAGAGGAGGTTAAGGGGTGATATGATAGCCATGTTCAAATATATAAAAGGATGTCACATAGAGGAGGGAGAAAGGTTGTTTTCTGCTGCTCCAGAGCAGCGGACACGGAGCAATGGATCCAAACTACAAGAAAGAAGATTCCACCTAAACATTAGGAAGAACTTCCTGACAGTAAGAGCTGTTTGACAGTGGAATTTGCTGCCAAGGAGTGTGGTGGAGTCTCCTTCTTTGGAGGTCTTTAAGCAGAGGCTTGACAACCATATGTCAGGTGTCCTCTGATGGTGTTTCCTGCTTGGCAGGGTGTTGGACTCGATGGCCCTTGTGGTCTCTTCCAACTCTATGATTCTATGATTCTATAAGCGACTAATATGTTAATAAATAATAAAAGTAAGAACAGGAAGCTGGACAAGATGGGCCATTGGCTGGTTCCAGCAGACTCTTCCTATGTTATGTTCTCATTAAAAAAAAAAATCTAGGGTGAAATGCTCATAATCTCTCTGTGAGAATTTATGAAGAGGAAGTAAAGTAAAGGTCACAAATGAAGGAGGAAATCAGGCTTGGGTAAAATGTAGCAGCTTGCACGTTTGTCAAAGGTTGTTCTTGATTGCTCAGGAGAACAGAGAGTTCTTAGGTTGCCAGTGGCAAGAACTTGATTGACAGACTAAAAGTGGAACTTTGCAGAGAAACGTAAGAGTATTTGAAAGCTTGGCAGAGAACTAGAGGAAACAGAGATCTCTTTTTTGGGCACCAAGCCTACATACAATGAGACAGAGTGGGGCAGCAAATGCCGACAAGCTGTGTGCAGTCCAAGGTTTTGCCCTGAACTGCCTAAACTAGTGAGTTGATATATCTATTCACATAATTCTTGCAGGAACTAGAAGATGTGTCATTTGAATGACTTATAAAAATGCCAGTGCTATTCAGAACAGGTAAACCAGATACCACGTTTTCTGTTTATCAAAGAAACACAGTAAAATAAGAAAATCTTAAAATACATCTAAAGGTTGTCAACAGTGTTGTGCAGTTTTACAAACAACACCTTTCCCCCTCCCCATGTCCAGTCTCTAGTAGAATGGCACAGAACAACCAAATTAGTTGTAGTCTTGGGCAGGTTTGACAATCCCAGACCCTTGCGATGAGAAGGAGTTGCAGCAGATGACTGATGGTTGCAACAGTGGCTGGAGGTCCCTGTTCTTGGGTGTGAATGTGTGGGAGAGAGCAAGGAGAGAAAGTGAGAGAAAACTTCTGTAGGAAGCCATTGGTCCTGGTGACAGGACTGCATTGTCTGCTAGGGAGCAGCAAGTGCAGAAATGCTTGCTATTCCGCATCTGTTACTTTTGTATGGCGGTGTGTGCATGATATGTCCTTTCTTGCCTCCTTCACTTCCTTTCCTTTACAAACACAACTTTAAATTTATTTTCAGTAGGTGACACTTGCTACCCATGAGAGAGACTAGCCATCACCGTCAGTCTCCCAACCAATGAAATGCATGCAAGGTTAATACAAAGCAGTGAAACAGGTAATACAAAGCCACATACTAGAAACAATCCTCAAGATATATACAAATTAAACAGATATTCAATACTTTATCACAATGAATCCATTAATCTTATGACCGCTCAGTCATTGAGTTGTGTTACAGTTAATATGCTCCAGTGTAACAGGTCTATGATCGTCTGCAACTAGGGCTTGGGGCCCTAGGATTATAAGAATTATCATCTGGTCTTTCTTATCATCTATCATCTTTCTTAGGGAAGGTACCTGAGCAGTTGGTGGCTGCACAACTCCAGGTGCTTTTGCATGAGACCGATCACCCATTTCAATCTGTATTCTAGTCTGGTTTTGGCACAAAGACCGCTCTGACAGATGATCTATGCTAGGAGAAAGAGGGGAAACTGACAATCCTGCATCTTTCAGTAGTTTTTGACACCATTGACCACGGGAACCTTCTTGATCGGCAGCTGTCAGGGAAAGAAGGAATGCAACCCCATTGTTGAGTCACAAATGTGTGTGAACATTTCCAGATGTACACAAAACTGGACCTCTCAAAAATCTGGCAAAAAACTAATGGGCTGTAGAGAAATTTATCCCTTTGAATAAAGTAAGGCAAGCCACATGCTACAGAATAGAGATGGAGAACATGGCCCTACAGATGTTGCTGGACTACAATTCCCATCATCCCTTACCATTTGTGATGCTGACTAGGGCTGAAAGGAACTGGAGTTCAACAATATCTGGAGGCCACAGGTTCTCTATACCTACTATAGAAAAGGTGGGGACTATCTAAGCTAATCAGCTAAACCAACATAAAAAGGTCTTCCAAACTTTCTGATTTTGCTGATCAGTCAGGTCCTAAGTATTACCATTCCCAGGGAAAATGGTACTAGGTTACAACTCTACATTCCATACTTGGTTGTGGAAGTCTGTGAAGCTCAGTGGGGAAGGATAAAGTTACTTGCATCACATATACTTTGGGGTGTGTGTGTCATTCTGCCCTTTAAAATCTTCCTGCCGTAACTTCTCATGTTGTCAATCATTTGCAACACTAAATTGGTGGCAATAGTTGCACCCATAGTTGTGATGAAATGCCACAGCTGTGATCAAGTTCAAGTGGTACAATGAACATGAATCTCTGGGTAATTCTCTGCAGTGGCTACAATGATACAGAATTGCAGTCACGATGACATATGGAGTTGTTACTGTACAATTGTCACTATGCAAAGGTTCAGTTTGCAGGAGGCTTAATGCTTGACTCCTTCCAATACTGCTTGTGACACTATGTATAAAATATAACTCCACATATTACTGTTATCACTAACTTCTTGTTTCCCTACACGTAGCTACCCTTTGCACATCCATCTTTTCCTTTCAGTACTTACAGGGCTGGTCCAAAATGTTCTGATACCTCAGGCAAAAAACAAGATGGTGCCTCTTCCTTTCCCGTTCCTTTACAAAAACTGTCTAGATGGGCAGATAAATACTACTTCAACCGTGGTAATGGGACAGAACCTCCACCACACCTGAGGGTAGTAAGCTACTTTAGGAGGTGCAGAGCATGCCAAGGCGTCAAAGCTTTGACCCTCTGCTCCTCAGCATCTGCTGCCTCAGATGGCAGCCTCACTCTGTCTAATGGTAGGGCTGGCCCTGAACACTGAACAGTAAAGCCTGATCATTTTATAAATACAATTTTACGAAGTGGGGTCCTCTTTAGACTTTCCTTCCTTTGCTCCAAGCTCTGCTGCATCAACCCAATCAACCAGCTGGAGCGAAGCTGTTTGGAGTGGTCTTTAGGAGTTTTGGAGCAAGACCTCACCAGTATGTTGATGAGACACAACTCTACTTCTCCATAATATCTGAATCAGAAGAAGCTGTGAAAGTTTGGATGCAGTGGTGGACTGGACAAAGAGCCAATAAACCGTGCTTGAATCCAGGGAAGACGGAGGCTCTTTGGGTGGATGGTTCCCATGTTAGGGAAATTGGCAAGTTCCACCTGAAGGAGCTAAAACATAGTTTGTCAGGTACTCCTGGATACATCTTTGTTACTAGAGGTCCAATTGTGCTCCATGGCTAGGAGTGCCTTCTACCAGCTTTTCTGGTTCATCAACTACATCTGCTGCTAGACAAGGATAGCCTGACCACTGTGGTCCATGCACTGGCAACCTCGAAGCTGGATTACTGTAATATGCCCTATGTAGGGCTTCACTTTGATCTGGTTGGAAGTTCTAGCTGGTGCAGAATGCGGTGGCCAGATGATTGGGAGCTTCTGGTTGAGAACATGTGGCACCACTGTTAATACAGTTGCTCTAGCTGTCCACCTACTACTGAGCCAGGTTCAAAGTTCTTATTAATTTACAAAGCCCTGAAGAACTTAGGTCCAGGGTGCCACAGGAATTGCTTAAATCCTTATTATCCTGGCTTGATCATTGAGTTCATCTGCAGGAACGTCGTTCATCATCCCCCAAGTTGGTGAGGCTCATTGGACAATTATAAGACACCAAGCCTTTGCTGTCATTGGCCTGGTCCCATGGAGTATTCTGCCAACAGAAATTTGGCAGGTGCCTTCTCTGTGCCAACTTTTAAATGCCTGGTGAAAACTTTTCTCTTCTGACAGACCTGTGCAAGCAACTAATAATACATCCTTCGACAATGGTTCATTGATGTCAGTTTCAACTTTTTAATTGTTTTTATTGTATGGTTTTAAATGACTGCTGAAAACGTTTCCATTCTGCCAGGCCTATGCAGGCAATTGAGAATTCCTCCTTCCACAGTGATTAACTATTGCATGATTTAAACTTGTCTATGGCTTTTATTGTACAGCCTTTTTATTGCTGTAAACTGCTTTGATTTTTTTAATGACCTAGTGGTATATCGATATTTGTATAAAATATAAATAAATAATTTACCACCTCCCCAACAGTTTGATGAAGGGGGGCATTTGTTCGCATGAGTGTGGCAATTTGAAGGATTATTTATGATCTTATCAATTACATTTCTTATGTTTCCTTTCTGAAACTCAAAAGAGATTCACAGTAGGACAGATTAGATAAGCCTAAAACTAGTAACTTTCCAATGTATGGGAAAAAGCAGATAGACTTCTGGGTGGTCTGTCACTTCCCATAAATGTTCATAAAGATAAAGTTACTCATTAACAGCCATTGCCAAACCATATATAACATTTCCTCTATTATAGGTAACACATTTTCCAATATGTTTCCAAAAATATGCAAGTCGATACTAGCAATTATCCACTAAAGCTCTGTCATGTTTTCAAAATGTATTGCATAAAGTAACTAAGAATGATTAGCAATGGTCTTCAGGATTTCAAATATTCGGTAGGGCTCCCCTAATCCAAGGTTTGATGTGGCACTTTGGAGCAGCCCCTCAACCCCACCTGGGATGCTCAGCCATGACTTCTTTCAAGATACTCAGTTGTGTTCCCTTTTGCACCAGGTTTTCTTTATCCACAGTAGTCAGTAAGCATTCCATGGTGCTGTTATTTCATTTTTCCTTATGCTCTTTTCTTTTCTTTTCTTTTGGAGGGAGGCACATTCTAAATTTTTCCTCAAAATTTGGACAGTCTTGGTTTAAGTTTTTAAGGAATTTGGGAAGTTGAATGGACTGTCTAACTACCTCTTCTTGTGGTTTTCATGGTACAAAATAAAACTGTGGCCTCTTCCTTTTAGCTATGTCCTTCAGACTGACTGTTAACTAAAATTAGAATTCTCAGATTTCAGAGGCTGAGGTAAAATATCATCCTTCTCTTTTTGCCCAGGCTTCCCATAATATTGGGCTCTGTCATTTTTTAATTCCTATTGTTATAATCCTGTTAGTGGTTTTTGTATTTTAGCTCTGTTTCTAATTGTACTGTCTTGTTGTTTTTAAATTGTGTTTTTGTACATCGCTTAGAGATTTATTTATTTTTTAAATCGCCTTTTAAAAATGCTTTTAAATAAATATCAAATCTAGACATAAAATCTAACCAAAGCAGTCCAGGCAAAGGACACATGGAACCCACCTGCAATGGGCTCACACATAATGCACGTGTAGGCCAAATTTTTATAATATCCCTGGCATTTTTACCACACAGAGTGTTTCTGCTATGCCAATAACTGTTCCATGGAAACTATTTGTGTGAATGTGACGTATATGTATTATACATTGTAAGAAAAAACCACCGAGAGATAAAGAGATAAGACTGGGAAATCACCCTGGGTGAAGGTTGTTTCCTCATGGTGTTTAAACCAGTACCACTGACCGTGGAATTGCAAAACACTTCTTCACATTTGGATTAATGTTATAGCACAGTGCAACTTTCCATATAAAAGCCAAGGGCCTGGGAGGCACCTGAAACATTTGAGAAGGGAATCCAGACAAAACAGATTACATTAGGAAAAGGAAGGAAGAAATATTGTGTGTGGTATTACAGCTACAGGTAACAAGGCCCTGACACCTCCTTCTCCCCTGAAAAGGACCCTCAGGAAATGTTTATTGGCATCAGAGAAGGGACAGGAAGAAAAGAAACACTTAACCATCCCACTATCCTTCACTTTCCCCCTAGAAACTCTTCCCCTTATAAGTGCATTTATCCTCATAATGGTCTGGGCTCAGCAGGGCTGGTTGTGCCATTATATTTTTGCAAGGCAGTTTCCTCAGGCAGCTGGATTTAGGTACTCTGAAAGAACAGCAAATTGTGAGTTATTAAATGTATTGTTATGAGTTTGTAGGTGCTAGACACCCTAAATTCCTGGATCGGATAAGTGTTGGAATTTAATGCTTGGAGTGATAAGACTGGTTGACAGACCCAGGTGTATTATGCCAATGTGTATTAAGCCAGACCTGTGTGTATTAACCTGGGTGAGAGACACTTTTAAACCCACTGGAATCACCAAGTGCTGAAAATTAATTAAGCTAGTCCAAGCTTTCTGCGTGAGGTGATGAGCCATTAAGAGGACAAAGCATCAAAGGGACTCAGTGTGGGATGCCAAACAGTTGCAGCTCGTCCCTCAGCTCTGAGTTAGTTCAAAGATAAAGGCAGAGCTGAGAGAAGTGAAAGGTGGGAGCAATGTGAGTAGTTAGAAGCAATGTGAGCCAGAAGCTTAGAACAGGGAGTTATGTGACCAAGATGCAAGGTAGCAAGCAGAGCATGGACACTGATGTGGAAACCTGAAAGGCTGAATTTAAGATTAGAGAAAAAGAAACTGAGAGAAATCAAAATTTCCTGTGCTTCCTAGTTGAAGACCAATGTTTTACATGCAAAGATTTAGCTCCCCCTTGTGGAACTATATTTTTAGCTAGTAATATTGATTCCTGTCCGTTGTAGACAAGATTTTTCTTTTTGAAGGACATACAACGAAATAACTTTGCGAAATTGTATTCAGTGCAAAGATGTGCACCTCATCATGATAATCCTGTTGGTTTCTTTTTAAAATTATACTATACCTTAAATTATACAGCTTCATCAACCACAGCTGCAACAGCAGTTAGGTCTAATTGTAAACTTATTTTACTTAGTTTATGGGCAGATGCTGGGAACTTCATTATAGTTTGAAATAAATTCCTTTGGAGTCTTTCTCTACTATGCATCTTCTCCACTTGGCAGTTTATTTTGTGCCCATCTTGGGGAAAGGAAGGACATGAATAAGCATAGTTTAAATGTATCGCATCATATCACACATGTTTATATTTAAAACATATCACAGCTTTATGAATTTCATCTTTCACCCTTATTTACTGAAGGGATGCTGAGAACGTATCTGCTAAGAAAGTGTCTGTGGAGGAAGGCAAATGTCTTCCTTGACAGCCAGTGTCGTGTGGTGGTTAGAGTGCTGGACCAGGACCTGGGAGACCAGGGATCAAATTCCAACCCAGCCATGAAGCTCACTGGGTGACCTCAAGCCTGTCACTCACTCTCAGCCTAACCTATCTCACAGGGCTGTTGTTGTAAGGATAAAATGTTGAGGAGAAGTATATACGCCATCTTGAGCTGAAAGAAAGAAAGAAAGAAAGAAAGAAAGAAAGAAAGAAAGAAAGAAAGAAAGAAAGCTAAGAACCAAAATTGGTGGGTATGAAGAGTGGTCTACCAATTCCTCTGAACTCAACATATTCTGAGTTTGTACTTGGCAATCCCTTCCCTGCTCCTTTTCTCACTTGGCAGCAATCTAGGCATTCACGTGGTATTGGGTGAACTTCTCCTTATCACTTGGCAGAATTGTACAGGTGATTAAGCTATCCCACCCAGTGTAATTTGAACAACTGGTGGAATCTTCTGTATTATCTTGCCTAGTAGTACAGAGAACTTTACTACCATCAGGTGGTATATGACACCATGCAGTCATTGCACTGGTTTAGATTCATTTTCCTTTGTTCATCGTTCTGGGTGTGTAAGTACAGTGCATTGGAAAGGAAAAAGCAAAAGAGAAGAAGCAATTAAATCTGAATATTCTGCAGCTGGTTCGCATGTTTTCTATTACACATTGCCCAAGAGCCAGTTCCTAGCGGCATGGTTGATGTCGCCCCTTCCCTTGACCCGGTAGCTTGTTCCCATTCCTTTCTGGTAATACATTCTGGTAACTAAAAACATGTGGGAAAGGAAGTTCCTCCAGCTGGACTGCATGGAAGAGCGTCCCATGTGGCCTACCCATCCCTTGTGATTGTAGCAGTTCAAATATTACTGGAGCAGTTCAAGATCAGGGAAGAATCACTGCACTTTTTCTGTATTGTAAGAATACAGCTAAAATGCACACCATATATTTAAAGCTCACAGCCTCCCCACACCCCAAATCATGAGAACTGTACTTTATGTTAACAGAAAGCTGGTCTTGATTAGATTTTGAAATGCCTAACCTGATTAAAGTCAATGCATTTTCCACTGATGATGTACAAGCTTAGAATTCATGACATACAGATTGCAAAGATACAAATCATGTAGATTTATCTATTTGAGGCAATGTCGTCGAATTCATTAAAAAGCAATCCAATTTTGTAAAATGTGCAAATTCAAATTTGAGCTAAGGTAGGGATGCCATTTTCCACAAAGTGACAGTCCAGTTTTGGGTTTTTTGCCAATTCCAACATCGGCTGCCATACGGTTGCCATATTCCAGATATGTCCGGATGGATGGCAACCCTAAACTAGACAAAGGCCAACTGAGGGGCCTTATAATGCAGCATAAGTGCTACTCCACTGCCAGCTGGTTGGCACTTAAGCACATGAAGGAGCTTCTTGTACACCTGCAGAAAACTTCATGGGCATAGCTAGTGGTGTGCCACTGGCAGTAGGACTTGAAAGGAGGCGTGTAAGGGCAGACTGCAGGTGATCCTGGGATCTAAAGCTCCCTTTGCCCCAACACTGTCCCCCCAAAAGGCAAAAAAAAAAGGTTACTAGTTCTTGCCATGGTATCGTGGTTTTGACAGCAACTGGAAGAAAAATAGAAAACTGGAGTCAGGTCTTCTGACAAGGCTGCCCACCTTCTACCCTGGCTGGAACAAGCCAGTAGGGCTTAGTAAGTGGTATTTGCTCTGCTTGGGATTCCATCTCGCTGCACTTTTACACACATGCACACCTTAGGCTTACTCAGCTTTTCAAGCTTGGATTTGAGAGCATAAAGAACTTTTGGGGCACTATGCTTTCTGCAACTATGTTTATAAATTGTGCATATATTTAGTGAGCATGAAGGTTGAAGATGTAATTATAAGAATCTGCTGTGCTGATGACCAGGCAATTTTAACTCACCCACTCAAAAATGTTGCTTATGCAGTTGCTGGGTGGTCTAAAGCAGTATGCTGTTCGTGTTAAAGTCACTTATTTTGCAAGCTGGATGACTGTTGTTTTGCAGTGGGTGGTGCAACATAATAAAGCTCAAGTTGTGTGCCAACAACTTCCTTATGGTGAGGTTTTTTCTGCCTTGAGCAGCATTGCCTTGAGCAATGGCTATTTTGCTGCAGGGAAGGGATGAATAAAGTGGATTGCTCTGATCGTGATTTTTTTTATAAAAAAAAACTTGCCTTTATGAGTATTAGCCTGCTATAAATGGGAAGTAAAAGCATGCTGCTGTTATCTGCTAAAGTATATAGTTTCTTTTACATTGTGAAAATCACCACTGCACTGCTTGCAGGAGACCATTCCTTCAATGGACTTTGCCTCATGCAGTAAAACACACTTAACTAAGCTTTCCAGAGTGGGCAGTTTATGAGCATCAATCTTCCATAAAGTCTATAGAAATACAGTCGTACCTTGGAAGTCAAACGGAATCCATCCTGGAAGTCCGTTGGAAGCTCCTGCAGCCAACTGGAAGTTGCAAAAGCCTCGTTGGATGTTTGGCTTCCAAAAGAACGTTCGAAAACCGTAACACTCACTTCCAGGTTTCGATCATTCGGGAGCCGATTTGTTTGGGAGCCAAAGCGTTTAAGATCCAAGGTATATAGATGAATATGAGTCAAAAACTCAGTTCCTAAATATTTTACAGTTTCCTTTTAAACACTCTCAAAATGGAAACATTCTTTTTAAATGGATCAAGCTTTTTCTTATGCAGTGTTATATGTATTCTAACCATAAGCAAGGTTTCATGAAGTTTCAGTAGCTATTTGGGAGCACATACTCTGCTCCCATCCAATTTCTTCCACAAACAATTCTGGTTACTACTTGTTTAGGAACAGCATTCTGGTTACTACTTGATTAGGAATAGCTAGGCATACTAATTTAGAATCATATCTGTCATTACAGTGGTACCTCGGGTTACATACACTTCAGGTTACATACGCTTCAGGTTACAAACTCCGCTAACCCAGAAATAGTGCTTCAGGTTAAGAACTTTGCTGCAGGATGAAAACAGAAATCGTGCTCCGGCGGCACGGCGGCAGCGGGAGGCCCCATTAGCTAAAGTGGTGCTTCAGGTTAAGAACAGTTTCAGGTTAAGAACGGACCTCCGGAACGAATTAAGTACTTAACCCAAGGTACCACTGTATTATCAACAGGAGTTCCATAGAGACTGATCAGACATACATTTTTATTTTGGCGGTAAGTATCATTGTGTGCGGCTACACTGCTTACCGTAGTCTACAGTTTAGTCAACTTCTTATTCCACATGAATAGTTTTTGAGGCAAACACATGGAAGTAATCACATTGGAAAGATCCATGAGCAGAATACTAGTTTCCTGCCAGCACTTATTCACATATCTTTTCTTTAAAAGAAAAAACAGCATAGATTTTCAGTTCTGGCAAAGCATGCCTCCACAAGAATAATTGAGAAACACATTTGTTATAGAATCCAGCACATCAGAAAAGGCTCCCTAGCAACAACCCTTGTCTGCTTAAAGTAGAGTATTGCACTGTTGTTTGATGGGTTGCTCTGCTGTACTTGGTTGATGGCATTCCTGTATGATCCCTGTTTGTTTAAAAAAGTGAAATAGAAGGCTTCTTCTTAATTCTAACATGTGCCTCACTCCAGCTAAAGTTAGTCATATAACTAAATCAAATGGAAACAAATGAAAGCAGTTAGTCATGGATCTGTCAAAGCCTGGTCTCTGGCCCCTCTATTATGCTTAGAAAATAAGGCAGATTCCTCCTTAAATACACAAAGTTCCTTAAAAAATCCTTTCTATCAAGGAGATCAAGAAATCCTGTTGGCAATTCCTACCAGTGATAACCCTCACCCCCTGCTCCCAAAAGTTATCTGTGCTACTTCCAGGAGGTGTCTACCATCTCCCTGAGCCCCTCAATGTTGAAACTCTGCCTGCCAAATATGACATGACTTATGACTGTTAGTCAGAACCAACATAGGTAAGAAACCCTTTAAGATGGACTGCGGTCATACATCCTTTTCCCTCTTGAAGCCTCAACCTGCAAATGATGGCTGAAGCTTCCAGTACGGGAGGTGACAATTGGGACTAAGTTCTGCAATGCCAGTTTGCAATAGGGTAAGACCAATATTATGGTATGTTGTTTTGTTTCAGTTGTGAGCTGCACACTTGCTACTTCTCCACTCCCCTTCCCTTTTACATTTAAGGGCTGATTAACCTCCCATGTGGCTTCGGCTACTTGAATTGTGCTACTAATTCTTAAGGTGCCTAGGAGAGAGAAAGGGGCTGAAATGGCCAAGCAGGAAACATGGGGTTCAGATGGCTGTTCCCTTACATACAGGAGACCACTGTAAGGCAGTTGGAATTCTGTGCCCCTGGCCCTAGGTGATATGTAAATGGGTGGTGGCTGGAGAGAAAAAGGATAAGGATGGGTTCCCCAAGACTACGCTACAGGGCTGGTGCTGGAGTGGCGGACCACCCTATCCTACAAAGACGAACTCATGCTCAATTGCTCTCAAGAGGCCATGTCTAGCTACATCAGAACCATATGGCAAAAGGTCTTAGTTCAGTCATAGAGGACATGAGGGAGGGCCTTCTTGGTGGCTGTTCCCAGATTGTAGAACTCCCTTCCATTGCAGGCTAGGCTGCTGCCACCCCCTGCTTACCTAGCTAGAAGGATCAATGGTCTGACTTGAAAGAGGATTAGAGAAATTCATGGAGGAGACGGCTATCAATGGCTACTAGCTGTGATGGCTATGCTCTGCCTTCACAGTTGGAGGCAGTAATGTGTCCGAATATCAGTTGCTGGAAACTACAGGAGGTAAGAGGACTCTTGTGCTCACATGCTGTTTGCTGGCTTCCCATAGGCATCTGGTTGGCCATTGTGAGAACAGGATGTTGGACTAGATGGGTCATTGGTCTGATCCAGCAGGCTCTTCTTATGTTCTTGTGGCATAGTATAAGGCAGCTTCCTATCATCCTGGGCCATTTTCTTGAAAGCATCCTTTTGGAGGAATACATCTCCATTTCCTACAGCAAGTGGAGGACTGAACCCTTTGAAAGAGCAATTTCTGAAGTAGAAAGCTTATTCTCATCAGACCATTAGCTCATCTTGGCCAATGCTGCCTACTATGACTAGCATCAGATCTCCAACATCTTAGGCAAAGGTCCTTCTTATCACTTGCTACCTGATCTTTTTTATGTGAAAGTGCCAGAGATTGAATAGGGAGTATTCTGCATGTAAAACATGTGCTCTGCCACTGATCTATGGTCCTCCCCGCAAAGGTATTTTCTTCGACAGCATATCTCCTTTTTGCAAATGTGTGCATCCTTTCTGGATACCCAGTTCATCTCCATTCACAGATCCTGAACTTATGCCATCTGAACTGCTGCATTGCTTCAGATATATGCTTTATCACATTATTGATGGCATCTGTACAGTGATTAGATTTGTTTGGTGGTGTTTTTTTTTTTAAAAAAAATACTCTTTCTCGTATGTACATTGCAATCTGTGTGCCATCGTTCCATTGATTTAAGTCAAGTTCAGAGTGCTGAACATTTTGCATTATCTAAGTCACGGTGGCAGAACATGCACGTGTATAGAATCAATATGAAAGGCCTTGATATATACATTTACAGAAAGGGCTTGTGTAGTCACTTACAGCTTGGATGGATTAGTCTTGGTGCAGAAGATGAAGTGTTCCCTTCCCTCCACAGTCATACTCCTAAGACCTAGTGTTCTCTCATTCTCTCTGTCTCTTAGCCTGCAACTCCTTCCTTCCTTCTAATTATTCAGTCCCCAGGATTCCTCACCACAGATATCCTCTCCAAGCTTCACTATTCCAGCGCACACAAAAGAGCCTCAACCTTCACATTCTGCAACTACATCCCAGACATGTTGGCCTATAGATGAACGTCCTCTTACATTTTCACATTTTGCAGGGATAATATACAGCATCCACTGCATCACTGTATGTCACTGAGTCAGAGAAATAGGAAATGGTAGTTGAGAAGGGTTTTTGTGTAGGGGCCTGTCAAGTGTTAGGAAAAGAAATGGAAATCATCTGCAGGGCTCTGCGGAGACATTAAGAACTGGCAAATCCTACTGCTTTACTAATTTGCAATATCGATGTACATGACTAATGAAATGTACCACTGAGCACATTTTTCCAACCAGTTCTACTTTTCAGCTGAGACACAGCTATCCTGGTTTTGATTAAGAAAAGATTTAGTTTTGATTTAGAAGAGAATTTTGCGCTGGGGTGGCAATAAGTATGGCATATAAAGTTGTTCTCCGCTACTAGAAAGCCAATGGAAGCTATAGATGGCTACTAAATGGAGCTGGGATGAGGCTGTTAAACCACCAGTAGCTGAAGTCAACATGCATCTGTCTAGTTTTCAGGCAAGTAACACTGGCTGTTCAATCAGTGTGGATGACATGGTGAGTCAGCAATGATGATTCAGCCATGCAAAGAAAGGAGAAACTACTACCCAATCCAGACTGGTCTGGAGCTTTAGAGTTAATACCAGCACTATTACAGGGAACAATCAATACAGTTTCAAATATGTTGACTAGTATCATTTTCCACTTCAAGCAAGTAATGGAATACTTGCAATACGTCAGATTAAACACTTAGCCATGCAGTCAGCCAATAAATATATGGAGTGATATCAAACTAAGTCATGTTGTAATCAACAGTCTTAAGTTACTTGTTCATCTGTTTTATTGGGTCAACCATGAGTATCACTAACACAGAATACAGTAGTACCATGTGTTAAGTACTGTCCCCCTTACGAATGCTTTGGGTTACGCGCTCCACTAACCCGGAAGTAGATGCCCCTTGTTGCAAACTTTTACCCGTGATGCGAGCGGAAGTGGTGCTCTGGCGGCCCGGCAGCAGCGGGAGGCACCATAAGTGAAAGCGTGCCTCATGTTACGAGCAGTTTCTGGTTATGAACGGACCTCTGGAACGGATTAAGTATGTAACACAAGGTACCACTGTATCACCCAGGGCTTATTTAGCCATCTAAAACCTCAGCCATCTAAAAGTTAACTGGCCTAGAATAGCTGCAAATGTAGGCTCAGAAAGAAAATTCAAAAGTAGTCTCTTTCTGAACGTGTGCATTCAACCTTCTTATGGTTTTAGCTTAACACATCTGAACATCATGCAACCTAACAACAACAACTTGTGCTTCACTCTAGATTTCTCCCCAAGACTGGTAGATTCATTTATCCCTTTGCCTTCCTCATCTGAGGCATGATCAGATGCTGTGTACAATGAAGTAGGCAGGCTCTTGCCTATGTAAACTTTGTGCTGAAATAAATGTCAGGTACCACAGAACTCTTAATTGTGCTTCCAGAAACATTTACAGGGCTACCCTTCTGGAATCCACCATTTGCACATGTCAAAGACATGCAAATCATAAATGACACATTGCTTCACCTACAATAATTAATATGCTACAGTCCTCTCAATCTGGCACACTACAGACATTTGGGACAACTCCGAGGATAACAATGGATCAGGTCAAGGACCCATCTCATCCAACAGCCAGGTCTCACAGTAAGAAACTATCAGCCCCAGACAACATGGACAATGGTCAGGGATGAAGAGAGCACTTTACCCAAGTTACTTACAAGTAACTCAGAGGAACAATGAACTCCAGGTATTGCCAAAACACCTAGTGAAAGACCATCTACTGCCCACTAGGTGGCAATATAGGTTGCTCTCTAAGCATTTCCTGTTACTTCCTTTATTCTCTCCATCTTTCTTTCAAAATATATGCACAGATCCCGTTGTGCTCTTACCACTGGAATAATTCAAACCATGGGATGAACCCAGGCTCCTCAGAGAGGGCACAGAAAGATTAAAAGCCAAGTCATATGATAGACTAAAGGTAAAGGTAAAGGTACCCCTGCCCGTACGGGCCAGTCGTGTCCGACTCTAGGGTTGTGCGCCCATCTCACTTAAGAGGCCGGGGGCTAGCACTGTCCGCAGACACTTCCGGATCACGTGGCCAGCGTGACAAGCTGCATTTGGCGAGCCAGCGCAGCACACGGAAACGCCGTTTACCTTCCCGCTAGTATGCGGTCCGTATTTATCTACTTGCACCCGGGGCTGCTTTCGAACTGCTAGGTTGGCAGGCGCTGGGACCGAGCAACGGGAGCGCACCGCGCCGCGGGGATTCGAACCGCCGACCTGACGATTGGCAAGTCCTAGGTGCTGAGGTTTTACCCACAGCGCCACCCGCGTCTATGATAGACTAATCCTGACCAAAAAAAGGAAATCCCCAAACTGTTACTGTTTTGATAGATTCTCATAATATGAGCCTTTGTTGGACACGGGTGGCGCTGTGGTCTAAACCACTGAGCCTCTTGGGCTTGCCGATCAGAAGGTTGGCGGTTTGAATACCTGCGAAGGGGGTGAGCTCCCATTGCTTGGTCCCAGCTTCTGCCAACCAAGCATTTTGAAAGCATGCCAAAAAGTGCAAGTGGATAAATAGGTACTGCTCTGCCGGGAAGGTAAACAGCGTTTCCGTGCACTGCTCTGGTTTTGGTGTTCCCTTGTGCCAGAAGCAGCTTTGTCATGCTGCCCACATGACCCGGAAAAACTGTCGGCGGACAAACGCCGGCTCCCTCGGCCTGTAAAGCGAGATGAGTGCCGCGACCCCAGAGCTGTCTGCCACTGGACTTAACTGTCAGGGGTCCTTTACCTTTACCTTTTTTAGCTAATAATAATAACACAATTAGGAAGAAAATAGATGCTAAGTGTAACAACTTACGGGGCACTTTTAGGTATGAACCACAGGGTTGGAACTGATTCACCGATTTAAAAAAAACCTGTCCTATTTGCCATCTCTTCATCAGTGCATTATAGGATCACAAGGAAGGCATGTCCCACCATGTAGAAAGCAGCAAAGCAACATTCTACCCAGACACATCCTCCTAGTGTGTGAAATGTTTGTGTTATGTAGTTGAAATGGAATAAGAATCCTGTTACATTAGTCAGCATACTGAGTCACGGACTGTCAGTTTCAAAGGAGAATTAATTAAGTGTTAAAAAGCAGAGGAAGGAAGACAGACAACGAGGGTCTCTGCACCTGTGCAATCATATGTCAATGCAATAAAATCCAATCTGAGTGCAATTGCAAAGCTGCTTTCAGACTGAGAGTTGCCTCTAGCTACAGGATCTGACTTCCAGTTGTTTGGCATGTGATGGGTGAACTGGAGCAGCACAGCCTATTAAGAGTGTATGAACCTACTAGGGACACAGCATTCAGAAGTCTCTTATACTACAAGTTTCCATTTGTTTGCACAACCACAGTGCACTCTTGGAAAACTGCTGTTCCAGAAGTATGGCACTGGGTGTAAAGGACTGCCTCTGTAAGCTGCGCATTGTTAGAACGAATCTGCAGTGCCTGCAGTTCAGTACATTGTCTTTTGAAGCTTACATTAATATGCATTGACTGAATCATCACATGAATGGCCTTCTAAATCTAGAATGAGCCACAGGCTGAATGCTCATTTAACTACTAAGGTCAATCTATGCATATGCAGCACATTAATTCAATAGCGATATTATGTAAAAAAAAAAAAATCACAATCTGTGGTTGGCCTGATCATCAAGGGAGATTCAGGACAGACAAAAGGAAATACTTCTTCACACAATGCATGGTTACAACTATGGAATTCGCTACCATAGGATATAATGATCACCACTGACTTGAATGCTTTGCTAGATGCTGGTGAGCATAAGAGAGAGTGGGTTCTTGCACTGATGTCCTGCTTTCTGCTTCTCATAGGCACCTGGGAGGCCACTGTGCAGCAAAATGCTAGACCAGATAGCCCTCAGGTCTGGTCCAGCAGGGCTCCTCTCATATTCTTAAAATTATTAATAATAATAATAATAATAATAATTTATTATTTATACCCCGCCCATGTGGCTGAGTTTCCTCAGCCACTCTGGGCGGCTTCCAATCAAGTGTTAAAAACAAAACAGCATTAAATATTAAAAACTTCCCTAAACAGGGCTGCCTCAATTTGATAAAATCAATCAATTTGACAAAATCTATAGCAAAAACAAACAAACCATGCCATGGAAAGTAAACACAAGCTTTACTACACACTTAGTATTCTTTCTAAATGCACAAAATTGCAATCTGAGGCAATCCTTCATAGGGCTCACTAAGGACCCACTTTACAAAGGTTCCCATCAATGTGACAAATGTGGTTCTAAAAATTTAAATACAGTCTTTAAATACAGTGAAGAGAGGTGAGTTTGAAAGTTGTACATAAGCCATTTGTACCTGCCAGGATATGCAATGAAATTATATATCTCTATGTGCAGTGCATAGAGTTTGGATCAAGGAGGCATCACGGGGGGGAGGGGGGGCGTTCTTCCAGAAATGAATTTTCATCAGGGAAAACACAAACAACAGTACTGTTGGAAATATTTTAATTAAACTAGGAAAACAAGTATTCTTTTTTTAAAAAAAATCAGCACGGGTTCAGTAAGGAAATATCACTCAGGCTGTGTGTGTACAAGTGAGCATTTCAAACATGTTAGTCATCTGTCACTCATATAAACAGTTGTATTTCCAGGAAGACTAAAGCTACAGGGGGGGAAAAACCACCAATGCAATGTATGGTTTAGTTGTGGTTTAACTTTGGGAAAGCCTTGGTTCAAAGTAGTAATACATTTGCAACGTAGGTGGCATCAGATGTTGACCACAGAAATAACATTAACAAAAGGAGCAGCCTGTAGAGAATACAAAGCATACATAGAGAACAGAAGTATCATCTTGAAGATTGCATCGGTTTTGTACCTCAGAACTACATGAAAATTATTTTATTGGCCAATACATTTCCACTGAACATGCAGGTTGTTGGTCAAAAGTCTAATGTTTCCTGTACCAGCACAGAGATAATATAAGCAGTCCACTGCTTGCTATTAACAGATAACATGAAATCCAGCTCATGTTTCTACTTAAGGGTCAATTTCATCAGGTATCACTGTTAAAATAATGTCTTCATTGCCCCTACGTACTACCAAGCTGAGTGTATTGTCCTTTTTGATAATGTCACTGACATCGTTGGCAGAGAGTATTGGTTGCCCATTGATGCTTATAATCACATCGTTTTCTTTCAGGCCTCCGCTGAAATACAAAGAGGTGGAAAATAATTACTTCAACTGCAAGAAACATATCTGCTTTCTGTAACAGCCACCCCCCAAGATACCAAACCCACAACTCTTAAGCAAGAATACAACAGATCTTTAGCAAAACAGGTGATGAGAGACAGACAGAGAGATAGAGAGACCTAGAGAAGCTATTCAAAAGGACAAATGGCAGGAACATGTTCTGAAAAGCTGGGGCCTTTCTAGATCATTTTTAGAAAGTTTTGCCTTTCTAGTTCCTTTGTGCTACTACACAAAATAGATTTCACATGCTCTCTAGGTGGTGTAGCCTTAGCTCCTCTCCTTACTCTAACCTATGTGCATTCAATGGTGACAGAAAAATCAAAGTTGAGCTTATTCAGCAAGAATAAATCCATATATCAAGCTGGATGGTGCTGTTTGAACAGAGTTGGCAGAAGTCACTGACAGCATTAAGGCAAATGAAGAGGATACAGCATCTTTCTCCCTGTATCATCTTGCCCTTTCTTGTAGACAAATTCTGGCTCTGAGTTATGGAAACATTAACCCAGCTAGCGGGATGAGACATGATTCAACCCCTAAGCATAATCAGTTTATAGCAGTCACCAGCTACTGTCTCATGCAGAGAAATGCCTTACACAAGCACTTCTTTCAGAAGTATTTCCCCCCTCCCCACAGAAGTTCTTGTACGGACTGCCATTTTATGATGCTTAAGGGAGGACACCAAAGCGAGAGTGAGAAAGTTTTATTTCACTCTCTCTTATTGCAGCTCCATGAAAACAAGCATAGTATGCTGTACAAATAAAAACATTTAAATTGCATGCATTAAATTACTGGTGATTTCAAGCTACTTGTGCAACAACGAGGCACAGAACCCCCCCTTTTAAGAAATGAGCATAGGGGCCACAAGGATTCGAAATATGTGCTTATGGGTCAAGAGGAGGGTACTATCTATCTATCTATCTATCTATTTATTTATTTATTATTATTATTTCTATACCGCCTTCATCCAAAGAACACAGGGCTGTTTACAATATAAAATCACAAAAATGCACAACATAATAACAAACAAAAATAATAACCTCCCACCCCCATTTAAAAGGCCATAGATTGTTTAATTAGCCAAAGGTTCCGGAAGAAGAGAAATGTAATGAAGGTGCCAGGCAAGTCTCCCTGGGGAGAGCATTCCACCACTGGAAAAAAGAGCGCTTACTGTATTCCAATGGTGGTGACTGTTGAGGCCAAGCGTGGCCGCAAGAACAGAGGAGGGAAGGAATTCAGCCCTGCATGGTCTCTATTGGCCTCGGCTGGTGTCAGAGGCTGGCGGGATTGCCCGCCAAATTTGAATGGGCCAGAGATGGCCCCAGAGATGTGGGCTGTGCCTTACTGGCAGACCTAGTGAGCACAGCGCCCCAGGAGGCCACCTGTGGGGCATGAAAGCAGGCTGCACTGCCAAAAGGGCTGTGACCAAGGAAATTGGATCAAGAGGATGAGTGTTGAGGACAAGTTTGGATCGTTTGCAGGGAAGAGGACCAGGGGAGGCAGAGGAGGAGGCGGAACAGGTGGCGGACACCATACGGTGTTGCTTTGTCTCTCCCTGCTATGGGACCTGCAAAGAGCTACCCCCCCCCCATCTCATCTTCTTTCCAGTTCAGGTGTGGGCTGCGGGAAGCAGGGGAACAGGAAACTCAAAAGGAGCACTGGTCTGCTTTGCGGAGCTCAGTGCTATCAGGAGCCCCATGAAAATGCTATGCAAATAATAGCTACAAATTATTATTCTTGTTACCCAAGGAATTCCAGCAGCTACAACTTTCACCCCGTTCTAGCAGCGACTGCATGACACAATCACATGATACCGTAGCCGCACCCAAGTACTGAGTGCAGCAGTGATAAGGGCAACTGCTGGGTCAGCTCCCAGCTTTGGGACAACTGTGGGCTTGCTTTTGGGATCATGCCATGTGAACTTTTTGCAACGGCTGGGAAAAACAGTTTATTAGTCTCCCTCGCTCTTCTAAATATTGCTCATGTCTCTAACAAATGGTAAAATGGCAAAAATCATCTTCTAGATTTATGGTATTGGGAAACCAACAGATTTCCTGAAATAGCAGGCAGATGTCATCTGAGGGTAAGAACTTTCCTGCCATTAAACAGCATAGTTAAAGGGCTGCTAGGTGTTTATCCTTTAAGTGAATAGGTGCAGGTTTCTGAATAAAAGGGGTTCTTTAACTTACGCCTCAGCTGGTGTATCTGGAATTACTTCAATAATATAGGCTCCAGAAATGACGTCAGGGAAGTCTTTATGGCGCTCCTTCAGTTCTTTAGCTTTGCTAGGAAAAACAAACCAAATCAAGTTAAATAAGAAACTTATTTCCAGAAAAGCAAAACAAGACAACACAGAGGCCACTCTTTTACTTTTGACGTAACCTGTACAAATTTCCTAAGTCTAAAGAAAGAAAGAAAAATATGCCGCTGCCATTGAGAAACATTATTCTGGAAAGAAGTGCACAGGAAATTTTGCCTTACCAATTTGTTCATTTTTGAAATCAGTATTGCTTTAGATCTAGAAATGTCCTAAGCCTTTGAGTTTCAGAAAGCATCTGAAGCTTGCAAGTAGAGAATGTTTTCTCCTTTTTTTTGGCAGATATTGTAAACTCTTTCTATGTCTCTGAATATCAGATTCTAGCTCTTCTGCTAAGTAGCTCTGCTACTTAACAATTGCCAGGGAAAAGATGAAAACCATCTGTCCGTGGCTTTGCAAATTTAAAAAATGGGCTGCAGTGTATGGCAATGGTAATCCAGAAAAATAAACAAGGGTCCAACTATGTCCTCCCCACCCAAAAAATGTAAGTGAACTGAAAATTTAAAATAAATGAAAATCATCCAGTACATGAATGGTGACACATAATGATCCAATAATAAACAATTGTTATGATCAAACATGTATGATGTAAAGAGTTTCCAGCTGATCTTTCCCTCAGTAGCGCCTCAGAGCTGGCAAAACTCTCATTGAAAAGTAATGGATAAAGGGACAATGCAAACAGGAAATGGTGAAGCAGTAGCAACCATATCATCAGTATAGCATTCCTCCTGCCTCAATTGCACCTTTTCTTTGTCCGCTCATCAAAGACATTGTATTTAAGAAAGAGGGAGAGATGGCTTTCAATGGTTTAAAAAAAGATGGAAGTCGTATGGGGAAAACAAAGGAGGGCAGCACTTTGAGGAGACGTCGTGTGACTCCCCCATAAAAAGTGTGTCAACCATAAGCTCCGGGTGGGTGGGGAGCCCTGGGTGCTCCAGCCCCCACAACATTCCCCATGATGGGGATGGGCACCCACACTTTTTTGCGCTGGGGTCCTGCATGCCGTGGGGTCCTGCATGTCTTATGTCAGCACGCCCACTTACGTACGTGCGCATATGATGTCAGGATGCTACAGGGTGTGCTGATGTTGGACACATGTGCACCCATGGTGTGCGTCCTGGGGCCAAGCCAGTGGGCCTGGTGTCAACAAAGAGTGGCAATTCCAGGCTAGTATATTCCTTGTCCAGAAACACCCACAGTAATTTTTAAACTTACCTAGGGGTAAGAGACATCATCCGTATGCCAATATATTTCTTCTTAGTTACAGCTTTTCCTGTTTTGAGAAGGAAAATGTAGAATTTATTTTGATTCGCCTTTTCCATCGGAACAGGAGACATTCTACCCCAAAGAAGCAGAATGATGTGAGAGATACCACTTCAGAATATAAGTGGGAAGTAGTATTGTTGAACACTATCTCACATAAACAATATTATAATAAACCAGCACACAAGGGTGAAAGATTTGCTGGTGGGATAATCTTTTCCTGAAGTTTGAAGTGCTGCGACTTTTGTATACTGTGTAGAATGGTTCTTACTTCAGAGCAGATATGTGTAGGATTGAACTAATTCAGTGGAACTTACTCTCATGTAAATGTATATAGGACTGAAGGTTTACTTTACCAGTACAGTACAGTACCTTTAGCTTGTCGGTCGTGTGACTCAGTGAGGAATTTTTTAATTTTGTCCGATGGTATTGCAAAGGAAATCCCAGCAGTGACTTTCAGAGTATTAATACCAATCACTTCACCATCCTGCAGTAGTGTGAATAATTAAATAAGCATGAGCGGCCCAAATAAAGACTGCAATTTCTATCACACTTTAATCTGAGCTGCTGACCTTGCGTGTGATCTCTTTGTCATAGCTCCCTGTTCCTAAACTGATCATGAACTGAATGTACCCTGGAAAATTAAATCTGTCCCCCCCGCTTTCATTTGGGTGAAAGCATCCTTCACTCTTTTTCTTCCCCACCCGCTTTGAGACTTCTGAGTGTGAAAGGACCAGGGTTTAACATCAGGACAAGCAAGCTCAATGCGACATGCTTCCATGCATACGGCTCCACGTTCGATTCCTGGCATCTTCAAAGTCAGGTAGCAGAGCTGGGACATTACTGCCCAAGAGTTGAGACAGCTGTTGCAAAGCAGGACAGACAGTTCTACTCAAGGGAACGACTTGGTTATGAGATCAGGCATCGCCCCAGTCTTTTCTAGCTGCAAAAATATGCTCTGCACAACAGCTTGATACTTTCTCTTAAACTAACCAAAAAACTTTCCTTCAACTGGTTTCAAGATTTATTTTTCCAACAAGACTTACTCAACATGTTTGCTTTAAGGGACTCTGTTGCATTGAAATAATAAAAAGAAAGAAAGTAGTCCATAATCGTAGCTGGCCTAAATTGAGTTTTATTTTATTTTTTAAAAATCAAAATGGACAGAACCTTACAGGTATTTTGAATGTTTGATTTTGGAGTAAACAATAGTTCTATTAAAGGATATGACACAGAAAACTTTCTTTTTAACAGTAATAATTTTGCCAAAGCTGCCAAATAGCCTTCAATGGAGGAAAATGTGAAGTCACACAAAAAAACCAGAAGACTTCAACGATGGCGTCAAGGCAATCCTCAGAGGACTCTAATCCGTTTATCTGTAAAACTAGCATGTTAGAAAGAACTGGCTGAACTTCTTCATGTGCCACTATTTATGCAAAACTTTTCACTGCCTCACAGAATGGGGTTTCCAAATCTTGATAATACATTTCATCTGTTTTGTGAAGCCAATCTCTACTATTTCCATTTTGCCAAAACAAAGCAAAGCCAACAGACAGTGTCTTATTCATGGCATTAGAATTCAAGTCTTCCATGTTCTTGTACCGCACAAGCTTTTGAGTTGCTCACAGTCCACTGGCTATGCAGACAGTGGCACTGAAATATCACAAACTAATACCAGAAGGGTCAGCATCCCTTTGACTCCCTTGGGGGCTTAATTCTGACTTACACAGAATCATATTGCTAACATGCTGGTAGAGAGAACCATGTGGTAAACGTAGGCAACTGACACAGGGAGTCTGCATTTCAGCATCTTATATGCCTAGTTCAGGGCAGGTGGAAATAAGATTCTAAAGAATATTATTATTCACTCAGAAAATATGCTACGTATTACGTTCATTTTGAAATATGCACACAGTAAATGTTTTGAATACTGAACTCCAAGAGCATCACACCATTTACCAGCACCAACATTAAAGAGTGATTAATGAGTCTGATGTTTGTACAGGCATTTGTTAGCCTTCCTCTACCAATATGGGGGAAAGGGATGGGAGAGAGGCAAGAGAATCAATAGTAAAATCCAAAACACCAGTTAGAAGTACTATTAGAAAGGAACTCTTACCAGGTTTACTAAAGGTCCTCCAGAGTTTCCATACTGTAAATTTAGAAGAAGAAGAAAAATTGTCTTTAATCTTTCTTTCCCCCCCATTTACAACAGTTCTTTACATTTTGAAATAGAGTTGCTACACAAAACATTCTGGGAGGGAGGGGTTCACATTCATTTATGCACAGCATTCTCTTATGGAGAGGTTACTATACAAACATGGATGGAATAAACTTGATATATTTTCTGTAGCCTAGAATGCCTAAACTTTGCAGTGGTGGACTAAGGATTAACAGACCCCCTCCGGTATTGTTAGGCTGGGGAAAAGAAAACCCTTTACGATTGATGCATGACACTTTGAAAGAAAATGCAGACTGCTTTAACTGTAGCACATGCAATCTCATGAGCAGAAGGGCACAAAAGCATGAAGCCAAGATCTTGGAGAAGGAACAGGGAGTTCAAAGGGGGCTGATATGGAAGGCTTGCCAAAGCACACCACAGACCAAACAAACTACCATAGCAGCCAAAATAAAGTTCTCCTGTGTGGAGGTACTTAAATCAGGGGGTTCAGTTTTGCCATTCATTGAATAAAACAAGACAGGGAGGTCTTTTACCTAGTATTCTTTTAAACAAAAGACCACTAAATTTCAGTGATAATTTTGATGCTTTCCTTTAAACATGTCTAGAGCTTCTGTTTCCCCCCAGTAAAGTTCCTGGTCACCTTTGCCTCTCTTTTAGTCTAAAAACTGCTAGACACTGATTCCTTTATTTGATGGCCTTGCTAACGAAGCTTAGGAAAATATGTCTGTTTTCTTAATTCTGTACACTCCTAGATTACAGGAAGTTAGCACAACTTTCTGAGAATTAGACCGAGAATTCTCCCTGAGAATTACCTGTTCTCTCAAGGCTAGCAGAAGAAGCACTAAAAGTTGATGTCTTATTAGTCCAAAAACTAGCTTGTCTCTTAAAAAAGCCAACAAAAGAACAGCAACGTGATATTTTGGCAAACTCTTTGATGGATCTTTAAAGACCTCTGATGAACACTGCCTGCACTTAATAATTCTAAGAGAATTCAGCTAAATATAATAAAAAACTTATGTCTCTTTAAAGAGCAACCAGAAAGATCAGTGCAAATTGCTTCCTTTGCATGTTCCAAGAAACAATTTTGGCCAGTCCTAATGCATCAACTTTATAGGGATGAATGACCAGGCGGCAACAGAATCTGAATGTATTTTGAGGTGAGAACCATGAATGCAAGAGAATGGCTTTGTGGAAAGTGACTTACATTGATAATTGCATCCGTTTGGATGTAGTCCATATCAGAGTTTCTAAGTCCCAGTTCTTTGCCTCCCCGTTGGGTGGTGCTAACAATTCCAGTAGTCACGGTATTTTGAAGAGAAAATGGACTTCCAATTGCAACCACAAATTCACCTGGCCGTAACTCTCCTGAACGTCCGAGCAACAGGACTGGCAACTTCCCCTAAGAATAGAGAGGGTCAAAATAATCATTAGTCAATAGCAACTCAAGCAACTTAAATAGCAACTTGAACAATGAATCAAGATATAAGCACAGCCAGCTTTCCTCCTGTATCAGGTAAATGTAATGGCAACTTGAAACAATTAAACAATTAAGTCATATTAATGACACTTCTAGCATAGTATTTTAATTTTGCATTGTATACTGTTTGTCAGGTAGAAGCACAAGAGGAGACAAATAAAGGGAAGGAGAATAGAAAACTCCAGGTAAATTCTGGGGTGATGGCAAACTCTAGTGTCTGATTAATGAAATGTTTAAGGGGAAGCAAATGAAAAAGGCTCAGTTGCTGGTTCAGCAGTAGCCAAGTACAACCACTGGCTCAGGATATGTTGCTGTCTCAGTAGAAATGCTAAAGTGATGGCACTTCTCCCACTTGGAGCCCTGATCACTGCCAAGGCCCCCATCTCTCACAAAGTCCTTCCCACTGCTGTGCCCATTGACATGGCTAAAAAAAAGCAAAGCAGCAAACTAAGTAAATATCCAGTCATAAAATATTAATCTAATCCTTTTAAACTAATGTATTTCTTGAAGACATCTTTCACAAAAGAATATGTCCATCCCTTTAGAGATATAAATTAGCATTATTTATAGGCCAGTTCACCCTTAACTGGAACACCCTAAGCATAGCACTTATTGTTAATCTCCACAAAACTTCTAAAGCAGGGAAATATTATGTTGAGGCAGAGAGAAGAGAGGAGTGGGGGGTGGGAATCCTGAAACAAAATGTTTTCTATGATCTGTCTAAAGCGATTCATCTATCAGATCAAACCCTGATAAGTGTAATAGATCTCCTGAGAGACAGACACATATTTTCATAGCTTCGGGTTATTTTTGGCAAGAAAACGAGCTATATAATAAATAGTTGGTGAGTAATGCAATTATTTGCAGTTGTGCTGAGTCTTCAAGCCTGGGCCAATATTGGTGAAACACTAGTTCAAAGTCAAGTACTGTATGACTTGGCTCAAGATCATCTGTGGGATTCAACATGCCTTCTGGAAAGAGTTAGCCTTCTCTTTCTGGGGTTAAAACAAAATCAGCTGCAAAACTCCCTTCCTCAGCAGATGTTATAAAACACAGTTTTGCAAAGCAGAATGTGTCATGTACAGAGAGTTTCCAGAAGAGACCAAGTTCTGTATCTTTTGTTTAAGGCATTTTAAGGCAGAAATCCTCAAATGAACATGTGTGAGACGCTCATTTGTCAGTTTCCTCTTATTCCTCAACATGGCAATCATCATCAATTTATGTAAAAGCGGCCTTCCCTTTTTCTTTTTTGGAGATCCTGTTGAACTCTAAAGTTAAGTCAAAGAGCACAAATATTGTGACATCTGGAGTGCTACATGGGGAAAATGCTCATTTGCATTACAAGTGCCTCTTCCATGAACAATAACCAGGAACACATTTGCATAAACAGCACAGAGTGGTGTAATTTAAGCCTTACCTTTGTAAAGGCTCTTAGAATGGGAATGGATTAAAAAAAACCCAAAAGGCCAAAAGGGCCTAAAAAATTCAGATTAGGATGAAAACTCTGTGTTGTGTTAAGCAAATTAGAGTGATATTGTGCTACCCAGAGATATGCATGCACAGCAGTGGGCTTTTCATTCATGTCTAACTGCCTAAGCAATTAATAGGACTAGCAGCTACCACTTGTTTGGGAAAGATGGGAAAAGGGGGAATGGTTTGCAAAGGTAATAACTGCTGCAGCTATTGGCAGACATGACTTAATACATTTTGTTCTGCACACACGGTTACCGGTTCAGTGCCAAATTCTGTATACATGATCCTTGTACCAGAAACCATGTGAACAGAATCCTTTTGCCAATGCAGGTCCTAATCCAGCATAGGCTGTGTATCCAAAATCCTACTGCAAGTCATAAATGTTTCTTGCTTGCTGGATCAACTCAAAGAGTGGTTAGCATTTTAGAAAGCAATCTACAGTAAAACATGTCAAAGGAATGCTCCCACCTCGTAAAAAGAATTAACAGCATCTATAAATTCTGAATGACAAAGGAAGGGTGACTAAAACGAGCTGAAGCTAAAACAAAGGCAAAATATCACAGTGCTTTTAAAAGTCTAATACGAGTCAGTTTGTTGACAACTGATAAACACCAATTTCAAAGAAGGAACTTAATCTGAAGTTATTTATTTAATCCATTAATTTAAGCAGGACCACCAGGTGTGCATGGTGTTTTATAGAGTACAACAGAGACAGATCCCAGCCTCACCACTGCCTAAATGAAATAAAGGAAAGCTGTTCAATGCATACATTTTTAAAAACAGTATTACTCTCTCTCCTGTATATGGAATAGAATAATTTTTTGCAGGGAAGGCCCAGTATTTTGGAAGCTTCAATTATGATTTGCTTTTTAATTTATCTTTTTACAATATTCAGGGACAGGGTAGCAAAGAGTTATTAAAGCAGAGGAGCTAATTAAATGCCTTCCAGCAGCATATAATGAGTAAATGAAAGAAGCCTGGACATGCCTAGATTTAAATCTTTCCAAGTGCCCTCCCTCCCTCCGCATGCTGAGTCACTGACTTAACTATGTAGCCCAGAGCAAACCACAGTCATTGTTTCTCTCCTTTCTGTGCGCCCCCTCCTTCCTTCCTTCCTTTAATCATCCTATTATCGTGTGGCCTCATGTAATGTTCATAAAACATAGACCCAGGACGTATTATTTCAAATTCTGAAAGTCAAGGCTGATGTTAAAATAGTTGGTCTCAAAAGCTTTGCACCCAGCAATTGTGGGCACAGATACCATCACATTTCTCCCAGTGCAAATGTATTTGGGACAAGAGAAGCATTCAGGGACCTAAGCCAGCCATCACTTCTCATTGTGGCAAGAATGTAAGCTAAACAATGCTTTCCACCTAATACTGTGCAGGAAGAGAAGTAATTGCAAGGTTAGATTTCCAGCAGCCTGGACAGCAACACTCAATTATGGTAAGTGCAGGATTTTATGTTTACTGCATAGCAGGATAGTGATCGGGGCATCCACAGTGCATTTGGAAATGTGGTCAGGCAATAAAGGTAAGGTAAAGGGACCCCTGACCATTAGGTCCAGTCGTGGCCAACTCTGGGGTTGCGGCGCTCATCTCGCTTTATTAGCTGAGGGAGCCGGCGTACAGCTTCCTGGTCATGTGGCCAGCATGACTAAGCCGCTTCTGGCGAACCAGAGCAGTGCACGGAAACACCGTTTACCTTTCTGCCAAAGCAGTACCTATTTATCTACTTGCACTTTGACGTGCTTTCGAACTGCTAGGTTGGCAGGAGCAGGGACCAAGCAACGGGAGCTCACCGTTGGCGGAGATTCAAACCGCCAACCTTCTGATCAGCAAGTCCTAGGCTCAGTGGTTTAACCCACAGCGCCACCCGTGTCCCAATAGGTCAGGCAATAGTGCAATGTAAAAAAGATTTCACTTACATCAGCTTCAAAGGGATCCAATTCAATCTAATATAGGTCAAGGCAGACTCTAAAATCTAGTACTAATCTCCCAACCTCCAATTTAGAATTCTGCCACATCACTGACTTTGATGAGAAAACTAGCACAGCAAGAAGTATGCTGGGGTAGAATCTTTTCCCCTTATGTGCTAGTTATTTTACTTGCAGGAGGTACAAGGAAGAAATGCAGTTTATTTATCACAATGGGATTCTGCAACTTCATTTGGTTGCATGTGGAGATCAGAATCAAGTAAGGTACATTTGTGAATGGGAACTATCTTCAACAATTTAAAAGCCAAACTAGGTGCAACTTCAATTCCTTTTGGTGCCTATGGGGACTTCCTCTGAAACACAAATAACTCCCAGGAACATGGGCCGGGAAAGCATTGCAACCCCCCCCCCCCATATTAATGTTGCCAGTTTGGTTGTAAGAAGTTAATACTTTACTGTGGATGCTTGTGAAGAAAACTGAAATAGGGTCCGCTCCTGAAATAATTGCAGTAAAACTGATGTCTACCCAGTGGTACCTCAGGTTACATACGCTTCAGGTTACATACGCTTCAGGTTACAGACTTTGCTAACCCAGAAATAGTGCTTCACGTTAAGAACTTTGCTTCAGGATGAGAACAGAAATCGTGCTCCGGCGGCGCGGGGGCAGCAGGAGGTCCCATTAGCTAAAGTGGTGCTTCAGGTTAAGAACAGTTTCAGGTTAAGAACGGACCTCCAGAACGAATTAAGTACTTAACCCGAGGTACCACTGTAGTGAGGAACTAAAAGTGGCTTTAATTTTTATTTGCCTTGCAGCTTGAAAGTTTACAGAAAATTCATAAACAAGAATACAAGAGAGCAGAACTCTATAAATCTGATTTTTCTTAAAGAATAATATTGATTCCTCAACCCCATCCCCACTCCCAAAAAGAATAATTCATACACTGAGCTGACAGTGAATTGCAAAACATGTAGCAGCAGCAACCCTGGGAAATGCCTGAACTAAATGGCAGCAATCTATTAGCAGAAGTGCTGCCAAAACTCAGACAGCCCTTACTATATTAAGTCAGGAATGCTTATTTTATTCCTTTAAAAGATGCCAAGAAAAACAATATACTTTCCAAAGTCAGTATATTCACAAGCCTGCAATGCATTCACACGGTCTAACAGATCAGACCAGCGAAGAAATCCTATACAAAAAAGTAAGATTACTTTACACTGTGTTGCCAAAGTATGACTCACCGAATGAAACATTGATTTGTACACTCAAAACGCGTAAGAGAAATAAGTATCAATTATTTTTTAATAGAAGCAGAAGAGGTGAAGCACAGCATCAGCAGGATATCAAATCCATTATGTGATATTGAGAACAAATTTATGGATGAATGTGGTAAGCAAATCTCAAGGAGATGAAAGGACAGTAGTGAAGAGGAAAAGAGGAATGTGATGCACACATGCAAGATGACAAATTCACAAAGACAACAGACGTATGGGCACCTTGCGATGCAGAGACCTGGGAAATATGGTATTTCTATTTCACAGCTAAAAAAGAATGTACAAAATTTGGGGGCGTCTTATACACGGGGGCCATCTCCCCCCATCGGAGTCCCCAAAAATAAGGGTCGTCTTATACATGGGGGCATCTTATAGACGGAAAAATACGGTGTGTGGGTGTGTGTACACACACACAAAAAACACTGGGATTCTTTGTCCGGTGTTCTGGTGATGTGGGGAGCTATTTAATGCCTAACACAGTCTGCATAATTTTTAAAATTCTGTAACTGGAACCATCTTACTGAGCCAGTGCTATGAAGAGGATGCAATGGATTTCATACAAGGATTTACATTCCTGTTTTCAATAAACTGGAAAGTGAGGGTGATGCATGCAAGAACTCACACCTACCAGCTGCTCCTGAACAACTGGGAAAATGCACAACTTATTATCCCTTTTCATTTTAGTGAAGCAAATGGGGCAAGAAGAAAATTCAGAGACAGACGAGCAGATGTGTCAAGCAGATTTAGTGGCAGCCAAAGACAGGAGACACAAATGAATGTCAGGCCAGGGCCAAGAGTTGAGTTGCTTCCCTTTATTTAAGGCCCATGTGAGGGACCTTTGTCCTGCCAGAGATTGTTGAACTAGAACTCCCATTTGCTATAGGCCATGCTTGCTGGGGATGATGGGAGTTGCAGTTTAGCAAAATCTGGCAGGTCACAACTGAATTAAAGTTACCTCAGTCATCTGAGGGTCACTCTCTAGAGGAGCCAGGAACAATTTTTTGGACACCATGCCAATTGGACAAAGACGTGCATGGTCTTCACCTTCCCTTGAGTGACTTTTTGAGTAGTTAGTGGGGTAATTACTGGATTTTCATTGCATGCTTTATTATATTAGTCAAACTCCTGTCTTGGTAATTAAGGGGCAGGAATGGACAGCCAAACCAGTCATCAGGTGCAAAGAGTCACAACTGAGGCCCCCACCCCCAATAATTTAGCTAGTCCTAGTAACTTTTGTTGTTGCTGCTGTATACAATAAAAGTTGTGACAATAGTTTAATCCAGTATCAGTGTCTGCCTCATTACTGTTGACACAATCAACCCTTTTGAGTCTTTGGAGGCCTGGTGCTCTAAAACAAGTTGCAGGCTTTCTCTGACCCCAACCAAACCCAACCCAGGTGATGAACTTGATTCTAGGGCACCAACACTGCTTGAGGCCTACCTGCTTCGGCAGTAGGAAGTGAATGCGAACTTTTGCCCTCCTGATTTCCCTCTCACCCACTGCTTTCCCTTCTATTTGTCTGATCCATTCATGTGGTTTCTCTTCCCCTCTGTAGCACTGCAGTTACTGTATTTGTGTGGCCAGAGGGGGGTTTGGCTATTTTTCTGTGTACACAGCCTGTGTGGAAAGCAGCAAAGCAAGCTGTGTGTGTTTATGTTAATGGCCAACAGTTCTGGAAAACAAACTGGTTGCGTTTCAGAGGTACCTCTTACAAAACATGTGGAAGTGATCTTGACCCTAAAACATATAACTGGACCTCAAAAAAGTTTCTTCTCATAAGTTTACCTCTTGGTGGTTTTAGGAGATCTAATGGAGGCAGATTTTTTAAAACAAAAACAAAAAAGGCTCTAAAAGCTATTTCACATGCTCGGATGGTAATTTTTCTATTAGTAAATTGTGGCAAAAGTCACTAGCTAGTTTCAAAACACATCAGAAGACTAAGACCTCCCTAAAAGCAAACCTCAAACAGTGAAATGGCAAAAAAGACTGCCAGGTAGGGAGGTAATTAGGTCTCCTGGCACAGAAGCATCTGCACTATTCTCCACCAACCTGGTGTCCTCCACATGTTTTGGGCAACAGCTCCTTTCATCTCTGGCCATACTGAGTCTGGCAGATGGAAACTGCACACCAAAATATCTGGAGGGTACAGGTTGAGGAAGGCTGATTCTACACCATATTGCAGCAGACACTAGATCATGCCACACACAATCATTTTTGCAAATTAATAGTCAAACCATCCTCCTTTCAGTAACCAGGCCTCCTTACTTCAAAGGTTAGTTCAGAACACTTTGAGTTAATAGGAAACATTATATGATTTATGGTTGCTTTCAGACATCACAAGAAACTATAGTTATTAAGGGAATGAGCCTAGACAAGCGTTGGACTCATGCACTCCCACATCTCCTTTGATGAAACTACAAGGAAGTGAACCAAAATGTTCACTTCTGTTTTGAACCCTAAACGGTGGTTAATGTTAGCTATGGTTATTGAAACAAGCCAGCTTCATAAATACAAAGTTAATTTGTTTCAGTAAACCACAGTTAAGGTTAAGCACAGTTTGTTCAGACATAAATGGTGCTTAGTGAAAAATGGGACCATTGCTTCTGATCTTGCAACTGTGCTGAAGAGGGAAGTATATGAGTCCTGATGCTCACATTGGTTCATTCCCATACTTATGAACTAGAATTTATCACTAAGTCTGAATGCACCTATTGTCCCAGTATCAATCTAGTTAGCTGCATTTTCAAAGTGGGTGAGATTATTCATCTACAACAGATAAGGGGAACTTGTGACTCTCTAGATCAGGCATGGCCAAACTTGGCCCTCCAGATGTTTTGGGACTACAATTCCCATTATCCCTGGCCACTGGTCCTATTAGCTAGGGATGATGATGTTGGTCTTTGACCCTCATCAGTTGGCAAGGCTAATAGACAAATACGATGGGAGTTTTAGTTCAGCAATATCTGGAATGCCACAGATTCCCTACCACTGGTCTAATAGAGACTTCATAAGCACTGGAAATGAACATGATTGTTTGCTCAGTTGGATTTCTTCTTCAAATCAGAGAAGTCAAACATAAGCAGTGTCCACCAGTATCCTCTCTATGACCCTTGAGAGTAATTTTAGAGCTCTGCACATTTCTGGCAACTTCTAAATAGGAAAGAGATGCATTTCCTGCATCCATCCCAATTACCAGGACTGTGTTATTCAGACAACTAATTGGTAAGACGTTCAGGAACTTGTTTTGGAGCTAAGAGAGGCAACGTTTCTAAGTCCAAGTTGCCGTGTTTTGTATAGTCAAGCTGCCCAAGTGATTAATAAAATGTCTAGGGAGAACCACTCACTGTTCAGGAAAGGAGAAGAGTGATCTATGAGGACTTATTGGCTTCTAAGGTGAACACTCCAACTCTATGCTTTCTTCTATGGAAACTTCCATGTGGGAGGTCTGTTCAGTTCCATTTGTTTTGGCATTCAACCAGTCATCATGTAATCACAATATGTGACCTGCATTCATGATAGGGGTTGTTGTTTTTTTTGTCTAGTTTATTTTTGCTAAAGGAACAGAAAAACTTTATTAACCCTTTGGTTTTAGTTCCATTAAGTCCTATTTGCACTGCCTGTTAGAATATGTGTTTGGTTGGTGTGTGTGTGTGTGTGTGTGTGTGTGTGAGAGAGAGAGAGAGAGAGAGAGAGAGAGAGAGAGAGAGACAGAGAGAGAGAGAGAGAGGGAGGGAGACAGAGACAGAGAGACTGACTTATTTGGTCAGAGAGAATCAAAAAATGATTTGAAGCTAGATGGACCAGTTGACTAACTCACTACAAGACAACTAATGGTTTCACTTTCACAGCTCCCTTCCTTTTCTTGGGCTTCCCTTGTGTTAGTTTTCCAGAAATAATTTTTTACTTCCCTCCCTAGAGAATAAAGTTAATAAAGAACCTTCACTCTTCAAGATGTCTTCAAATTATCCCATATTACTATGTATCTCCATTTGGTCAGCACAACCTTATGGAAACTGAAGGGGGACATCCCAACAGATCTGTTTCTCATTTGTGCTAAATTCTTTTCCGTGGAAAAATGGGTTAGTGAGTGCAAACCAGTTCATTCTACTGGTGCCTGTAACTCAATACTTTATTTAATTTCTTTTCCTGTTTAGAAAAGCAGTCTGTCCTAAGGCAGAAGTCCATCACTTAAAGGAAAATTGCATGCTTGGGAATGAAAGAACACAGCAGTTTTAGAAATGTCAGTGGTGTGGAATCTTTAGAGTAAGTCACCTTGTGCTTTTTTTTTACCGCAGACATTCCATATCCCATGACAGAATTTAGTACTCATATTTGCATTATCCGGCCAAAGGAGGAAATATTCCCTTCTGCTTCAGAAATACAGTTAAAAGAATCATACAGTCAACAATCATTTTTAAATGCATTAAATATTACTATCAAATTAAATGATAAATAAGCCCATGTGCTATACAAATTAAGCATTTATTTATTTATTTATTTATTTAAAGCGTAAGTGGCAAAATAGCAGGGAAGTGACTGCAGGTAAGTTTTTACCTCATTAGTCAATTGTCTAATGCTTATACTTAGAAGAGCACTTGTCTAACATTCCCAGTAAGAATCTTTGTTAAACATATTCCTCTTAGTAGGAATAAACTAATTGAATTAATAAACTAACTGAAGAATGCAGCATATAGTGAACAAAATGAAGTTTAATAGGCTGCATGTAATGCAGAGAAGCTGAAATGTTCTCAGAAAGCCATATAAAATTACTTGTTTTGAAACTACGTAGATTTTAGTTATGTGTGATATGACTATATACAACTTCCTAGCATGCAGTCCTAAGGTCCTGGGGCCACAAGGTTTTGTGAATCTGCTTCTCTGTGGAAGGAGCATCCTTGTTGCAGTTGCAGAAACCTCCACCGCTATCCCTCCTCCTCTGGTGCTTTGGAGGATGTGTTTTGGCACAGGGGTCAGCAAACTTTTTCAGCAGGGGGTCCCTCAGATCTTGTGGGGGGCCAGACTATATTTCTTTTGGGGGGGATGAACGAATTCCTATTCCCCACAAATAACCCAGAGATGCATTTTAAATAAAAGGACACATTCTACTCATGTAAAAACACACTGATTCCCAGACTGTCTGTGGGCCGGATTGAGAAGGCGATTGGACCGGATCTGGCCCCCAGGCCTTAGTTTGCCTACCCATGGATTAGGGGGTTGGGGAGTACACAGTCCCTAAGGCCAACACACTTACTTACTTTGCTTTCCATTGGGACCAAAGCTTTTTTTAAAATAAGAGTAAAAAAGCATGGAAAGTTGGTAGAAAAGCTGATCTTCCACCTTCTGCTCTGCCAGTGCTAAATCTATTATTATTATTATTTATTGAATTTATATACCGCCCTATACCCAGAGGTCTCAGGGCGGTTCACAGAATAAATCTAGCAGGGCTTTAGCTTTGGAAGATTCTCTGCTTCAGATTTTCCTTCCTCTGCCCCCTTTGGATTGCCCTGCCTCTTTGCATTAGCTAAAATACTGTAACTGAACAGCATTTCACAGGAGCATTTCATCCTTTCCTGAAACAATACATAAAATAATCCAGGAAACAATGCTTAGAAGGAAATTGCTGAACTCAGCTACTGTGTATGTCCATCTGCTTACTTCCTCTGTTAATCCTTGCCAAAACTCCAACTTGCAACAGTGTCCACCACTGTAAACTAAGGAAGCTCCACCCATTGTATTCTCTACGTCAGTCTTTCCCAACCTTGGGTCTCCAGACGACAGTTCCCATCATCCCTGACCACTGGTCTTGCTAGCTAGGGATGATGGGAGTTGTAGTCCAAAAACAGCTGGAGACCCAAGGTTGGGAAACACTGCTCTACGTAGATATAACACGTTCTTAACTCCTCCTTCCCTAACCTCTGGGGAAATGTAAACTAAAAAATATTTATTTCACTCTTTCTGCTAACTCTCAATTGCACTGAATCAGCATTCCAGATCCCTAAAAAGTCGTGGGGGGATAATCCCCATTACCTATGCTGATCACGGCTATCTGAAATGAGCTAATATTTTTAAATATGTGTACAGCTTTTTATCATAGATATATGCTCTGACACTGCCTGTTCTACAGGCATAAAAAGCCTTAATAATACATAAAAAGAGCAAAGATAGCATCCCAAACACTCTGTACATCACTTCAAAGCTATGCTTCCCCCCATGAGGTTCTCTTTGCATATTTAAGTAAAACATTTATGCAGCACAGTAAAAAAGAAAAAAGGCATCTAGGCAGTAGGATGGAGCCACGTGATAATGACTGAGCAGTTTAGTAACTGCTGGATCAATAGCCCCAATAGGGTTTGAAATACTGAATAAAGTATTGTGTGTGTGTGTTTTAATTTTCCCAGAGCACTTAGCAATGGAAAACGAAACAGCATTTGTCCCTTTAAATATGCCAAATTGTATAACGCAACACACACACACACACACACACACACACACACACACACACCTGCAGTGCATTAAAGGGAGGTTTTGAAATAGCATGAATACAGTGGCAAAGCAAGCTCACCACATGAAAACCAGAGTGCACTCTAGGGCATAAACAAACATTATTCTTGCTACGTTTTCGGACAGAAATCAAACACATGCCAGGAGATGTTTTCCAAAGAACTTGAGTTATGTCTTAATTGTGCTTTCCCCTTCCAAGGCCGCAGTACTGAATTAGGGCACATCTGCACAGTAACAGCCTGTGCTCCCAGCTGGACTCTGTAGCACTCATGAACGGGAGGAAGCATCGCCCTGGAAAAGGCAAGTACCTTTTGCCCCAGGGTGACCCCATGTTAAGAAGGCAGCCATGCAGAATTAACAGCCTGTTTTGACGCCGCAAAAATAATTTGCCAGCCATACTGACAGTGCGCTAGAAGCGCTTGTTTGTATGTGGGCTTGAAGAGTGCGTGGTAGGAGTATATTCAGATCCAAACACAGGAAAGGTCCAGCCGTGGTGCTAGGCGAGCCCACCGCATATCGTTGGACTGCATCACTCATCGTCTCATCAGCCCTAGATAGCATCTCGGCATTCTTTATTCAGAGCACTGCATGTCAAAGGGTAGAAGACTTTGGAAGTAGATATTGAAAATGCATGAGCCCTTTTCTGGTGGGCTGCACATATGTTTGCAGGAGTGGGGATGAGCTCACTAACCTCTGCCCCTTTGTCTGCTCTCTGCAACTTGGAAGGTAGAGTGAGGACTCAGTACATTATATAGAACATAACACCGGTCTTGAAAGATCTACATTGGTTCCCAGTACGTTTCCAAGCACAAGTCAAAGTGTTGGTGCTGACCTTTAAAGTCCTAAATGGCCTCAGCCCAGTATACCTGAAGGAGGGTCTTCACTCCCATCGTTCTGCCCGGACACTGAGGTCCAGCTCCGAGGGCCTTCTGGAAGTTCCCTCACAGCGAGAAGCCAAGTTACAGGGAACCAGGCAGAGGGCCTTCTCGGTAGTGGCACCCGCCCTGTGGAATGCCCTCCCACCAGATGTCAAAGAGAAGAACAACTACCAGACTTTTAGAAGACATCTGAAGGCAGCCCTATTTAGGGAAGCTTTTAATGTTTAACAGACCACTGTATTTTAATATTTTGTTGGATGCCCAGAGCGGCTGGGGAAACCCAGCCAGATGGCGGGGTATAAATAATAAAGTATTATTATTATTATTATTATTATTATTATTATTATTATTATCCCTGCTTCAGACTTTGCCCCCTGTTGTGGGCAGCAGGCATGGTGACATGGGGGCAGAGCTTAGCATGCTCATTCCTATTCTGCTCATGTGCAGCCTTTGCACACAAGCAGCAGGTCCAAGCACGGCTGTAGAAACACGTGACTGTATGTCAACGTGTGCATGGCAATACTGAATCAATGTCAACTCTGTGTATTTCTATCACAGCCAATCATTGTCTCTCTTTCTAGATGGGTAATAATAGGTAATGGTGCAGCAATAAATCTTCTAGCACACTTGGCAAAGCTAATCAGGGTCCAGAATGGTCTCAAACTGGTTGAGGACTGCTTGCTGAGATTCCTGCATTGCACGGGGTTGGACTAGATGACCCTCAGGGTCCCTTCCAACTTTACAATTCTATGATTCAAATAACTGGTTCTGGCATTTATATCAGCTCCTCATACTATGGCTAAGTTGCTCTTGCATGCTTGCAGAATCATATGAAATGGGGATTTTAAAAAAATGCAGTGCTTTATTTTTTAGTCTTGCTGAACAACTTTTCCAGTTTGCAGCCCTAAAAAGTTTTAGACCCTTTTGATGACTGATACTGCATCACTCTCCCAGGAGGTGAATTTTAAAATGACTACAAATCAAATGTATTGAATCCGTTGCTATACTGACATCCTAAGTATCTTGATATGGTTGAAAGTTCTATTTAAACTTGATTCAACTATATATTTGGCATGTAAATATATTCATACTTCTTTCCAAGTCCATTGTTTGCTATAAATCTAGTTTTTTTTCATGTAAGAATATATCAATATCAATGAAATAGCAGATGCATAAATAATCCCGTGCTCATAATCAACTTACCGTAGTGTCAATTTTTATTAGTGCAATATCTGCTTTCTCGTCAATATCTTTAATTTTAGCTTCTCGTGTTTCACCATTCTTCAGTTCCACTTTCACTCTGTTCTTGTTGGTAACCACATGGGCATTTGTAACTATCAGTCCATCTTCGGAAACAATAAAACCTGAGCCACTGGCAACAGGAACTTCCCTCTTTGAAAAAGGCAGTCTAAAAGACATGGAATTTCAAGATCAAGAAGCAAAGCAGTTTCTGAAGATAGCAAAGACAATCTGCTTCTATGACCATTACACACTATTATGATACATTTGGTTTTAAGATACCTTAGAATATGAGACATAAAGGACTCTCACAACACATATATTAATGCATTAATTTTTTTAAAAAAGCTGGTCACTAAGAAAATAATAGTATGCTATACTATTTGTACATTACACATAATGTTATATTCATAACAACATTAAAATATAGCATCAGTGTTTTTCACAACAACACACAAAACCCACAAAGTCTCCAGTTAAATCATAAAACTTGGATTTCTTGTTTACTTGCGAAACAATTCAATGTGAACCACAGCCGGTGCTATCTTCTCCACCACATCTGCAATAAAGTTGTATTTGTGCCGCAAACTATTCGGATCTTCCTGGCCTGAGGAATGAAAAATAAAACACTTGTCATAATTCATCAATGTCAGCAATAAAGAGTTGCAAAATACTCATATTAAAAACAGAGTTGATATCTATGAAAAACATTTCTTTAAAAAAAATAGTCTAAGAGCTCACAACAAGACTGTTATTGAGCTTATTTTTAATTAATAGAATTGTGAGGGTGGGGGGAACTTGCTCCAATAAAAGCACTGATTCTCATTATATTACAAAGAAGATTAGTCAGTTTTAGCATCCCCATATTTATCAAATGAGTCACCACACCTCTGAGGCTGCCACAAGGCAGGGCATTTTCACATATCACCATATCATAAACATCCTCACCTACATAGCAGAGCCGTGCACAACTGTGCCACTTATCTCACCTCTATTATGTACTCCTCTCACAAATGTCAGGTAAGAACTACTTATATCATCTAATATACTAGCATCACAGTTTCAGCAGAGGCTCCTCTCAGTTACTCTAACAAAATATAATTAACACACTGCTAAAATTATGTATAATTAGCTTCATGAGTTAACAAACATTGGTTTGGCTTACTAGCCAGTCACTATTTGTGACAACAATGAGCCCTTCCGTTGGTCACTCTGGCATGCACAGAGGGCTTGAAAGAGATTAAGCATCCTCTCTCCTTTGTCCAGAGTATGAAGAAAGTAAGAAACATTGGCACTCCCACCTGCTGCTGTTTCCTACCTGCTTGCAAACTGCAGCACAAATGAGACCTCTGGGTAGAAATCTGCATTGTGCCAGGTGTCCTGCTAGGAACAGGGTTAGGTACACTCACCTCTAGGGAGTGGTTATTATGAGAATGACCCATAATAGCATTCTATGTTCACTTCAGTAAAGCAACATTTACAGGACCCGGACATAAAACCACACATTAGCCAGACCTCCCAAGGGCCCTAACAATTGCATTTTATAACTCAAGCTCAATTCAATTAACTTTCCTGCCTCCCATAAGCTGCTACTGATGGCCCAGATCCTTCTGGCCACCACTCTTCATGATTCTGCTCTGTTTTACTTATAACTGACAGATGTGTCTCATTTCTAGGAATACTTCCACAATAGATTGCCAAAATATTTAGCAATAGATTTTCCCTGGACCTAAATTATTGATCCAAAAACCAACAGTAATTTTTCTAGCTGGGGCATGAGCCATAATCCCATAAACTGAAACCCCACCCCCAAATGAAACACTTTAAGAAAAGACTACACAGGTATAAGGTGTCAGTGCTAGTTACAGGCTTCAATTCATCAAAGTCCTGTTGTGAGTTGTGGGGTAGGTTAGTCTGTATGAATCCCTTCTAATTCTTAGATCTAGCAAGGGTTAAAATCTAATGGTATATCCCATTGTTGAATTAGCCAGGCAAGGGCCAGGTATGGGTAGTTAGTCTGACAAAGGAAACTGCTCTGTGCTAGAGGGGAAATGAGTGGGGCCCCTCCTCTCTCCCCCCTCCCCTGAATACTAAGAAAGTCATAGCCAAAGCTCTGTGTGTGAGCTGCTAGAAGCAGACAGAAGCCAGAGAATGAATGCCATGCTTGATTTCTGCTTAAATCCAAGGCTGTAACTATGGGAGAAACAAGACCTTCTGCGGTTGTTAAAGCTGTGAGCATTAACCATTGTAGGTTCAGGTTGTATATATGTACAAATAAACCAGATATCATAAAGACACCATGGTCTCCACTGTCCCTCATTCCAAAGAAACTGAACCCTGAGTAAGTGCCTGGAACCCCTGGAATCCTGTACTGCTTGGAGATTGGGGTGGCATGCAACAGTGATGCTGCACCAGAACAATTAAGCCACCACATCCTAAAGGAAATACAATTGCTTTGACAATTGTTTATAGAACTCTCATCTTGTATGTTGTTTTAAAGTTACATTTACTGCAAAAAAGGAGAGACAGAAACACTATTTATAATCAAATAGTGTTTCTGTCTTTTTGCAGCAAACGAAACTTTAGCACAACATACAAGATGAGAGTTCTATAAACAAGTATCCCTTTCTTAGATCTATCCAGTTTTTATCTATTTGCAACATGAATGTAAACATTCTCCTTGGAAGGAGAGGCAGAGCTGACTGCTGTGCTCCATGAAAATTCCTTTCCCGTATTATTTTAAGAAATGGCAACTGCAGTGGAACAAAAACCATGGGATTTCTAAGTAACAGCAGGCAAGAGATAACTAGCTATGGTTAGAAATGACAAACCATCATTTCATAATTCATTTAAGTGACGGGGGTGGGGAGAACAGGTGGGGAACCAGATCTCCCAGCATTTACTTAACTCTCTGAAGTGTCACATAAGTTTAAATCATGGTCTGGGCAGTCATTACACTAAGTAGTTCAACTATTAATTCATCCACACATTGTATACTGGGCAAAGTAAATTTAAAGATAACAACTGAACCAGTTGTCTTTAAATTTCCTTAATTAGATATATAGGCATGATATTGCTATGAAGACAGCAGCCCCCGACCAGCTTTCCCAAACAGTAGGAGGTTCAAAGGGTAGCTTCTTTACGGAGTCTATCCCATATGGTGAAACTTATGGTGCCTTTGCAATACCTACAAAATATAAACACAGAGCATACTGGAATCTAGGGTGTGCCTATAACTTGCAGAGATCCCCAAAGAACAAAGTTTGCAGCCACATCAATGTTACATTTCAGCAGGGTCAAGCCTACACTTTCTGTCTGTTTTTCTCCAAGTCCAAATTCACATTCAAGCACAAGGGTCACCTAGTCCAATCCCTGCAATGCGGGTATGCTTTGCCCAACGTGGGGCTCAAACGCATAATAAGAAGCAAAACAGAAAACCCAGACAAGTTGGACTGCTTGATAACAAATATGTACAGGGATTACTGGAGATTGAAGAGATGTGTAAAATGAACCACAAAGATGAAAAAAAAATTTCACTTCTTCTATAGGTTTATGGGTCTGAATTGATGGGGACTGTCCAGGAAAGCGCTCTTGGTCATGCTGAACAGCTTAATAACTTGTCAACTTTGAGTATGCATTGACAGTGAAAAAGGCAAGTTCCATGTTAGGGATTATTAGGAAAGAGGTGAAAATAAGACAGCTAATATACATAATAATGCCACATTAGAATACTCTGTACAGTTCTACTGAACCCACCTCAAAGTGTATACCATAAAGCTGGAGAAGAGGGCAACCAGTAAGATCAGGATTTGGAGTATCTTTCCTCAGAGGAAAGGCTAATTCAACAGGTAATAAAAGATTTATAAAATTATATCCGCCTGTGGATAAAGTGGTTGGAAAAGGGGGTTTTGCCCTCCATCTGTCTTAATACTACATCTCAGGGTTATCTAGTGAAACCGATTAGCAGTATATTCAATAAAGGATTTTTAAAAAAGACTTCTTCAAACAACACATGCTTAACTTATGGAATTCTCTTCTAGAAGATAAAAATGGTAAGATGTTTAAGAGTTGTCTAAGAGACAAATTTGCAGACAGGCCTATCAACAGCTACGATCATGAATATTAAATAAAGGTGTGCAGCATTGTTTCTTGGGGTGGAGTGGACAGGGCTGGGCTGCTGCTTTCATGCCTTGCTTCCAAGCTACCCGAAAAGCATCTGGCTATCCACTGTTAGAAACAGGATGCTGGGGCTAGATGTACCTTTGGTTAGATCCAGAAGGGCTTTTCTTGTGTATCTTACGTTATTCTTGCGCAAACCATTTGAATTGTATAACACAATTTTGCAACAGATGTTGTGGGGGAGAGAAACTGATCTAATGGAAAACATCTTGCCTTCTACATACACAGATTGCTAGGACTTTCATAATGGAACTCTGTGAGCAGTTAAGAAACACATTCTCAAGTTCCTCGCTGAAAACAAATGAAAGAACCTCACAATTTTTCAAGCTATTTTCTCAGGGGACAGAGCTTTCCTCAGAGTATCTCTCAGCATGGGAAAAGATGTTTCTGTTGCACACCATTCTCCCAGTCCCCATCCTTGCTCTTTGTCAGTCCAGAATCATGGCAGGAAGAAGAGAGAAATAAAAAGTAGCAAATGCACAGGAGCACAGTTTACCAGTTGTCCATAGCCATTCATCTTTTATCATGTTTTTTTTTCTTTACATTTTAGTCCACAGCATTTCTGTCCATCTGTTTTAGTGTTCCCAGACTAAAATTAAGCAGGACTCACCAAGCCTCAGCAAAGATCTCATTGGATGTCTTCTGAGCAGTGAGATTGGGTCATCTTAGCTTGCCCTAGTTTAATTTGCAAGATCCTGCCAATGTACACCTTCAGTCTCTGTTACATATACATGCACACATTTCAGGTGAATCTTAAAGCTCTTTAGTGATGAAGAGATTTACCATGGCATTAGCTTCCATGGACATTATGCTAATATTTTGCTAGAGACACTTTGCTAGAGTTGTTGTCCTGAAGGCTATCCTTCAGAAACATCTCAAATTGTGGCAGTGCTGGGATGCACATAATAATAAATAATACTGATACAATATAACTTTTACAACAAATTGTAAGACTGGCCATTATTATCTCATATGTAAAATGGGAGAGGAGCCTAAGCTGACAAGAGAGTGGCTTATCTAGTATGTTAATGACAAAGGCCCCATTTGAACCAGAACCTACTGACTGATAGATCAGCCGCCTGGCCACTACCACAGCTCTTGATTTTACACTCACTGCCCAGCACATGGGTAAGAGCCTTTTAAGCATATTCCATCCTACACATAAGTTGAAAGTGGGTTGGAACTGCATGTGCACCAACAGGCCTTGAATAAGAGAAATGCAATGCCAAAAACACTCAACAGACCTAGCCACCAAAAGTACTCACTACTGCATTATTCAAAGTTAAAGATTAAGACTATAGTCTTTATATTCAGGTTTTGGTTTCCATCAACAGCAAGTTCCTTGTTCATCACAAAAAAAATTTGTAGAAAATATATATATTTATTTGCATGTGTTACAGATGGTGAGAACATCTAGGCTTCACTCTTACTCCAGAGTACTTTTCCAGACACAACGCAGACTAAATTTGTTGTGCATAGGCCCCACTGAAGTCACTGGGACAAATGACGTCTTTAAGACTTAATTTAGTTCCCATTGAAACCAGTGAGTACTTAGTCTGGGTCTTAGCCATTGTGTCTGGTTTGTGGCAGGGATCTATAGAGGCCTTCCCTAGTGCCTGAAGGTCCCCTCCCCCTGCTGAAAATAGAAAGGAGGCATGAAAAAACATTCTGCTGTAGCTAATAGAATAAGTTGTGGTATGTGCTAGGGTGTGGTATGTCTGTGGCATCCACAGCAGTTTGTTCAGTTTGCAAATGTGCCCGCAGGCCCAGAAAAGTTGGCAACCTTGGTTTATGGTGATGTGCATAGAGGGTCAATAGATTTCTGTGTGGCAACATGGATAGCTTCTGAAAAGCAGAAAGTCCACAGCCCCATGGAAGAGAGCTAGTTAAATTTTACTTAATATTCTGGTCTCCATAAACCTTAAAGAAAAAGTTTAAAAGACAATGAGAAAGAACAGTATTATAGGATCAGCACCAGTTTGTTCATGAAGTCAGAGCATACCTCGTTTTCTGCACAGAAACCAAAGTTATGTATGACTTCAGTATGAAAGCAATGCCAGGGATTTCCTCCCACCCCCACCCCCCGGAAAGGAAAAGCTAACCTTGGCACTCCTTTTCTCTTTTAGTCCTTATTTTTTAACATATTACTTCATAACGGTTACATTTCAGATGCAAGTTCACAGTTTGGGTAAGGTATGTGAAAGAAAGAAGTAATTATAGTGTTTGGGAAAACAGGAGCAATTATTTAAATGCAACATAGGATATTTCACCAGGAACAGAGAGAACTGTAGGGAAAGCTGATTGGACATAATCATTCATGTTTCAAATAATGTATGTACAGAAGCTGTTTAACAGTGTTACCAATCCATAAAAATTATATTTAAGCAATAAATTTATGGAAGTAATAGTTTGAATTCTCCATGCATAATAAAAGGAATGTTCTCTGTAATAGATCTTGCAGAAGACACGTGTTCACCCCAACCTTTTCCTAAGTAGCAGCAGCACTGTTAGTCAAGCTGTTTAACTTGGATTTTTTAAAGTTACACTTGGCTAGCCTCAAACAGCTTACTTTTCCATGTGTAGAGAAGCTTGCTACAACACAAGGACCACTGCTCTTGAGGGAGCAGTGGTAAAACAGTGCTGAAACTGAAATGGGCTGGAGAGACAAATAGGTCCTCGTTTTATTCTTATTCAGATTTCTTTACTGGTAGCTTTGCTACTTATTCTTATGCAAATTATAGATGGTTTGTGAATTCTCCTATGGTTATGCTGTTATTCACACTGCATAGCCTTGATGATGATGATTCTAGTGATATTGTACTGCTTTGTTTACACTATACAGCAGGGATGCTAGGGTGCTAGGCTATGGCCCCAGGTGTTGCTGCACTGCATCATTGACCATGGCATTGTTAGCTGGGTCTGATGGGAGATGCAATTCAATATCTGGAGGATCACAGATAGGCCATCCCTCTTGCAGAGCTTTGATGGATGTCCATTTATGTTCTTATATGGTCAATTCACATATTTCTTTTTCTGTTTTCTATTGTAAATCAATAAACCATTTAATAATTTTAGTTACAATCCCAAATCTGCAGTGCTTCTCCCGGGCTCTGCTTTATCTGCCAGGACATGTGAATTGAAACCAGATTGACAGGCACATAAGAAAACCTTATGTAACATTGTAAAACACAAGAGGATGCACTCTTCATTATTTGTAAATAATAAGGCTGCTTAGTCCTGAACAACCACTACAGAAAATAGTATTTGTGTCTGTTTCCATGAACACAGCCTTTATTTCTAATGTCTTGCTTAACATCTGCTATATGAAAACAAAAGCTCTGGATAACTAATGAATGGGCACTTCTTTGACCTCTACATAGGATAAATGCATTCAGTGTGAGTGGTTTGTTTGTTTGTTTGTTTGTTTGTTTGTTTGTAGCATTTTTGCTCTACTTCTCAGCCAAAAGAGACCCCCCCCCAGTAGTTTGCAGATCAATAATAATAACAACAACAACAACAAGATAGACCCTGCTTTTAAATACATGGCACAAAACAAAATAGGGATGGGGTGGAAGGAGGAAAAATATGACAGCATAAAGCTATTTTAAGTGTGGCTAAAGTTTATTTTCAGTGTTGCCTGCCCATCTGGTGTGTCTCAGCAGAAAAACTCATTGCCCTTCAAATGTGAAAATGTACATACTTTTTTCCTACACTACAATTCCATGTTGGAAATTGTAATGGATGAAACAGCTCTGAGTTAAGATTTGAACCTGGGATTCACAGTTCTTAGTCCAGTTCCTGGCTAGGCTAGACCCTTTTAATTATTTTTTTAAATAAAAAATAAAGAATGCAGTCATGTTTGTTCCTTCATGCAGGAATAGCTTGGCTCTAAACAGGAAGTATTTTCCCTACTAAATTGTAAACCACAGTCAGTGGTGTATGAATCAGCCGAACATCTTCACAACTATAGTGGTACCAGCTGCTACAAAACATCGGCAAGAAAAGCAGGGAAATAGAACATTTCTTGGTAAAGAAAAGTGAGTGTACTGCTTAAAGTAGGTGTTGACAATTCGTGACTTAACGGTTCTATTCTCAGCTGCAATAGTCATGGTGAATAGTATTTAACCACAATTTCTCAACCCTACTTTTGAAATGGTTGTAATATTCCATCAAAGATGGCTGGCATGAAGTTTAATTAAAACTTGGCAAGCTGCAAAAGAAGCTACCCTTAAAATTACCAAATATTACCAGTGGGCTTCCTAACATTATTTACTGCATTTTGCATTTGCTCCATCAAAGCTGTCTGGAAGTTACATCAGTGGAAATATTTGAGAAGCATTTATTGATCTTCAAAATCAATGAGGAAGAAAGCTTTCTGACGAGACAGGAAGGGAAATAAACCAAGGAGAACAGTGCCAAATGACTAAAATAACCCAGGAATGACAGATACTCAGTAGCTGATGAAAAATGGGGATCTGGGCATTTCTATAGCAAATGAACTCCAGCATTAAAGGGTCTGCCTTACAAAGGTTCTGCTCAGGAGCCGCAGATACAATATATGGAACAATGCTGGAAATGATTTCTAAGAAGGCAAGATATGCATTGGGGATAATGAAACAGACAGAACTAGGCTCATCACAGACCCTGTCTCAAATAGAGTAACTTAGGTGAAAAGTGAGAAAACTTGAAAATTAATATCATATCAGCTCCTGCAGACATAATTCGGTCCATCTTTAATGGTGTTTAAGGGATGATACACCAACCACAGGATTCCCCTTTATACCACTAATTCTACCCACTGGCATTATGCATCCTTAAGAGTTATTTGTTGCCATTAATGTTAGCCACAGTTAACACTTGCTAGGTTTTTTCTCTTAAGTAGGATTCTGAACTTGCGTCAAACCTCAGTTAAAAGAAAGCTTAACTAAGAGCAAATCCTGATTAGCATTAGCCTTTGTTAACGTGGCAACTTATCCCTTAGTCTGCTTAATTGGGGATTCTCACTTAAGGGTGGAGTAATGAAGTGCACAGTTCTGCATCCTGTCCCTCACCAGTCAGGCTGTGGACCATCAGCACTGGCTCAACCTATTTCATAGCCTGTAGTAAGGACTCCCTTGGGTTGCCTGCATGAGCAACTCACATTAGGTAAAGGGACCCCTGACCATTAGGTCCAGTCGCGGATGACTCTGGGGTTGCGGCACTCATCTTGCCAAGGGAGCCGGTGTACAGCTTCCGGGTCATGTGGTCAGCATGACTAAGCTGCTTCTGGCGAACCAGAGCAGCACACGGAAATGCCGTTTACCTTCCCGCCAGAGCGGTACCTATTTATCTATTTGCACTTCGTGCTTTCAAACTGCTAGGCTGGCAGGAGCAGGGACCGAGCAATGGGAGCTCACTCCGTTGCGGGGATTCAAACCGCCAACCTTCTGATCGGCAAGCCCAAGAGGCTCAGTGGTTTAACCCACAGCGCCACCCGCATCCCTTAGCCAAGATTAAATATGTCTTAAAATATAAATTATGTTTTGTTAATAAAACTGAACTATCAGGATTTTAAGAGGATGCTAGTTCAGTTCAGATTTAACACCAAACCGTAGCTCAGCAGGACATGAACCAGCCTCACCCTCACATAGATACTCTTCTTCTTGTGCAGTGTGAATCCAACTCTCTCCTGTATGTTGCCAAACCATGGTTTGCTTGGTTCACATGTAATGACAAACTATGGTTTGTAAACAAGTGGTAAGGAAAGCAATCACAGCATGTGAGTTGAAGGGATGTGGGAGTTTGAGGCACATTCATATAGCACTAAACTGTGGTCTGGTGGTTGGTCTGAACCAAGCCAATGTGACCAACTCTTTATCCATGACCTACTTTCTATCTATATTTACCTGCTTTGATTTGAAAGGTAAATTCTTACTCATTTTGCCAATTAAATTAATAACATAATAGATAAAACATGGGACTTTCATAATTACTTCTACTTTGATGGCCAGGAAACAATGCTGAAGGGAAATAAAATGATCAAAGGAAAATGGGACTCAATGTGATAACAAAAATGTGCACCCACATTTGGGCTTTATGTAAATTTTTGACATTTTGCTTTTGGAAAACAGGATGCAGCTATTCCATTTAGGAGGATGTTCTAGTGAAAGAGAATGTTTGATGAGTGTTAATATTCAGTACACCAGAGATCATTGCTGTAGGCACAAAGAGCCAGCTGTCTCCATGAAATGTCTCAATAAATAAATACAAAATAGCCTACAAGACCAAAACAAAAAACCTAAAATACTAACAGACAGATGGAAAAGACAGCTCCTACACAGCGCTGAAGCTTTGTAAATCTTAGTCAAATTTCAAAGCAAACTAAAATGAGTGCCTAGGAGTTTAATCATTTTATGTTTGTTTCACAACTAGCTACAAATTTATCTGGATACATGTTTGAAATCCAAGATCCCATTTACAACATCTTATTCCTGGAATTCAGCAAGCACATTGAAAGTCTACTTCCAGCCATGTGTTTCTCCTAAATCTGGCATAATAAGCTTTTGGTAATAATTCAGCAACGTTTGTGTAACAGAAAGGATAATCAAGTTTTCAATCAAAAAAACGTTTTAAAAGTCTGCACCTGAATTAATGAATTGTCCACTCACTCCCAAGGCTTGCTCTAAATTTAGAAATCAATATGAATGCACCTTCATCTGATTTGTGCACGGGTAGAAAGTAGCAAGGCCAGAGTTGGCTTTAGCTTACTTGCTTCACTTTTTTCAATGGGATGCTGCACACATATACATGAGAAAGTTAGCATGTGCTGAAAGTGTTCATCAGATGCTCATCAGTGTTTTGCTTTGTAATTTCTTTGCTTTTCTTTGGCATGCCAGAACTTGAGGGAGGGGGGGAGTTCAGCCTAAGGGCCACATCGAGAGACAGAGAACTTCATACTACAATTAATCATCTAGACCAAGAATGGGCAACTACTGTGGTCTCAGAAGTTCACTCTATTCCCCAGGCAGTAGTCCAAGGACTGGGAAAGTCAACCTCATAATAAAATTGGCACGATCTAGCAGCAAGCACTCTGCAGCTATGGTGGATGTACACGCAAGGCCAAAGCACACAAGATACTTTACTTTGTGGCTTCCAGTTCTGCTCTGCCTTAATGGAGGCAGCCCCCATGACAGTGGGAGATCATTGGCGAAGGAAAAACAAGGATGATTCAGGGTAACAATCATCCTTGCACATTCCCTCCAGGGACGGGGAGAACGATTTCACTCAGTTTGTCTCAGTACCTGGCTCTTGCTCCGTCATGGAATGTGGGGGGGGGGCACTGAATGTGAAAGCACTTCACTTGCTAAAAACCTTCCAATGCCACCATTAAGAAGCAGAGATTCTCCGGTTAATTAGAGCTTAATTGGACTAAAGTACAGCCGTGTGCTAGAAGAGATGAGATCACAAACTGCGGAACAAACCAACTGCAAGGACTTCAAGGTTTGAACTTGAGGTAAGACTTCATTAGGTGCAAAAGATGGTGGGGGAGGGGAGGTTACTGTTTCTTAATTTAATGTTTTCTTCTCTACATTTATGATTCAGCAGCCCTCCTCTAAATCTTGGTTCAAATTATATTTGTACAAGTGAGGATGGAAGAAATTGGATTATAAATATGGAATATAACATCAAACAAAACTCTGTGTGTAAAAAAAAAGGAAAAAAGGAGGGAAGCTCTATTTTGCAAAAGGTTTAGATGGAAACTTAGTTGTTGTTTTTTTTTTTATAATTGATATTTATTACGTTTTCAAAGAATAACAACAAAAATTTCCAAAAAATTTTGAAAATACAAAAAACAAAAATAGTACATAAACAAAAAAGAAAAGAAAACCCAGCCGCAAAGAAAAAAAAGAAAAACAGAAAAACAAAAATATAAAGTCCTTTACAATCTCTATTTACTTCCTTTCTAGACTTCCTCCTCCTCCCCTCTCTTGTTTCTTAATTTTTAATTTTTACAGCAAATCCTTTCTGTTTTTTCATAACAATCTGTCATTACGTTTCCTTATTCTATTTTCCCTCTTGTCATATAAAAACTTTAAAACTCATAGCTTATATTCAATATTTACCAAATTCTTACATCATTACCTTTTACGAATCATTTACCAATCCTTACTTAAGCCATGTAATTTCATTCAACATCCTTCAAACATTTATAAACATTCCCAATATTAAAAATAAAAAAGAAAAAATAATAAGTCAAATTCAGTCCAGTCAGCTTCCAACCTCCCTCCCCTGGACCCGGGATTGTCAGTCCTTTTAACCTCAATAATCCGGCTCCTTAACCTGGTTGTCTCGTATCCGAGGCCCTCAAGTCTCTTTCTTGCCCCTTTCGCCACTCTTGTTGATGATTCCCTTCCAGTCGTGGATACTCCAGCAAGAAAATGCTTTTGACTCTTTGCAGCAAGTCCATCCCAAACCCATTGCCCAAGCTAGACAGCAGATAATACCACTTCAAATTTCCACAAAGCTTGGAGACTTCGGCTACTCCAATCCTCTGATAGCCTATCACTAGACTCGGAAGGTCCAAATAACCATATAGAGGGGGGTCGATCCATCCCCCCATTTCCAAATCTGACCACATTTCATCTTTCCGAATCTGATTTGTCCCAAGTTCATTTGTCAAGTTCAAAGGCTGATCTTGCCCGTCCAAAGGTCCCTCCATCTCTGAAGCCTCCGTCACTACAGCAGGTTCATATGCTTGTATAGCCTTTAACTGAATTTCATTTGTTTGCTGCTGTGCTCTGGTAACTTCCATCATCAAGGTCGTCTCCTGACGCATCTGGTCCAGCTGGGCACTTAGTTTTGAAAAACCTTCCAGGAACAATTGTTCAAGCCTTTGTACTAGCATTGTCCTTCAAGGTCAAAGAAAATTCTTTCCCACGACAATAGTCCAATAGTCCTTCTCTTTTAAACTCTCTGCGTTGCAATTTCACTGAATTCCACTAGATGGAAATTTTTTTTTAAAAGGAATAAAAGCAACAGCAACAATCTTTCTTTTTCCAGAAACACTTTATCCAAAATTCCCCCTTCCAAATTCAAGAGGCAACAGTAGAATCAAAATGTTACCCTTCTTTTAACTAACTGTCGAGCTGGATAAACTTCAAAACGTCAATTCTGACAGCCCGCTCCTGGTTCAGGGCGGTGGAAAATTGCTTTATTTTAAACTCACTTCCGCAGGATTGAAAAGTCCAAATACAACCCCCTTCTTCTCCTGCAGTCAAAGGGGGGGGGTTCAGAAATCTTAGATGTTGAATTCTAGTTCTCTCAGAATTTAATTTTCAAGCTTTAGTATATTTTGTCTTTGCTTTCTTCACGTAACAAAAGAACGGAAGGCTGACTTCCTGTTTAGACCTTCGTTCCGAGTCCCAATTAAGTTCAATTTCAAGTCCAATATTATTTGTTTATTCACCAGTCTTAAAAGTAGTTCAACTCTTCCAAGATCAGGTACTCACGGATAGATGTTTTAGATGCCAAATTGTCCAGGAAAAAGGCAGCGCTCTCCGATAACGGCAGTGCGGCTTTGCTGCACGGAGGAAGCAGTCGACTCACAGCACCACGCACCTCCCACTCCGGAGCCCGTTACCGGGCTCCTGTACAAGGAGAGAGCGCTCTCGGTGCCCGCCGAGTCCCACGTCCACAGGCTTCTTCCGCCTGTGGTTTTGAGGGTCCCCGCTGCGCCGTAGCGGCAGGACCCAAGCCTCCGTGCAGCGGGTTCCCTTCAGTCCGAAGGGAATTCCGCCATTTTCCGGAGGCGCCACCCCGGAAGGTTTAGATGGAAACTTAGAGCTGGTTCTTCCCCATCCTTTATTATCTACAAAGTGAACTGAATAACGCTAAGAGGACTTGGAATTTAATTTAATTGGAAGTATATTTGCTCATATATCTTCAGCTGGAAGCAAGGATGAAAGGAGACTGTGAGCTACCAAGGAACTAAGGTTCTTTACTGAGTCATCCGCAGTTTGATAGACCACTTTTCTTTCCAGGCTGAGAGAGAAAATGGTGACAACAGTACTGGTATTTACTGGTATTTGAATGATTGGTATTAATAATTGTATTATAAATTTATATTGTTATAAATGAGGCTATTATTGGACTGTAATTGAAAATGGGTAAAAAAGTATTACAAAAAAAGATACTTTACTTTGTAGTTTACCCCAAAGTACAAGCCCTTCACACACACCCCAAAAAGCCCCTATCAGCATGAAGTGCCCAATCTGGATTAGGTGACAATAGGGCTTTAGCCCTTTGTCCCCCACTATGGTCCTAATGAGGCCCATTGGCTTCCATGGTAGCGATTTGCTTCAAATCTCCTGTTTTAATGGGAGCTTATTTCCTATGTCAATGGAAGGCAGAAGGGACATGACCCAGATTTGGATGATTGCAAATGGTTAAAATCTCCCTACTCCCCACCCTTTCCATGCTAGGGCCTCAATTCAGAAGAGTGGGTTCCATGGTAGCAATGTTGTTGTTTATTGTTGTTGTTGTTGTTTGAGCAGAGGAACGTGCATTCAAGAGCAATTATAAAATAAATGGCATGTGTAGTTAGAGCCTTAGGCATAATGTGTTAAATATAAATATGTTTATGTGTGGTTACAAATCCAAGAAAGGGAGATGTGACAGTAACATGTGGAATCTTTGTATCTTACAACTTGCAAACATTTTTGATGGAGCAATTGGGTATTAAAAAAAAAAAGTTGACCAATGGACCACCAGTCCATTGCAGGATGCTGAACAAAAACACACTTTCCTTGTCCCGTGGCCTCCTGAACCTCTTCTGAAGCAGGTCGCATATAGAACCTGTTTCTACAGGCAGGCTACTATGGATAGATTGGGGCATCTATTGTACATAAGGAGCAATTATGTTTTACTTTAGCACTGTATTTGCAAATAGTTATCTTTTGCATTAGTAAAACGTCATTATAGCAAACATTCCCCCAGCACGGCAGGTTCAGGGCTGCAGCTTGTGTAGTTCATGGAGTTTGCCTCTCAACCAAGATACGCTCTGAAACTTCAGTAGCTTTTTCTGAACTTGCCTGAGCAAAAGTCAAGGCACTGGTTCTATCATACAAAATTTTGCTTGTATTAGATCCAACATATCTAGCATACCTCCTCCCTCATTTGCAATCTCCAGGAAAATGCTGTCTTGATTATTCCATCAGCAGACCAAGTTCATACAACGAGGGTATGTCTATAGCAATTCTTAGCATTCTTCCACTGGAGCCTTGCCATATCTCAAGCTGCATTCAGAAAAAGACGACCTATTTTCAGGCAAGTGTTTTGCAGCTACAACAAATCTGAATATGGAGTTTTAAACATTTGTTTTTTCAAGTATCTGTAGACAGGCTGATTATTAAGCATGGGCAAGCAGACCAGCCGCACAAAGAACACAACACCCCCCCCAAAAAAACCCCTTTTGAGGAACACATTTCTCCCCACAAAACAGGTGGCTGGGCCATTCGGCTGGAGCTTCATCAGTCAGCAGAACAAATAGAGTGATGATGGCGGACCTTCTCCAGCCTGGAGGGTGAGGTTACATGCCAGTGGGTCAGACAAGAGGCAAAGGTGGGTGAGGCAATGGATCTGACAGGAGGCTACATGCCAGCAATGCCAAAGCATTGGGTTTCTAAGCACGCACAACTCTCCCTTAAGGCAAGCAAGAGCCATTGTTACAGTGCAAGGATACATTCCAGACAGGCAAAAGCACTCGAGGAGCAATAGCAGAGCACACAACATTCATAGCCCTGCCTATGAAGCAGTGATTCGGTGGGGGCAAAGGAGAACTTCAATCTCTCGGTCCAATTAAGCGCTTGCGAAAAAGGAGGGAACGGAGGGAGGAAAGAACTGTGCACTGCAACTCATTGCTATGCTTTTGAAAAAGGAGCAAACAATGTTAATCCTGGGAATTACATCGAAACTTATTTTAATTAAGAACCTCATTTTGTAAAAAGGGAAACAGTGTACTCCCTGAGAAAGTGATATGAAATAAAATACCCAGAATTATACAATGGATTGTTTATTGAGGCCATTCAAGCATCCTTTATAAGTTGCTATAAAAAAGATCAAACCCAGTACCCAAAAGTTGCTTTTGCTGCATCAGGGATGAGACCTGCTTTTCCAGTCCCTCTCTTTTGTTCCGACTGACATCCAGACAAAGCCCCAGCCGGAGGAAATGCAGGCATATACACTGCTTCTCCAAAAAAAACAACCTCCTAAGTAGCTCATATTCATAGCACACACATTACAGTCAAGAGGGGGAAAGTAGTGGGGGGGGGGGGAAACAAAGAGATGTCTAAAAACCAGACAAGCCTAGGAACTGGGTAATCAGGTCAAAAACTAGACAGGTGGCAACATTTAAATAGTGCTCTGTCCAACTTTGTCAATTAAATGATGTCAGAGCTGCTGAGAGGGGGGAAAATCAGCCAGTGTCTGAAGAATTCTGAAAATGTCTGAAATTTGCACTATTAGCAGAAGTCAACAGAGTAAGTTTTTGGGCTCAGATCCCAAGTTGCTCCTCTGTTCACATGAGAGGGCATTTTTTTTTTGCCAACCCCCACTTCCAAGTGTCCCCCAGCCCACAGGAGCAGATTTTCAGGGGACTATAGAGGAAATGGAAGAAGAAAAACTTCTCTGAGCCTCTACTGTTCAGAAAAGGCCAGGCTAAATGATCAAAGGGACAGATAAACCCATGTGTATAGTTTGATGTGCATGAGAGATGGAAATCCTTTTATCTGTAAGGGGATGGATCCTTAGAGGGACCGAATGATCTAAGTTTGTATCTTTGTTAAAATCTGTTCATATCTTCTCAGGAGGACAAGTTGAAGCTTCCACAAGGGAGTCCTGTTTAGCAGACATTTGAATCATTATCCTTTTATAAATCCTTGTAGGGTTCTGGAGAGTTTGTGAAGATATACATGTATTAGTAGGCTTCAGAGCATCCATTTAAGTTTCTGGTTCATGTACTTTTTTATAAGACTACTGAGGAATTCGAGGTTAGTGGTTTTTCCGCTGGCTACTATGATTGTTGCTGTTTTATTAGATTCTTGTGTTTGCTAATGTATTGATTGTGCATTGCTTTCTCTATTGCTGTTGAAAGCAATATATGTTTTTCAAGTACTGATGTGTGAGTCATAGGCACACACTTAACAAGCATGGGTTTGTACTGAATGGAAGTAATGAACTTTTTTCCATTTTGATTTTACATCTTCCACTCATAGCCTTCTGGGATAGAAAAGCAAGTTTTAAGGGCAATCCTAACTCCCAGCCTGGAAGTTGTGTGCTTGAATGGAGTGACACAACCCCCTCTGTAACTGAGGACCTGCTTTAGTGCAGCACAGAGACCCAAATCACATCCCTCTGTCTGCTTGTCCAGGTTAGGACCCAGACCAGCACACCCTTTGTCCTCTCTGCCTCATTTCAGGGCCTTATGCCTGTCACCTTCTGCTGGCAGGATCAAGTAGAGCTGGGCAGAAGGGAAATATCCACCATACCCAAACCCCCTGCAGCAGCATAGATCAGGAATTAGGAATGCTCTGCAAACTTTCCTTCAGCAACTAGGAATGTTAAAACTTGGTGGGGACAAGACAGCTGTACTGCTGTGATGCTTAAAGCGAACATTTTTTAAAGACAGACTTTGAGATCACACTGCTAATTACAATGAACGGAATTCAAATTATCCCCAATTGGTTACAATACAAATTTTAAACAAAACAAGATACAAACGCGCACTGCCATTTTTAATAAGGATACAAAAGAAAACTTCCTGAACAGTTAAAAGTTGTACAAAAAATATTTTGTTTTGCTTGTTCCTGAAGAGCAGCATCACAGGAGTTTATTTTATATTTAGTTATGAAATAAATTGTTTTAACCATGGACTGAAGAGGTGAAGGCAATATATTTTAAAAGTTGCAGCTGCATCCATTCTGAAACTTTTTTCTTTTCTTTTTTAATCAGACAACCTCAGGACCACAATCATTTGAATCAATAATACATGACTAATCTTTTGGAAAGCCAAACCATGTTCTAGCTGGCATATAGCCTTCAACAGCAATTTATAACACAAGGTCAGGCCAGCCTCATCCGTCAAAATGCTGGAAGGCTCTTTAGGTCACGGATAGCTCAGTTCTATTGATGCTTACATAGCAAAGCTCAGTCAGTAGAGCATAGCTCTGTCAGTTAAGCATGAGACTCTTAATCTCAGTGTCATGGTTCTGAGCCCCACCTTGGGCAAAAAATTCTTGCATGGCAGGGGGTTGGACCAGATAACCCACGTGGTCCCTTCCAACTCTATAATTCTATGATTCTAAGTCCCACCATACTCAAAGGGCTATAAAGTAAAGGTAAAGGGACTCCTGACCATTAGGTCCAGTCGTGACCGACTCTGGGGTTGTGGCGCTCATCTCGTTTTATTGGCCGAGGGAGCCGGCGTACAGCTTCTGGGTCATGTGGCCAGCATGACTAAGCTGCTTCTGGCAAACCAGAGCAGCACACGGAAACGCCGTTTACCTTCCCGCCGGAGCGGTACCTATTTATCTACTTGCACTAACGTACTTTCGAACTGCTAGGTTGGCAGGAGCTGGGACCGAGCAACAGCTCACCCCGTCGCGGGGATTCGAACCGCCGACCTTCTGATCGGCAAGTCCTAGGCTCTGTGGTTTAACCCACACATGTACGGTAAATTTATATACCAGCTGAGCATGAAAGAGTTGTGTTATCACACAACCTAATCCTGAACCCTAATCACTTAAACAGTACTGCAGTGAAGCCTTCTTTGTTCCTACACAGAATACAGCTTTGCAACAACAGGAAGCTGACTTATACTGTGCCAGACCCTTGGGTCCTTCTAGGCCAGTACTGTCTACACTGGCTGGCAGCAGCTCTCCAGGGTTTGGGGAAGCCAAGGCTTGAACCTACAACCTTCTGCATGCAACTGTCTTGTGAAGTAGATTAGGCTACATAACAGTAACTTGCATGAAAGTGGAATCATATGCACCTCTGCTCAATCATAAGTTTAGCTGAGCAGGATTTGGGCTCAAATCTCCCCTGACCAAAAAAACATGCTGGATCTCCCTGCTGGTTCTCAGCACTGATCAGCTTGATTACTCTATACACTTTAATAAAAATGACATTGTGAACTTTATTTTGTCTACCCTCGAACAAAATGCACCATATCAAACTAACAAATAATGTGCAGATTCTGATGAGATGGGTTTTAGTATTGCCAAGAAGTGGTCCATAGGCTTATGGCAACCATTCAGCAACCATTCATCCCACTGTTGCTGCTTACTTTGCACATCTAATTATATTTTCCATGATGCCACTTGACTCAAGGGCACCTAGTCATAAAGCTCTTCACAGAAGTTTAGACTAAGCCTTCCAGCTACATTTGTTGTGGGGGATGGTTTCATATAAAGTAAGTTCCCATATTATTTTCATATATGAAATGTGTAAAATAGTCTAAGGACTTAAAAAACAGTATGTAAACATGAAAAACTGCAATGTAGAAATGGATGGATGGTTAAAGGTTCTGGCAACCACTTTTGATTTTCTTCAACAGCTGCTTGAAGTGTGTTTCTGTATATACTAGGGGAAGGGGACTCTAGAAAGAAAATAGATTCCTTAAAGCTTAATGTGTAAAGAACAGATATATCCCAACATCAAAGCAGCTATTTATTCTACTTCAATAAAATGTGGTTTCAGGCTTTTCTTTTTCAAATGAAGTGTTTGCTCCCGTACCTTCTATCCCAATGTCTGCCAGATGTTTATATAACCTTTCTGTCACATTCTTATAAATGGAGGTACTTCAAAGTTACTCAAGTTGTCTATGTGCATTCCAGACCACATAGCTTAGTTCTAGAATCCCAGATTTAAAACTTCTGTCGCCAGCCCAATGAACTTTTCACTGCATGTATTACCAGATGATCCACCGTTACTAGCTATCAATGTATAACATGCATGTAGCCAGATTCCTCAAGGCCCATTTACCTACAAATTGAGCTGTACAGAACATAGGATGCAAACGGGCAGGGTGGTGGTAGGACTTATCTCAGGTCCTGCTAATTCTCTTTAAACCAGGTTGGGTGGAGAAGATTTAAAGTGCAGGTGGAGGGCTGACAGAGATGAATCCTTGTATCCCCTCCTTTTACACCCCAAGCCACTTTTTAAAGGGATTTTATCCACTTCATGGAGCCTCACTGGGAGACAGTGGTGGTTAGTAATTGGTTAGTAATCGTTGGGACTGATGGGGCAGAAGGCAGGAAGCCAGACCCTGAGACAGACAGAACCACACCCCGACTGGCTGTAAATAAGAAGGCAAGCAGGTGAGGGCTGAGGAAGGGGAGACAAGATGTTTGTAGGGCAGTGACCCATTTGCCCTAATGAACCAACCTCTATTTCTGGGAGAAAAACAGCTAAAAAAACACCATTTTAGATAGTGAGCAGGGGGAAGGATTGAGTTCTCCCCTCATACTTGATCATTTTAAATCACTCCACCTCAACAACATCACTCTACAATGAAACAATAGCAGACCCTTTTTTGCCCACAAATTTATCACACATCTAGCCTGGTCTTTACTCCCAATTGTGCTAGGACTGCAGCCTTACAGAAAGACCCTGTGTTGATTGAGAAGCAAAACCTAGTGTATTCAGTGGGACTCATTCCCAGGTAAATGTGTGTGGGAGTGCAGCCTTAAGCAGACAGCAGGTAGCAGATTAGTCAAGGCATAATTCTTGTTGATTTTCAATAATATTCTTTCAAATGAAAATATTTAGCTAGAGTCAAGCCAAGCCAAATATTACACAGCCGATGCATAACTGTCTCTTAATATGAATATAGATATTTATGAAAAGTAACTGGAAGATTCTGGAAATTTGAATGGAGGAAAGGAGACTGATTAACCCTTTCTTCTTGGCTGCTTTTCCACTCACAATTGCATGGTTTTCAGGCACAGAAGAAACATATAAGTATTTGTATATTTTGCCCTGCAAGGGGAAAAGCAGCTGATATGGGGAGGTTAAGGCGGGGAAATGGCCGAAGTAGAAAGAGTTAAGCAAGCACTCACCTGCTATGTAATTTGGCCCTTAATGACCCTAAAGCAAAAGACAGATTTCAAGTGTGAGTAACAGAAAACTAGCTCCTTGAGATATGGAGACATTATCCACGATGAAGGCTGCAACAGGCTGACATCTGAATCTATAGGATTGTGCTCTAAATATTCAAGGGACTATGATCAATGGATGTAACACCATCACAAACAGTCTGACCCGCCCTATGCTGTCTTGCTCAACTGCTTCATAACATTATATTTAGTACATTTCATAGTAGGCCACTGTAAAATAGAATTAGAGGATATGCTTATAGGTAGCTATTGTACTATTTTTAAATGAGAAGAATCAAATCTATATTACTGATCGTTTACTTTTTTTAAAAAAGCAACAAAAATCTAGAGCAACATTGGCTTCTTTCACACTCCCCACCCTCACTCTAAAATCCAGCAAAACAATGAACAAAAACAAACCCTCCATCCCCATCACTTCTCAGTGTGCCTACCCAAAATGGGCTTTTCCAGGTTCATCTCACTCACTTCTATTTGTTCAGCATGAAGCCCAGATGTTTCCCCTGCCTCTGTTTCCAGTTCATGACCTTTCTACCCAGTCCTACCCCATCTTCTTCCCACAAGCACAAACTACCTCTCCCCGTCTCCTAAATCAGACCACATCGACCCATACGCAAACGTCTCTCCGAGCACACTTTCTCCTCTCCACAGTGTTACGGCTCACAACTATTGTTTACACGGGCAGGGAGAAGAGGGAGAGAATAATGTGAACTCTCCAAGGTGTTGACCAGGGAATTTGGTTTCTTAGCCATCTGCGTATCAGTAATCCCCATGGTTTTGCTTTAGAGTTCTCTCTATTGTGCTACCACCATTAGAGGCCAGAAATAGGACACAAGACAGGTGGATGCTGATGCTGGAGAACTGAAGCCCAAGAAGCGCCTCCCCCCCCCCCCCACACACACAGACTGAGCAGGAAACCAACTGAGGTTTTGATGGCTTGATTGATTTTTAAAGGAGCAAAGCTAATGCAAGGGGGAAAGCCTGCTGGCGCTCTTCGGTATTTTTCTTCTTCCTTTATTTTATGTTCATACGTTTCTGCAGGGGTGCCAACTTGAATAAAATACTGGGGTGGGGGCTGGTAAGCCCCGCCCCACATAATCAATCACAACACGGTGCACACCCACCATTTGTTTTTTTATTTTGTTTTTTTCAAAAAAAATTATTAAGTTTCACAAAATTATACACAAACAAAACACACAAACAAACAAACAAACATAAATCATATCCCTATTAAAATTACACTTATTGACATTGTTAAGTGACTTCTTCGCTTCCCCTTGGTTGAATTTCCATGCATATCCTTATAACGGCTCTCCAAATCATAATTTTTGTAAACTTAACTTAGTCCATTAACATCCTTATATCTTTTCAGTTCGAAATTGTACATGTTAAACGTCACTTAACTTATATAAATTCCTAAGCCAATCTATTGCCTGCAAGCTATTTCCAATTAGTTTAACTTAACAAATTTAGCTAAGTAATCGTTAAAGTTTGTCCATTCTTCCTGCACCCACCATTTGAATGGCAATACTAAACTTGGGGGGAGGCCTCTCAAATATTTTATTGGGGGGTCGAAGAGCCGCCAGGAGTTGGCTCCAACCTTCATTTGATTGCTTTATTAATAGATTGCCTTATTATTGCCTCATTAATTAATTGCCTTATTAATAGATCTGAATTGTTTTCTCATTTCAATACAAGACCTGATCCTTGGGAAACCGTTGGGTTCTGTTTTGTAAGAGCTCCTGACCATACGCAGAGCGCCCAGAAAAACAAATGCGCCCAGCGTGGGACGCCAGCTCAGCTGTAGCGCCCTGCGCGCGCAAGGGGTCCTCCATCCCCGCTCCGAGCCCTTTCCCCCCGCTGGAGGCTTACCCTGCCCGCAGGCGCCCCGCTGGATGGCGATGACGGCCGGCTGGCGCTGGCCCTCGGAGAGGCGGCTGGCCGCCCGCAGCTGGCACACGTTGCCGTAGCTCCTTCCGTCGTTGCCGCACACGGGCTCGCTGCTGGCGCACACGCAGCGGCCGCCCTTGGCCCGCCGGCGCACGGTGGCCGAGGCCGCCACGCCGGGCCCGCCGGGCGACACCACGCACAGCAGCCCCTCGGCGCACGACGGCTCCCCGGCCGGAGGGCCCCCGCACGGCTCGCCTTCCTGCGCGGCGCAAACCGGGCAGCAGCCGCACGAGTCCAGAGACTCGCCGCTGCCCGCGCACTCGGCCGGCAGCTCCGGGCAGCGCGCGCGCTCGCAGCGCTCGGGGCAAGGCCGCTCCTCGAAGCGCCGCCCGTACAGCTGAGCCCGGCAGCCGGGCGGCGGCAGCAGCAGCAGAAGGTAGAAGAAGCTCAGCGCCAGAGGCCACAGGGCTCCCCTCATCGTTTTGGCGCGCTTTCTCTCTCAGAAAAGGCGGGAAGCGGTGGGAGAAAGGTGCCGCGTCTGGAGCGCGAGAAAGGCGCGCGAGGCGGAGGGGTTTGCAGCAGAGCGCTTCTCCGCCTGGCTCGCCGAGGCACGCAGATGGAAACGGCGGCGGGGAGAGCCGCTTTTAAACGGAGCGCCTGGGGAGGGAAGGCAGAGAAGATGCCGTGCGCGTGGAGAGCGGCCCGTCGGTTGGCCGCGCCGCCGCCGCCTGGGAGGGGACGTGGCGGGGTTACACAACCGCCGGGGCAGGAAAGGCAACGCGCCGCCGCCGCCGCCGCGCCAAGTGGGGCAGGGAGCCGCGGCAAGCCGTAAAGCTGGCACCCGCCAAAGCCCATTTCCACCAAGCCGGAGGCGGCGAGCCTGGGCCGGGAAAGTTATTCTAAGCTCGCTGAGCTGCGAGCGCTTAATGCCGGCGGGGCGGAGCTACGCGCTGCCCGCGCTTTCCGTCAACCTCAGCCAAGACTCCCGAGTGGAAACAGGGGCATTCTCTTCGCCGTAGGAGCCAACACAATAACGTATTTGAGGAGGCCGCCGCCGCCCCCCTCCCCAAAGTTAATGGGCATTCCCATTCGAAGAGTTTGCGTGTGCATAAGGCGTGTGGGAAGGTGTGAGTGAGCTTAGCTCGGCAGTCAGGGAATAAGAGGAGAGGTCCTCGGGCGGATCAGAAATTGGTTAATCAGCAGGAAGCGGGGAGTAGCAATAAATGGACAGTTCTGTGAATGGAGAGATGGGGAAAGCCGGAGTCTCCCAAGAGTGGGATTGGGAACTGGGGGTTTCAAGTTGCTCCTAAGTGATGGGCTTGCCATACGTCTGGGAAATCCCTGACACGTCCTGGTTTTGAGGTGTAGAAATAGCACCAAGGGGGAATTTTGCCAAATCTGCGTATCTGTAAATGTCAGGGGAAACCCGGATGTATGGCAATGCTATGGAGACAGCAGCGGAAACAGCTCCATAAGCTTAAAATCACCATTTTGGTGGTTTCCTTAAAAAAAATAAACGCGCTCAACAATTTTGCAGGTGTCAGGAATTTTATGGCAACCCTATAAATTAGGGGTGAGCCATGAGGTGGCCAGGTTTGCTGATGATACTAAATTGTGGATAAAACAAAGATTGTGAAGATTTCCAAAAGGACCTCTTCAAACTGAAGGTTTAAGATGGTAAATGGAATTTTATGCATGTTGGTGCAAAAAATGTTTAATTTCACATATACAATCATGGGAGCTGAGCAGGTGGGAACTGACTTTGGGGTCGTAGTGGATAGCTTGATGACTGAAAAAGGCAATAATTAAAAAAGGAATGGATAATAAAACTGCTGATTTAATATCGTTATATAAATCTATGGTGCAGTCGCATTTGCTTCACGATAAAAAGTACATTGTAGAGGTGAAAAGGGGTCAGAAAAAGCACAAGAAAATGATTAAGAAAAAGATGGACCGGTGAGCATTAACAAAACGGTACGACTGGTTTCAAATCTTATGTCTGGCATTCATAGTCAAGGCAGATTCTGTGAAACTGAGCTTTAGAGTTTTAGAGTCTCTGTAAAAATACTGTAGGACTCTATTTTTTTTAAAGAGTATTGTATTGTACAAATTAGTATTGTACAAATTAAAAGTTAAAACTGTATGTCTTTCCAATACCTTATTTAACTGGTACTGTTAAATGGCTAAATAAAGCAATTTGTTAGTAGTTCTGAAATGTAAAATCCCGTACAGTAAATCACAATGGTTTTTTGTTGCTTCTCTTCAGCACCATACAACGTGTTGGGGTTCAGTTATGTCAACATGTCACTACAAGATACTTTTTTATATATATTAACAACTCTGTATTAATGTGACATTTTTATATGTAACTGTATTTTTTAGTATTTAGTAGTCTATTGTTGCTTTATTTTTTGTACACTGCTTAAGAGACATTTTAAATATATGATGCGGTATAGAAATTGAATAATCCATATATATTTGCCTTGCTTCAGTTTTGAAAAGCATTTATGCAGTACAGTAACCCCTCAATAGGGTTATGTTACAGGGCTCACACCTAAAGCCAAAGTGGCATGTAGTCAAAACACATTAGGCACACATTGGGTTGGCAAAGACTTCCTACCCCCGCCCCGCCCCATCATCTGCTCTCTTTCTAATTTGTAAAAAAAGGGGGGGGCAAGTATGTAAAGCTGAACACACACAAGTTAAATTAAGTTGCAGGCTTACTGTAAAAGGTTATGTTTGATATATGGCACTGGCTGTGAGGCCACACTATGTATTGCCGTAACCACTAGTTTTCAAGGTAGTCACAAATTTCTGAGAGAAGGAAAAGCAATCATTTTCCCCTAAGAAACAAACAAGAACAAATGCCTTTGTTCTTCTTTGCTGTCAACACACAGCAAGAGAATAGAATTAAAGTAATATTGATTTGAGGGAGAGAGGACCCCACCCACTGGTGGTTTTAGCACTGTTACCTGCCATCATGCAACTCTCAGCAATCAACCCTGAAAGAATGCAGTCCACTACAGAAAAGAATATTCATCTCCTGCTTTAGGAGCCTTTTGCCTACCTTCCTAGGCTCAATGGCCATTTCGTTCTGTAAATGCAAGAGATTCCCATTAGGCAGTTTTGTTGTTTTAAAACAACACTCTTCATTCACCAGCTGAAGTACTTGTACAAGGCTAGGGTGTCTTTCGTGTAGGGAGCAGTCACTGTCATTTTTTGAGTAGCCCCCATCCGCTTCCAAAGCAGCCAAGTACTTCTCACTTAGGTTCACTATCAGAGGGGGAAATGATGCATAAGCCCCTGTTTATAACATTGCTAGTATGCTAAAATAAATAGGTCAACCTAAACTGTTACCGGGCTGTAAAGCTTAACTCAGACACAGGCAAACGTGGCCCTCCAGATGTTTTGGAACTGCAATTCCCATCATCCCTGACCACTGGTCCTGTTAGCTAGGGATCATGGGAGTTGTAGCCTAAAAACATCTGGAGGGCCAAGTTTGCCTATGCCTGGCTTAACTGCTGAAGCAAACCAATATAACTAAAGGTATGCATGTGAGAGGTCATTTGGACCCGAGATGATCCCCAAACTAAACAGTTCTGCCAGCACAAGGAGTTTCAGCTGCACAATAGAGGTTTCCTACTCCTCTATGTGACCCCTGCATGCCCATAACAGATCTGGGGGTCATACTAGGGACAATTCTATTGTGCTAGTGGAAGTGTTTAGTTGGATACCACCCTAAATTCTACAAGCAACTGACAATTACAAAAAAGGCCTTTTGCAATAACTCTTCACACCCTATCTGTATGAGATGTGAGACCACTATTTTTAAAAATGATGGGAACCAAAGGATTATTATACTACACAGAATGAAGTTTTCACAGGTCGGCTTTTCTTTATTTTTTAAAAAACTTGTCACTTAGTTTTCGGTGAATTAAACAGGGAAGAACAACAGATAGTATGCAAACAGTTTCACTCACCATTAACCTTTTTCTTTTGAAGTGCACTAAATATAGTAGTCTGATAGGATTGTTGTATTTCAGTACTGAAGTCAATTTATTAATAAGTGTGACATTTACAGAAAACACCACAGGTTCTAAAATAATTTAACAATTTTCATCCACTTTATAAAAAAAGGTACTGATAAATAAGAGACCCTAACAATTTAGCAACCACAATATTTTCCTGCACTGAACTATCTTAAGCAGTTAAATTTTAAAAGAATCCCAATAAGAGTGCTGCTTCCTTTCAAATTCAGTATCTAAAATTGGCAATATCAAAACAGAATAAAATGAACATGCACTGTGAAAACTGTACCAGAACCAGGAAATCTAAACCTACAACAAAGTATGCCAATACAAACATTCCAATTCAGTTTCTCCCACAATGTACATATTTGTGAAAAATAAGGTTTCAAATATCTATTGGCTAAGTTTGTTACAAGTTAAAATGTATGCTACTAAACTAATCTTAACAGTCAACTTACCAGTTCACATGTAACTGAAAAGGCAAATAATGTAATTTACAAACACTGCTTGTGTTTAGCTTATGGTTAATAAATGTAAAGGTGCTGCTATACTCATTAGAAACAAGACCACCGCAGTTTGGCATTGCTACTACTATAGCTGTAGGCATTTGTCAGTACTAACAAATCTTTTCTCTTGTCAATTTTCAGTCTCAACAAATCCAAATAATGTTTACACGCTTTCGTACACAGGCGATTTCCCCTCAAAACTGAAAGTTTGGGCGTTTTTATTAACATGTTGCAATTTCACCTATGTACCTTTCAATAAATAAAATCAGTGTGCTGAAAAAGTGGAAAGGGGAGTGTAACCTTGAAAGGAAGCCTAAACTAGTGGATTTACCATGATCACAAAGTAACTAGATTCTGACAGGCAAAATTAGTTACACTTCTAGGTGGATGTGTGCAATGATATAAATTCACACAAAAATATATGGAACAAAAAATGAGAAGACACAATGGAATCAGAAAAATGCAAGATTGTCTGCACCAATGGTGTAACTGCTTGTACCTCTTGCTATGCGATACTGTATGTAGTGCAGAATGTGCCCCCCCCCATGTAAATTCCAGTGGGATGGGGTGGGGATCACACAAAGAACTGCATAGACATATAGGCTTAAATCAAGTTTTGTGGGGGAAGGCATCTCTAAGGCAAATTAATTTAAAGCTGGAGGCCACTTAGCTGCAGGCAGAAAAATTATATGCCGAAGACCAGATGACAGGATGGAATGAGCAAGTTGCAGAAGTTTAAAGCCTCAAGGTGCAAACTAGTACAGACCACGACATTAAGAGCCTTGGGCAAGCTGAAAGTAGGGCTTCCATGTGAATACCTATGTAGTAGGGCTGCAAGTGTTACGCTCCACTTGCATTTTCTTTATGTATGGCACAAAGAAAGCCAATAATTGCAGGTCACCTTGGAACTGAAAGAAAATTTCTCTGGAACAAGAAATGAATTA